CACCGGCGGGGACTGCTGCTGCGGCGGCACAACGGCGACACCTGGACCGCAAGCTGCTCCTCGGCTACCACCGGCACTCTCCACACCCGCACCCCCAGAGGGACCACCCTCAGGGCGACCGGGACGAGCACCCCCAGAGTCAGCGAACGGGGGCTGCGACTGCGGCGGCGGCGGCGGCGGCGGCGACGGCGACGGCTGCAGTGGCGGCAGGGACGGCGGAGGAGGGGACTGGGGAGGGGACACCTGGGGAGGGGCGGCCGGCGAGGACTGCACCGGAGGGCCACCAGAGTCAGAAGACTCCTCAACCGGGTCCACGGACGGAAGGGGGGTGACATGGGAGACACCAGAGGGGGTGGGACGGGGAGGAGGAGGAGGAGGGGCAGGGACTACCGGGGAAGGGGTGACCAGGAACAGGGGGGGGGTAACCGGGGGACCACGGTGGGGGAAGCGGCGGTAGTAGGAGACGGACTCGTCAAAGGTGACGTCACGAGAGTGAAAGAAGCGGTGAGACGGCGGGTGGTAAAAGTGCCAGTCGGACGCGTCAAGGGGAAAACCGAGGAAGACGCAGGGAAGGGTGCGGGCAGTGAGCTTGTCCGTGCCGGAGGCACGGACGTGAGCAAGGCAGCCCCAGACGTGGAACGCAGACGCGTCACCAGGAGACCCAGTCCACAGACGGGTCGGCGAAACCTGCGGCTGCTGAGGGTGCGGCCACAGGTTAAGCTGGTGAGAAGCGTAGCGCACAGCGAACGGCCACAGAAAATGGGGTGCACCGGCATGGACCATGGAGGTGCGAGCGACCTCCATGACCAAGCCGATGCGTCGCTCAGCGACCCCATTCTGCTGTGGGGAGTCCGGTAGGGTGAACGTCTGGGTGATGCCCTCCGCACGACAAAAGCGACCAAGGACACCTGAGGGAAACTCGCCACCACGGTCTGAGTGAAGACGCAAGACAGGGAGACCGCGGTGGACACGCGCAGAGACAAGCCAGGGGATGAGAGCGCCAGGCACGTCGGCCTTGCGCTCCAGGGGAAAGACTGTGGTGTAACGAGTGAAGTCGTCGACAAGCACAAGGAAGTAGCGCTCGCGACGCGGCCCAGGGACGGGGGCGGGGCCCCAGACGTCCAGGTGCAGGGTCTGCAGCGGCGCGGCGGTAGGGGGGAACGAGGAGGAGTGAGGGGCACGGCGAAGCCGACCCTCGACACAGGGCGTGCAAGGTGGAGCTGGGGAGGAGGGAAACGCGGGGAGTGAACCTGGGAGACCAAGGACAAGACCGTGCTGGGACATGTGACGCAGACGCGGGAGCGCAGGGTGACCTAGGCGGTGGTGCCACAGGAGGGTCGGGTGAGTGAGGGAGCGACAGGAGCAGGCAGCAGCAACCTGGGTAGACACAGCCACCTGAGGGGGCGCTCCAGCCGGGGGGGGCACGGTGTCCAGAGTGAACAGGCCGGACACCGGGTCCCGGGGGAACGTGGACAGGGGGGCACCAGTGGCGGCCTCGGTACAGACAGCATACCGCTCGTGACCAGGGAACGTAGTGGTGACGCCAAGGTCCTGGAGGCAGCCGACACCAACTAGGTTCCTGGAGAACGAGGGGATATGCAGACCTGTAAGAGAGCCCGAAGGAACCGCCGGACAGGGAAGGGTGGTGGAACTGCGGGCGACTACCGGGCCGCCGGAGGGGTCAGCAAGAGAAACGGCAGCAGGAACAGGAAGCGGCGTCAGGGTGGTGGAGTCGCGGAAGAAACACCGAGAGGCGCCAGAGTCCAAGGTGAAGGAAAGCGAAGCCGAGGGGTCTGGCGACGGAACGACGGCAGAAGCACCAAGACTACACAAAGCAGGGGATCCTACGCCTGACGCAGCAGGGGAGGCTAAGCTAGGCACACCTACACTAGGCAACAGTGAGTAATAAGTCAGAAGCACACTAGAGTCATCAGCATACATCACATGCAGAGCAGAAACAATGGCATCCATGTCCATATCAAAGATCTGAATCTGACGACTAAGCAAACTGTGCCAGTCCGGGAGGTCTGGCGACGGGCCGAAACGCTGACGAAAGAGGTCGTCCAGGCGACGAAAGCAGCGGGGAGTGGAGTGACCGATCTTACCGCAAACGAAACCGCGGCGAGGACCGGTCTGGATCTGGTACTGACAACGCCCGCCGGCAGAGCCACCACGCGGCACACCACCACGCGCCCGTCCACCGCCAGCGCCGGGCCACCCTGGCGGGAGAACACTCGTCTGCCGCGTCTGCGACGGCTGCTGCGGCTGCTGCGAAGGCTGCGACTGCGGCGGGTGCTGCGGCTGCTGCAACTGCAGGGGCGGCGACTCAGCTGGACTGGGCAGGGTCCCCTCGTCCGCTCCAGCACCAGGCGACCCGACCCCACCACTACCCCCGCCCGCACCCCCGCCGCCCCCTCCGCCGCGCCCAGCCTTGGGGCGGCGGCCCTTCCCAGAACGGGCCTGCGCTGCAGCAGCAGTCTCAGCCACTGCGGCAGAGCCGTCGGAGAAGGTACACTGAGCGGGGGCACAACCCTGAAAGATAGGGACCGGCACGACACCGCTCGCCTGGGCGATGGAGCGGTGACGGGTCTCTATCACAGTCAGGGTGTCGACAAAGTCAGTGAGGGTGAGGTCTGCGGGGTGAACACTAAGGAAGCGGTCGCAGGCGACAGCAAGGCGGTCAGGGAGGCGGGTGGCAAGCAGGTAGAGGGTAGAGGTAATGGGCGGCTGGTGGGCTCTAAGCTGTGCGTCAGTGCATGCGGCGCGCCAGGTCTCCTCTATCGAGCGCAGGTGGGCAGCGAGGTCAGAGACAGTGGGGAACGAAGCAAGGTCAGGAAAGAGCAGCGGGAGGATCAGGCGACCCACCGAGGCAGCCGGAGGGGTGGAATAGCGCTTGATGACAGCATCTAAGTATGCTTGAGCAGTAGTGAGGGACCTAAAGCGAGGACGCTCGGACGGGGGGAGGGCGTTGCTAATGGCAAGCTGGGCGACAGCATCGCGAGAAAGCCAGACTGAGCGCGCACGGGCAGTGGCAGCAGTAGACTCACGCTCAGTGGGTGTGGGGTCAGCGGGCAGAATAGCAGGAGGGTCTGGGCAGGGGAGCGTACCGTCAAGGTGTGCGGAAAGCGGTTCACCATCCTGCCGCTGGCCAGTGAGTTGGCGGCGGAGATCGGCAAGCCACGCCTCGAACTCTAGGGGCTGACCTTCAGCGTCGAAGCGAAGCTCCGCCGCCATCAGGAACAGTCCAGTGCTGTGCAGGGCGGTGCAGCTAGGTGGGGTGCGGTGCAGTGCGATACAGTGCGGTGCAGTGCGGTACAGTGCGGTGCAGTGCGGTGCAGTGCGTTGCAGGGCGGCACGGAGCAGGGCGGGGTGGGGGGGGGGGGGGGGGACCGTACCAGTGAGGAGGACGGGGCCGGGGCTGGCCCGACGGGGCCGGGCGGGCGCGACGGGGCCGGGCTGATGCGACACGGCCGGGACGGGGCGACGGGGCCGAGCGGGCGCGACGGGGCCGGGCTGGGGCGACGGGGCCGGGCGAGTGCGGCAGGGCCGGGCCGGTGCGACGGGGCCGGGCGAGCGGGACGGCGGCCGGGCTGGTGCGACGGGGCCGGGCGGCTGTGACGGGCCGGGCAGGGTGCGACGGGGCCGGGCGGGTGCAACGGGGCCGGGCGGCTGCGACGGGCGGCGAGCGCGACGGGCCGGGCAGGGTGCGACGGCGCCGGGCGGGCGCGACGGGGCCGGGCGGCGGCGACGGGGTCGGGCGGGCGCGACGGCGCCGGGCGGGCACGACGGGGCCGAGCGGCGGCGACGGGTACGACGCGGTCGAGGAGGGGCGCTACGGGGCCCAGGAGGGGCACGACGGGGGGCCCAGGAGAGGCGCTACGAAGCCCAGGAGGGGCGCGACGAGGCCCAGGAGGGGCGCTACGGGGCCTGGGAGGGGCGCGACGGGGCCTGGGAGGGGCGCGACGGGGCCCAGGAGGGGCGCTACAGGGCCCGAGGAGGGCGCGACGGGGCCCAGGAGGGGCGCTACGGGGCCCAGGAGGGGCGCGACGGGGCCCAGGAGGGGCGCTACGGAGCCCAGGAGGGGCGCGAAAGAGCCCAGGAGGGGCGCTACGAGGCCTGGGAGGAGCGCGACGGGGCCCAGGAGGGGCGCTAGGGGGCCTGGGAGGAGCGCGACGGGGCCTGGGAGGGGCGCGACGGGGCTGGGAGGGCGTTACAGGGCCCAGGAGGGGCGCTACGAAGCCCAGGAGGGGGCGCGACGAGGCCCAGGAGGGGCGCTACGGGGCCCAGGAGGGGCGCGACGGGGCGCTACGGGGCCTGGGAGGAGCGCGACGGGGCCCAGGAGGGGCGCTAGAGGGACTGGGAGGGGCGCGACGGGGCCTGGGAGGGGCGCGACGGGGCCTGGGAGGGCGGTACAGGGCCCAGGAGGGGCGCTACGAAGCCCAGGAGGGGCGCGACGAGGCCCAGGAGGGGCGCTACGGGGCCCAGGAGGGGCGCGACGGGGCGCTACGGGACTTGGGAGGAGCGCGACGGGGCCCAGGAGGGGCGCTAGTGGGCCTGGGAGGAGCGCGACGGGGCCTGGGAGGGGCGCGACAGGGCCTGGCAGGGGCGCTACGAAGCCCAGAAGGGGCGCGACGGGGCCTGGCAGGGGCGCTACGAAGCCCAGGAGGGGCGCTACGGGGCCTGGGAGGAGCGCGATGGGGCCCAGGAGGGGCGCTAGGGGGCCTGGGAGGAGCGCGACGGGGCCTGGGAGGAGCGCGACGGGGCCCAGGAGGGGCGCTAGGGGGCATGAGCGGAAGCGGTAGGTGGGGGGGGGGGGATCCTACCTACGCGTGATACCATATCAGAATAATTGAATAATGGTAAAGTGAGAGTACACACAAATATATCTAAGTTTTGTATCCTCTAAGAGGTGACTCTATACAGTCTATACAAACATGACAAATACACATGTTTGACAGAAACCTAGAACAATTACTAGTTGGTTGTACTCACTTGAAGCATACCTCAATCTAGCCTCTAACTTCTACATAGCTAATATGTATAAGTTGATACGATTCACCTAAAGCAGGCTTGATTGAATGCCATAAGGACAAATGTGAGTCCTCCATAGTGTAAGTTCAGCATCTTGTGTGATGGTAGACTACAGCAAACACACGAAGAGCAATGGGGGTTGCTAGATTGCTGCGTGTGATCAACTGTCATAATTACTGCAAATGCTTGTTTTGATTGAAGAACATCATTTCAATAATCTCACTACAATCACAGCAGCAGGCCAGGCGGTTCCCCATCTGAGCTGTGAGCTTTGAGTTCCCAATCAATGGGGCTCGGTGTTTGCCCACCGGCATCTGATAGGAGGACAGACCACACAGGGATGATGGTGGCACCCAGGGGCGATGGTGGGGGCGATGGTGGGGGTGATGGTGGGGGCGATGGTGGATGTGATGGTGGGTGTGATGGTGGATGTGATGGTGGGTGTGATGGTGGGTGTGATGGTGGGTGCGATGGTGGGTGCGATGGTGGGTGTGATGGTGGGTGTGATGGTGGGTGTGATGGTGGGTGTGATGGTGGGTGTGATGGTGGGTGTGATGGTGGGTGTGATGGTGGGTGTGATAGTGGGTGTGATGGTGGGTGTGATGGTGGGTGTGATAGTGGGTGTGATGGTGGGTGTGATGGTGGGTGTGATGGTGGGTGTGATGGTGGGTGTGATGGTGGGTGTGATGGTGGATGTGATGGTGGGTGTGATGGTGGGTGTGATAGTGGATGTGATGGTGGGTGTGATGGTGGGTGTGATGGTGGGTGTGATGGTGGTTGTGATAGTGGATGTGACGTGACGGCATCAAACATATGATGAAAACGGCAATGGTAGTCATGGGGATGGTGGTGGGATTGCGGAGGAAAAGGCAGGCATAGGGGAAGAAAGAAAGGAGGAGGGCTTGAGCACATGTGGATGGAAGCACACAGCTGGGACCACATGCGTGCAGTGGACACGAAGGCGGCAAGGTGTCGTTGCAGTAGGGCACACCACTACAAGAGAGAAGAAAGTGGAACCGCAATGGCTTGGATGCAAGGTGCGAGGATGGCCACACATGCATAAGCCGAGACAGCAGGTCGTGCTACTCACTTTGCGGGAGGGCGTTGAGTGCGAGGGATAGCAGGCGGCGCTGCAGGAGAGCCGCGACGGCAAGGAAGAGTGAGCACATGAGAAACATGGCCGTCATGGGAAAGGCGCGGACCTGAAGGGGGGTGGAAGATGGCAACAAGGGGGGGTAGAGAGGAGGATAGAGAGGAGGATAGAGAGGAGGATAGAGAGGAGGGTAGAGAGGAGGATAGAGCGGAGGATAGAGCGGAGGATAGAGAGGAGGATAGAGAGGAGGGTAGAGAGGAGGATAGAGAGGAGGATAGAGAGGAGGATAGAGAGGAGGATAGAGAGGAGGATAGAGAGGAGGATAGAGAGGAGGATAGAGAGGAGGATAGAGAGGAGGATAGAGAGGAGGATAGAGAGGAGGATAGAGAGGAGGATAGAGAGGAGGATAGAGGAGGATAGAGAGGAGGGTAGAGAGGAGGATAGAGAGGAGGATAGAGAGGAGGATAGAGAGGAGGGTAGAGAGGAGGATAGAGAGGAGGGTAGAGAGGAGGATAGAGCGGAGGATAGAGCGGAGGATAGAGAGGAGGATAGAGAGGAGGGTAGAGAGGAGGATAGAGAGGAGGATAGAGAGGAGGATAGAGAGGAGGATAGAGAGGAGGATAGAGAGGAGGATAGAGAGGAGGATAGAGAGGAGGATAGAGAGGAGGATAGAGAGGAGGATAGAGAGGAGGATAGAGAGGAGGATAGAGAGGAGGATAGAGGAGGATAGAGAGGAGGGTAGAGAGGAGGATAGAGAGGAGGATAGAGAGGAGGATAGAGAGGAGGGTAGAGAGGAGGATAGAGAGGAGGATAGAGCGGAGGATAGAGAGGAGGATAGAGAGGAGGGTAGAGAGGAGGATAGAGAGGAGGATAGAGAGGAGGATAGAGAGGAGGATAGAGAGGAGGGTAGAGAGGAGGATAGAGAGGAGGATAGAGAGGAGGATAGAGAGGAGGATAGAGAGGAGGATAGAGAGGAGGATAGAGAGGAGGATAGAGAGGAGGATAGAGAGGAGGATAGAGAGGAGGATAGAGAGGAGGATAGAGAGGAGGATAGAGAGGAGGATAGAGCGGAGGATAGAGCGGAGGATAGAGAGGAGGATAGAGAGGAGGGTAGAGAGGAGGATAGAGAGGAGGATAGAGAGGAGGATAGAGAGGAGGATAGAGAGGAGGATAGAGAGGAGGATAGAGAGGAGGATAGAGAGGAGGATAGAGAGGAGGATAGAGAGGAGGATAGAGAGGAGGATAGAGAGGAGGATAGAGAGGAGGATAGAGCGGAGGATAGAGAGGAGGATAGAGAGGAGGGTAGAGAGGAGGATAGAGAGGAGGATAGAGAGGAGGATAGAGAGGAGGATAGAGAGGAGGATAGAGAGGAGGATAGAGAGGAGGATAGAGGAGGATAGAGAGGAGGGTAGAGAGGAGGATAGAGAGGAGGATAGAGAGGAGGATAGAGAGGAGGGTAGAGAGGAGGATAGAGAGGAGGATAGAGAGGAGGATAGAGAGGAGGATAGAGAGGAGGGTAGAGAGGAGGATAGAGAGGAGGATAGAGAGGAGGATAGAGAGGAGGAGGGATAGAGAGGAGGATAGAGAGGAGGATAGAGAGGAGGATAGAGAGGAGGATAGAGAGGAGGATAGAGAGGAGGATAGAGAGGAGGATAGAGAGGAGGGTAGAGAGGAGGATAGAGAGGAGGATAGAGCGGAGGATAGAGAGGAGGATAGAGAGGAGGGTAGAGAGGAGGATAGAGAGGAGGATAGAGAGGAGGATAGAGAGGAGGATAGAGAGGAGGATAGAGAGGAGGATAGAGAGGAGGATAGAGGAGGATAGAGAGGAGGGTAGAGAGGAGGATAGAGAGGAGGATAGAGAGGAGGATAGCGAGGAGGATAGAGAGGAGGATAGAGAGGAAGGTAGAGAGGAGGATAGAGAGGAGGATAGAGAGGAGGATAGAGAGGAGGATAGCGAGGAGGACAGAGAGGAGGATAGAGAGGAAGGTAGAGAGGAGGATAGAGAGGAGGATAGAGAGGAGGATAGAGAGGAGGATAGAGAGGAGGATTACAAGGGAAGGGAGCAAGAGAGAGCACATGAGGAACATGGCTGTTATTGGGAAGGCGCGGACCTGAAGGGGAATAGGGAGGAGGATTGCAGCACGGGAAGTGAGGGAGGGGAGAGGAATAAGGAGAGAGCACATGAGGAACATGGCTGTTATTGAGAAGGCGCGCACCTGTGGGGGGGGAAGAAAGATGGCAACACGGGGGGATAGAGAGGAGGATTACACGGGAAAGGAGGAAGAGCATGGCTGTCATGGGGAAGGTGTGCACCTGAGAGGACGAGAGAGGACGATAGCAACATGGGAAGCGGGGAAGGGGGAGAGGAATGAAGACAGAGCAGAGGAGGAATACGACAGAGTGTGTAAAGAGGTACATGGTACACCAACATGCAGTAGCAGACTCACATGGTAGAGCACGATGCACACGAAGACATTAAGAGGCACGCGGAAGAAGTTCATGATGGTGGAGCGCGACTCCTCTGGCAAGTACTGCGCGCGCATGCGCATGATGGACGGCCAGAACACGCCCACACACGCCTCAAACATGCAGAACCCTGCCAGCTGCACCCGCCCCCCTGGCGTTATTCCGCCCCCCGGTGGGGGGTGCGGCTCCATGACCCACTGGATAGGGAGGGTGTGGGGTTGGGGTGGGGGAAAATGCACCATGAAGGGCCAGAACACGCCCACACACGCCTCGAACATGCAGAAGCCCGCCAGCTGCACCTGCCCCCCTGGCGCTATCCCGCCCCCTGCTGAAGGGTGCGGCTCCATGACCCACTGGTGGGGGCAGGGCCGAATGGTAGGGGAAGGCGGAATGGTAGAGGAAGAAAGGACAGACACGAGAGGGAATGCGCATGATGGAGGGCCAGAACACGCCCACACATGCCTCAAACATGCAGAACCCTCCCAGCTGCACCCACCCTCCTGCTGTTATTCCACGACCTGGTGGGGGATGCGGCTCCATGACCCACTGGAAAGGAGGGGTGTGGGGGGGACAGAACACACCTCGAACACACAAATCCGCTACATGCACCCGCGCTCCAGGTATCATCCCACCTCCTGGTGAGATGTGTAGCTCCAAGACCCACTGGGGATGTGGGGAGGAGGGAGAGGCATGGAAGACGAGGAAGAGGGCAAGGCCTATGGAGAGGAGAGCAAGCAAGAAAAGGACATTCTGTCGCGAATGCAAGCTTTGAGGAGCGAATGCAACCTTTGAGGAGAGCACAGAAAAGCCGCATTGACGATGCCAGAATGGGGGCTCTGACCGCCAGAATGGGGCTCTCACCGCCAGAATGGGGGCTTGGACCGCCAGAATCGGGCTCGGACCGGCAGAACGGGGCTCTGACCGCCAGAATGGGGGCTCTGCCCGCCAGAATGGGGGCTCTGACCGCCAGAATGGGGGCTCTGACTGCCAGAATGGGACTCTGACTGCCAGAATGGGGGCTCTGACCGCCAGAATGGGGGCTCTGACCACCAGAATGGGGGCTCTGACTGCCAGAATGGGGGCTCTGAGCGGCAGAATGGGCCTCTGACCGCCAGAATGGGGCTCTGACCGCCAGAATGGGGGCTCTGACCGCCAGAATGGGGGCTCTGACCGCCAGAATGGGGGCTCTGACTGCCAGAATGGGGCTCTGACTGCCAGAATGGGGGCTCTGACCGCCAGAATGGGGCTCTGACCGCCAGAAAGGGGCTCTGACCGCCAGAATAGGGGCTCTGACCGCCAGAATGGGGCTCTGACTGCCAGAATGGGGACTCTGACCGCCAGAATGGGGCTCTGACTGCCAGAATGGGGCTCTGACCGCCAGAATGAGGCTCGAACCGCCAGAATCGGGCTCGGACCGCCAGAAAGGGGCTCTGACCACCAGAATGGGGGCTCTGACCGCCAGAATGGGGGCTCGGACCGCCAGAATCGGGCTCGGACCGCCAGAAAGGGGCTCTGACCGCCAGAATGGGGCTCTGACCGCCAGAAAGGGGCTCTGACCGCCAGAATGGGGGCTCTGACTGCCAGAATGGGGCTCTGACTGCCCGAATGGGGGCTCTAACCGCCAGAATGGGGCTCTGACTGCCAGAATGGGGCTCTGACTGCCAGAATGAGGCTCGGACCGCCAGAATCGGGCTCGGACCGCCAGAATGGGGCTCTGACCGCCAGAATGGGGCTCGGACCGCCAGAATGGTGGCTCTGACCGCCAGAATGGGGCTCTGACCGCCAGAATGGGGCTCTGACCGCCAGAATGAGGCTCTGACCGCCAGAATGGGGGCTCTGACTGCCAGAATGGGGCTCTGACTGCCAGAATGGAGGCTCTGACCGCCAGAATGGGGCTCTGACTGCCAGAATGGGGCTCTGACCGCCAGAATGAGGCTCGGACCGCCAGAATCGGGCTCGGACCGCCAGAAAGGGACTTTGACCGCCAGAAAGGGGGCTCTGAACGCCAGAATGGGGCTCTGACTGCCAGAATCGGGGCTCTGAGCGGCAGAATGGGGCTCTGACCGCCAGAATGGGGGCTCTGACTGCCAGAATGGGGCTCTGACTGCCAGAATGGAGGCTCGGACCGCCAGAATGGGGCTCTGACTGCCAGAATGGGGCTCTGACCGCCAGAATGAGGCTCGGACCGCCAGAATCGGGCTCGGACCGCCAGAAAGGGGCTTTGACCGCCAGAATGGGGGCTCTGACCGCCAGAATGCGGCTCTGACTGCCAGAATGGGGCTCTGACCGCCAGAATGGGGCTCTGACCACCAGAATGGGGGCTCTGACTGCCAGGATGGGGGCTCTGACCGCCAGAATGGGGGCTCTGACCGCCAGAATGGGGGCTCTGACTGCCAGAATGGGGGCTCTGACCGCCAGAATGGGGCTCTGACCGCCAGAATGGGGCTCTGACCGCCAGAATGGGGGCTCTGACCGCCAGAATGGGGCTCTGACTGCCAGAATGGGGGATCTGACCGCCAGAATGGGGCTCTGACTGCCAGAATGGGGCTCTGACCGCCAGAATGGGGCTCTGACTGCCAGAATGGGGGCTCTGCCCGCCAGAATGGGGCTCAGACCGCCAGAATGGGGCTCTGACCGCCAGAATCGGGGCTCTGACCGCCAGAATGGGGCTCTGAACGTCAGAATGGGGGCTCTGACCGCCAGAATGGGGGCTCTGACTGCCAGAATTGGGCTCTGACTGCCAGAATGGGGGCTCTGACCGCCAGAATGGGGCTCTGACCGCCAGAATGGGGCTCTGACCGCCAGAATGAGGCTCGGACCGCCAGAATCGGGCTCGGACCGCCAGAAAGGGGCTTTGACCGCCAGAATGGGGGCTCTGACCGCCAGAATGGGGCTCTGACTGCCAGAATGGGGGCTCTGAGCGGCAGAAAGGGGCTCTGACCGCCAGAATGGGGCTCTGACCGCCAGAATGGGGGCTCTGACCGCCAGAATGGGGGCTCTGACCGCCAGAATGGGGCTCTGACTGCCAGAACGGGGCTCTGACCGCCAGAACGGGGGCTCTGACCGCCAGAATGGGGCTCTGACTGCCAGAATGGGGCTCTGACTGCCAGAATGAGGCTCGGACCGCCAGAATGGGGCTCTGACCGCCAGAAAGGGGCTCTGACCACCAGAATGGGGGCTCTAACCGCCAGAATGGGGGCTCTGACTGCCAGAATGGGGGCTCTGACTGCCAGAATGGGGCTCTGACTGCCAGAATGAGGCTCGGACCGGCAGAATGGGGCTCTGACCGCCAGAATGGGGGCTCTGACCGCCAGAATGGGGCTCTGACTGCCAGAATGGGGGCTCTGACCGCCAGAATGGGGCTCTGACTGCCTGAATGGGGGCTCTGCCCGCCAGAATGGGGCTCTGACCGCCAGAATGAGGCTCGGACCGCTAGCATGGAGCTCTGACCGCCAGAATGGGGCTCTGACCGCCAGAATGGGGGCTCTGACCGCCAGAATGGGGCTCTGACTGCCAGAATGGGGGCTCTGACCGCCAGAATGGGGCTCTGACTGCCTGAATGGGGGCTCTGCCCGCCAGAATGGGGCTCTGACCGCCACAATGAGGCTCGGACCGCTAGCATGGAGCTCTGACCGCCACAATGGGGCTCTGACCGCCAGAACGGGGCTCTGACCGCCAGAGTGGGGCTCTGACCGCCAGAATGGGGCTCTGACTGCCAGAATGGGGGCTCTGACCGCCAGAATGGGGCTCTGACCGCCAGAATGGCGCTCTGACCGCCAGAATGGGGGCTCTGACCGCCAGAATGGGGCTGTGACTGCCAGAATGGGGCTCTGACCGCCAGAATGAGGCTCGGACCACCAGAATCGTGCTCGGACCGCCAGAAAGGGGCTCTGACCGCCAGAATGGGGCTCTGACCGCCAGAATGGGGCTCTGACCGCCAGAATGGGGGCTCTGACCGCCAGAATGGGGGCTCTGACCGCCAGAATGGGGGCTCTGACCGCCAGAATGGGGCTCTGACTGCCAGAACGGGGCTCTGACCGCCAGAACGGGGGCTCTGACCGCCAGAATGGGGCTCTGACTGCCAGAATGGGGCTCTGACTGCCAGAATGAGGCTCGGACCGCCAGAATGGGGCTCTGACCGCCAGAAAGGGGCTCTGACCACCAGAATGGGGGCTCTAACCGCCAGAATGGGGCTCTGACTGCCAGAATGGGGGCTCTGACTGCCAGAATGGGGCTCTGACTGCCAGAATGAGGCTCGGACCGGCAGAATGGGGCTCTGACCGCCAGAATGGGGGCTCTGACCGCCAGAATGGGGCTCTGACTGCCAGAATGGGGCTCTGACCGCCAGAATGGGGCTCTGACTGCCTGAATGGGGGCTCTGCCCGCCAGAATGGGGCTCTGACCGCCAGAATGAGGCTCGGACCGCTAGCATGGAGCTCTGACCGCCAGAATGGGGCTCTGACCGCCAGAATGGGGGCTCTGACCGCCAGAATGGGGCTCTGACTGCCAGAATGGGGGCTCTGACCGCCAGAATGGGGCTCTGACTGCCTGAATGGGGGCTCTGCCCGCCAGAATGGGGCTCTGACCGCCAGAATGAGGCTCGGACCGCTAGCATGGAGCTCTGACCGCCAGAATGGGGCTCTGACCGCCAGAATGGGGCTCTGACCGCCATGGCCTGACTGCCAGAATGGGGGCTCTGACCGCCAGAATGGGGCTCTGACTGCCTGAATGGGGGCTCTGCCCGCCAGAATGGGGCTCTGACCGCCACAATGAGGCTCGGACCGCTAGCATGGAGCTCTGACCGCCACAATGGGGCTCTGACCGCCAGAACGGGCTCTGACCGCCAGAGTGGGGCTCTGACCGCCAGAATGGGGCTCTGACTGCCAGAATGGGGGCTCTGACCGCCAGAATGGGGCTCTGACCGCCAGAATGGCGCTCTGACCGCCAGAATGGGGGCTCTGACCGCCAGAATGGGGCTGTGACTGCCAGAATGGGGCTCTGACCGCCAGAATGAGGCTCGGACCACCAGAATCGTGCTCGGACCGCCAGAAAGGGGCTCTGACCGCCAGAATGGGGCTCTGACCGCCAGAATGGGGCTCTGACCGCCAGAATGGGGGCTCTGACCGCCAGAATGGGGGCTCTGACCGCCAGAATGGGGGCTCTGACCGCCAGAATGGGGCTCTGACTGCCAGAACGGGGCTCTGACCGCCAGAACGGGGCTCTGACCGCCAGAATGGGGCTCTGACTGCCAGAATGGGGCTCTGACTGCCAGAATGGAGGCTCGGACCGCCAGAATGGGGCTCTGACCGCCAGAAAGGGGCTCTGACCACCAGAATGGGGGCTCTAACCGCCAGAATGGGGGCTCTGACTGCCAGAATGGGGCTCTGACTGCCAGAATGGGGCTCTGACTGCCAGAATGAGGCTCGGACCGCCAGAATGGGGCTCTGACCGCCAGAATGGGGCTCTGACCGCCAGAATGGGGCTCTGACTGCCAGAATGGGGGCTCTGACCGCCAGAATGGGGCTCTGACTGCCGAATGGGGGCTCTGCCCGCCAGAATGGGGCTCTGACCGCCAGAATGGGGCTCGGACCGCTAGAATTGGGGCTCTGACCGCCAGAATGGGGCTCTGACCGCCAGAATGGGGCTCTGACCGCCAGAATGGGGGCTCTGACCGCCAGAATGGGGGCTCTGACCGCCAGAATGCTCTGACCGCCAGAATGGGCTCTGACTGCCTGAATGGGGGCTCTGCCCGCCAGAATGGGGCTCTGACCGCCACAATGAGGCTCGGACCGCTAGCATGGAGCTCTGACCGCCACAATGGGGCTCTGACCGCCAGAACGGGGCTCTGACCGCCAGAGTGGGGCTCTGACCGCCAGAATGGGGCTCTGACTGCCAGAATGGGGGCTCTGACCGCCAGAATGGGGCTCTGACCGCCAGAATGGCGCTCTGACCGCCAGAATGGGGGCTCTGACCGCCAGAATGGGCTGTGACTGCCAGAATGGGGCTCTGACCGCCAGAATGAGGCTCGGACCACCAGAATCGTGCTCGGACCGCCAGAAAGGGGCTCTGACCGCCAGAATGGGGCTCTGACCGCCAGAATGGGGCTCTGACCGCCAGAATGGGGCTCTGACCGCCAGAATGGGGCTCTGACTGCCAGAATGGGGGCTCTGACCGCCAGAATAGGGCTCTGACTGCCTGAATGGGGGCTCTGCCCGCCAGAATGGGGCTCTGACCGCCAGAATGAGGCTCGGACCGCCAGAATCGGGCTCGGACCGCCAGAAAGGGGCTTTGACCTCCAGAATGGGGGCTCTGACCGCCAGAATGGGGCTCTGACTGCCAGAATGGGGCTCTGACCACCAGAATGGGGCTCTGACCGCCAGAATGGGGCTCTGACCAGCAGAATGGGGCTCTGACCGCCAGAATGGGGGCTCTGACCGCCAGAATGGGGGCTCTGACCGCCAGAATGGGGCTCTGACTGCCAGAATGGGGGCTCTGACCGCCAGAATGGGGCTCTGACCGCCAGAATGGGGGCTCTGACCGCCAGAATGGGGCTCTGACTGCCAGAATGGGGGCTCTGACCGCCAGAATGGGGCTCTGACTGCCAGAATGGGGCTCTGACCGCCAGAATGAGGCTCGGACCGCAGATCGGGCTGGACCGCCAGAATTGACCGAGGGGGCTCTGACCGCCAGAATGGGGGCTCTGAGCGCCAGAATGGGGGCTCGGACCGCCTGAATCGGGCTCGGACCGCCAGAATGGGGCTCTTACCGCCAGAAGGGGGCTCTGACCGCCAGAATGGGGCTCTGACCGGCAGAATGGGGGCTCGGACCGCCAGATTGGGGGCTCTGACTGCCAGAATGGGGCTCTGACTGCCAGAATGGGGGCTCTGACCGCCAGAATGGGGCTCTGACTGCCAAAATGGGGCTCTGACCGCCAGAATGAGGCTCGGACTGCCAGAATCGGGCTGGGACCGCCAGAAAGGGGCTCTGACCGCCAGAATGGGGCTCTGACTGCCAGAATGGGGGCTCTGCCCGCCAGAGGGGGCTCTGACCGCCAGAATGAGGCTCGGACCGCCAGAATCGGGCTCGGACCGCCAGAAAGGGGCTCTGACCACCAGAATGGGGGCTCTGACCGCCAGAATGGGGGCTCTGACCGCCAGAATGGGGGCTCTGACAGCCAGAATCGGGCTCGGACCGCCAGAATGGGGCTCTGACCGCCAGAAGGGGGCTCTGACCGCCAGAATGGGGGCTCTGACTGCCAGAATGGGGCTCTGACTGCCAGAATGGGGGCTCTGAACGCCAGAATGGGGCTCTGACTGCCAGAATGGGGCTCTGACCGCCAGAATGAGGCTCGGACCGCTAGAATCGGGCTCGGACCGCCAGAAAGAGGCTCTGACCGCCAGAATGGGGCTCTGACTGCCAGAATGGGGGCTCTGCCCTCCAGAATGGGGCTCTGACCGCCAGAATGGGGCTCTGACCGCCAGAATGGGGCTCTGAACGCCAGAATGGGGCTGGGACCGCCAGAATGGGGCTCTGACCGCCAGAATGGGGGCTCTGACCGCCAGAATGGGGCTCTGATCGCCAGAATGGGGGCTCTGACCGCCAGAATGGGGGCTCTGACCGCCAGAATGGGGGCTCTGACTGCCAGAATGGGGCTCTGACCGCCAGAATGGGGGCTCTGACTGCCAGAATGGGGGCTCTGACCGCCAGAATGGAGCTCTGACTGCCAGAATGGGGCTCTGACCGCCAGAATGAGGCTCGGACCGCCAGAATCGGGCTCGGACCGCCAGAAAGGGGCTTTGACCGCCAGAATGAGGGCTCTGACCGCCAGAATGGGGCTCTGACTGCCAGAATGGGGGCTCTGAGCGGCAAAATGGGGCTCTGACCGCCAGAATGGGGCTCTGACCGCCAGAATGGGGGCTCTGACCGCCAGAATGGGGCTCTGACCGCCAGAATGGGGGCTCTGACTGCCAGAATGGGGCTCTGACTGCCAGAATGGGGGCTCTGACCGCCAGAATGGGGCTCTGACTGCCAGAATGGGGCTCTGACCGCCAGAATGAGGCTCGGACCGCCAGAATCGGGCTCGGACTGCCAGAAAGGGGCTCTGACCGCCAGAATGGGGGCTCTGACCGCCAGAATGGGGGCTCTGACCGCCAGAATGGGGGCTCGGACCGCCAGAATCGGGCTCGGACCGCCAGAATGGGGCTCTGACCGCCTGAAGGGGGCTCTGACCGCCAGAATGGGGCTCTGACCGCCAGAATGGGGGCTCGGACCGCCAGAATGGGGGCTCTGACTGCCAGAGTGGGGCTCTGACTGCCACAATGGGGGCTCTGACCGCCAGAATGGGGCTCTGACTGCCAGAATGGGGCTCTGACCGCCAGAATGAGGCTCGGACCGCCAGAATCGGGCTCGGACCGCCAGAAAGGGGCTCTGACCGCCAGAATGGGGGTTGTGACCGCCAAAATGGGGCTCTGACTGCCAGAATGGGGGCTCTGCCCTCCAGAATGGGGCTCTGACCGCCAGAATGGGGCTCTGACCGCCAGAATCGGGGCTCTGACCGCCAGAATGGGGCTCTGAACGCCAGAATGGGGGCTCTGACCGCCAGAATTGGGGCTCTGAGCGCCAGAATGGGGGCTCTGACCGCCAGAATGGGGGCTCTGACCGCCAGAATGGGGCTCTGAACGCCAGAATGGGGCTCGGACCGCCAGAATGGGGCTCTGACCGCCAGAATGGGGGCCCTGACCGCCAGGTCAGCCGGTTAGCAGGCCATTGGGTCAGCTGGTCAGCGTTGTAGTGGGTCCGCACCGCAGGTCAGCCGGTTAGCGGGCCGATGGGCGACTCACATTGACAATGCACGGGAGAAGGAGCGACAAGGAGGAGAGGAGAGACCTGAGAGACCAGAGACAAGAGAAGTGAGAAAGACACTCACAGCCCCAAGGGAAGGCTTGCAGAATCCCACTCACGATGGAGGGCAAGAGGTGACTTTTGAGTCGACTCAAAAGGCTTACAGAATCACACTCACGATGGATGGAGGGCAGGAGGAATGACATTCACGATGCAGGGCAGGAGGAATGACACGGAGGAGAGGGCGAACACGGCCTGCATGCATGTACTCCTTGACCCGCAGCCCCACACGCGACATGAGACGGGAAGCGAGCAAGGAGCCGACCATGGAGGTGAGCATGAAGGCGAGAGGGAGAGAGAGATAGCGACTCACATTGACGATGCAGGGCAGCAGCAGGGATAGAGAGGAGAGGGCGAACACGGCCTGCATGTACACCTCGACGCGCAGCCCCACACGGGACATGAGGCGCGAAGCAAGGGAGGAGCCGACCATGGAGGCGAGCATGAAGAGCGAAAAGATGAAGCCATGCGGGATGGCCTGCTGGGACGGGGCGAGCGCTGGCGTCCAGAGGAACACGAACGTGTACATGCTGCCCTCGAACAGGGATTGGATGGCGCCTAGGAGGGCGATCTTCTCATCTGCAAGGGGGACGGGGAGAGGGAAAAGAGGGAAGAGTACAGGGGAGGAGCGCTGGCGTCCAGAGGAACACGAACGTGTACATGGAACACTCGAACAGGGACTGGATGGCTCCTAGGAGCGCCATCTTCTCGTCTGTTGGAAAGCAAGGGATGGCGGGAGAGGCAGGAGAGAGCGGGGAGAGAGGGGAGGGGGAATGGGGCGAAAGGTTGACAGCGCTGGTAAGGCCCAAAGCGAGTGAACCAGGGAGGATCTAACCAGGGAGGCGAGCATGAGGAGATGACTTTTGAATCGACTCAAAAGTCACCTTTTGAGTCGACTCAAAAGTCACCTCGAGCATGAGGAGAGAGAAGATGAAGCCGGGGGGGGCGTGGCCTGCTGCGAGGGGGAAAGCGCTGGCGTCCACAGGAACACGAAGATGTACACGGAGCCCTCGAATAGGGACTGGATGGCGCCTAGAAGGGCGATCTTCTCGTCTGTTGAAAGGCTAAGGGAAAGGGAAAGGGAAGAGAGAGAGAGGGCAGAGAGAGGGACAGAGCTGGCGTTCAGTTCAGAGGAAGATGAAGATGTGCATGCTGCTGCCCTTGGGTTGGGAGCAGCCCAATACGGCGATCGGGATGAACATGCTGCACCTGAAGCAAGGGCGGTATAGGTCACTTGGAACTGTGTGATGAGCCCCTCATCATCGCCATGGCCCCTGCCCCCTGCCAAGAGGCGATCCTAAGGCGATTACAGTGTACCTGTAGGCCACTTGGACATGTGTGATTAGCCCATGAATTGTGCCACAGTCCCCGTAGATCTCACTCAGTCCACGTGCCCATAACCATGCCATGCCCCCTGCCCCCTGTCGCGCGGGGCTGCGATTCCAGGTGTACATGCAAGCAGGAGTCACCTGAGGCAACGGCAGTGTAGGCCACTTGAAACCGCACCATCAGCCAGTGCGTCTCGTCCGAGTCCATGATCACCGCCATGCCCCCGGCCCCCTGCCAGCAGTACTCACCAGAGGCAACAACACAGCCCCACTGAATCTGACCTGAGGCGATGGCAGTATAAGCCACCTGGAACTGTGTAATCAGCCCGTGTGTCTCGTCAGAGTCCCCATAGTTCTCGCTCCACGTGCCCATGATCACCGCCATGCCCCCTGCCAGCAGCATGGACGCTGCGTCAAAGGGCGCCACTGGCCCAAGTGAGAGATCCGACACCAACACGTTGGCCACCAGACCTGTGCACAGGGGTGGGAGAGGGTGGGTGCGGGGGGAGAGGGTGGGAGAGGGGGGAGTGGGGAAGACAGTCTGCATCAAAGGGCGCCACCGGACCTAGTGAGAAGTCCGATACCAACACGCTGGCCACCAGACCTATACGTGGAGTTGAAGGGAGGATGAGGAAGGGGGGTTGCTTGTTCGGTCAACTCGAGAGGCACCGAGAGGGAGTTTGTCAACACAGTGGCTACTAGGGCTGCGTACAGGGTGGAAGTGAGATGCAAAGGAGGGTAGGGTGGGTGTGGGGGGGAAGTTGCAGAAGAAACGGCAGGAAGGTAAGGAAACGGCAGGAAGGTAAGGAAACGGCAGGAAGGTAAGGAAACGGTACAAAACTCTTACCCGACAGAATCGCCACGAGCCCATTGCCCAGAAAACTGGCTTTGGAAAAGGTGGTGGAGAGCCAGGACTATGGAGGTTCGACGCCCCGCTTGAAGTGCTCGGCCACAAGCCAGGACTCAAAGGCAGAGAAGTGCAGCCAAGCGGCAACGCCTCCCTCCCAGCACTCTCTGACTGACCCCAGCGATGCGGTGAACGAGCACTGCGAGCACCCCATCACTCACCTGAGAGAATGGCCACCAGCCCGTTGCCTAGAAAAATAGCCTTTGAAAACGTGATGGACAGCCACGGCGGCTCAAAGCCCCGCTTGAAGTGCTCGGCCACCAGCCAGGACTCAAAGGCGGAGAAGAGCAGCGAGGTGGCGATGCCTCCCAGCACGCGGCCAATCACGAGGATGGAGAAGGCAGGGAAGTGCTTGGTGAGGCAGCTGAGGATGTAGGTGATGCAGTAGAGGATGCAGGCGAGGCGACGCCCACTGGGGGGATAATGGTAGGGAGCAGCGAGGAGGGGAGAGGCAAGAGGGGGAAGTGCTTGGTGAGGCAGCTCAGGGCGAGGGTGTCACGCAGTAGAAGATACAAGCCAAACGACAACCGCTGGGGTGGGGGAGATAAGGGATGATATGAGAAACGGAAACGGAATGCCACGGGAAGGTGGGGAGAGGAAGGGGACCCGCAGGGAAGTGTTTGGTGCGTCATGCAGTACAGGACGCCGCCCGGATGACCGCCACTGCGGGTGGGAAGGGCGAGGGCGTTGCAGGGAAGATGCATGCTACACAAATGACCGCTGGGACCGCGCATCCAACCATTGAGCGCGGTGGGCGGTGGGCGGTGGGCGGTGGGCGGTGGGCGGTGGGTGTTAGAATATTCCCCTATTCTATATTAGCCTACATCGTTTATAAGGCTTAGGTCATTGTAAGCAACCTCTCTCTACTAGGGTGTTGTAACCCTAGGTTGGGGGTTGGCTTCCCACCTTGTTTGGGTTCCAACCTTGGCCATTATTGGCCCCCCCAATGGGCTTGACCTCCCAATTATTGGAGACCCCAATAATCCTACCAAGATTATTGGACCCTCCAATAATCTTGGTTGTGATTATTGGACCCCCCAATAATTCCCAACTCCATTATTGGTGGGGACCAATAATCTTGGCCAAGGTCCCAACCAACCCCCCCCCTTCTTACCCTCACACCCATGTATACCCTCATTTCTTCAATAACACCATCAACTTCTCTTCTCACATGGTATCAGAGCATATGGCTCACGCCACCTCCTAGAACGATCCTGAAAGCGTGTTCCTTCCCACGCCCTCCCTCCGCGCACTCTGCGCCTTACTCCCGCGCATTCCGCGCTGCCCCCCCCTAGCGCACCCCGTGCCTTCTCCGCGCGCATTTCCGCGCCGCTGCCGCATTTCGCGGCTCTCCCGTCGTCGCTCGTCGCGACCGTTCATCTCCGCACTTCGCGGCTCTCCTGTCGCCGTCTGTTGCGACCGTATGTCGCCGCATTTCGCGGCTCTCCCGTCGCCGCATTTCGTGGCTCTCCCGTCGCCGCATTTCGTGGCTCTCCCGTCGCCGCATTTCGTGGCTCTCTCGTCGCCGCTTGTCGCGGCCGCTCGTCGCGGCACTTCGCGACCCTCCCGTCGCCGCATTTCGCGGCCCTCTCGTCGCCGCATTTATCGGCCTTTCCGTCACTGCATTTCGCGGTTGCTCGTCGCCGCATTTTGCGACCCTCCCGTCGTCACCGCTCGTCGTGCGCAGCACGCACTAGCACGCGACGCAATCTCGCCATCCGTGCCGCTCGACGACCCTTTCGTGGAAGGATTCCAAGGCTGCGCGTCGCACAGCTCGTCGCATAAACCCTAAACCTACGGCGACTTAAGAGCTGCGCTCCGCGCACCCGTCCTTTTTCTCCTTCCTCTCTCCTCCTCCCCCTCCCCCCACGTTGCTCGAAGCCGGTCCTTGGTTGCTGGTAGCTGGCTGCAGGTAGCTGATTCCCACCCGCCATGGCAACGGACTCGCTCGCGGTTGACATCAGCACCATCGATGCACTTGAACTCGCCGATGGCGTGGTTCCTATCAATTGGAACTCGTTCGCGCAAAGCATCACCACAGTTCTCGGCTCCACCATCATCAATGACTTCTGCCTCCTCGACATCCTCGAGGACACTGAGGCAGGAAAGCCCCCCTCCCCCCCTGCCAAGCTTGGCCCCCGCCCTCCCCCCCCCCCTGATCCCCCCTCAGGACCTGAGCCCATCAAGCCCACTCACCCCGAGTACAACACTGATCCTGACCGCTGGGCTCGCCTCCGCACTAAGTACAACAAAGACTTCGCCGAATACACTCTTCTCCAACACACCTACTCCGAGAAGCAGAACGCCCACGACGAGGCCAAAGCACTCATCTCCAAGTATGACGAAGACGTTGCTCAGCATGCCGCAGACTCTCGTGATTTTCGCACTCGCTATGCTGCTTGGGTTCAAGCTGACCGCAAATGCCTCTCCATCCTCATTGCTTGTGTCCCTTCCTCCCTTAAACGCGATATCAATCCCTCCTCCTCTGCCTCTTTCTGGAAGGAGCTTTGTGCCACCTATGACCTGCAGGACACAAACTCCCTCCTCGCACTCCATCGTGCATTCCTCGAGATCACACTCGATAGCTGCCCCAACGCGCTTGCTTTCACCCGGCGCCTCACCTCCACTGCCAGCCGCCTCGCTGCTCGCGGCTCAGCTCTTCCCGATTCCCTCCTCGTGTGCCGCCTCCTCGACAACCTCTTGCCGATGTTTGACACGCGCAAGGTGGCCTTCGATGAAGTCCATGCCCGCTACCCGCCTGACTCCACCGAGGTCGTCACGTGGATCCTAAAGACTGAGGCGGAACTCCTCCGCCAGTCTCCCCCAACCGTGAATGCCGCACAGGCACGTAGTGGACGTGCTGGCGGACGTGGTGGCAGCACGGCGGGGCGCTCTGGAGGAGGTCGCGGGGGCGGACGCAGTGGTGGACGCGGCGGTGGCAGCGGCCGAGGCACCGGTAACTACCCTCCATGTCAGTATCTCATTCGTTACAGCACCAACAAAGGTCAGCCCTGCCTCCAACCTACTCATCCCACAACCACCTGCTTCAAGGCACTTACGGATGAGTGGTTTGACCGTGGGAACACTGGTATCCCACCTCGCTGGTCATCCATGACCCCGCCCCCCACTGCTCTTGATGTTCGCACTTCTCCCGCCTATCAGCCGCCCTCCCTTCGCCAGATCCTGGCACGGCACCTGTCCCCCCAAGTCCTCCAGCAGGTTCAATCCCTTCTCCCTCCGCAGCAGCAGCAGCAGTACACCCAGCAGCAGCAGCAGTACCCCCAGCAGCAACAGCCGTCTCAGCAGCAGTACCAGCAGCAGTACCAACAGCACTACCAGCAGGAGCAGCAGCAACAGCCGCAACAGCAGCCGACTCCTCCTCCCCCATCTCAGCAATCCTCCGCTTCGAGTGCTATACCGGCCACAACTGCCTAGACTCCCTCTGGTCCTCCCGGTTTCACTCCCTTCCCCTTTGCTGGTTTCTTAGGTCATGTTACTCAGCCCGATCCCACTATTCTGTATCCCGAATCTATTAATGAAGCTTCTTTCCAGTATTCCCGGACCCACTCCTCCCCTCCCCTTGAGTTCGTAATTGACAGTGGAGCAAGCGCCACGGTCCTCCGTGACGCCGGTCATCTTGCTCCCCTCACCTCCCCCTCCACCATCCTTGGGGCAGATTCCAGTTTCTCCATCACCACCACTCACACCTCCACTCCACCCTCCCCTGTCCCCTTTTTCCCTCTGGCTCCGTCACAGGTTTTCACATCCCCTCACTTCGTACTAACCTTGTCTCCCAAGGTGCCCTCCAACGTGCCGGGGTGACTACGATCTACCCCGGCCACGCTTCCCACTGTGACTTGTATCACTCCACCTCCGGTCGATTCATCACCCGTGTCCCCTTATGTCCTACCTCTCGTATGTACACCCTTCGCACTCCTCGTCCCGCCCTGTGTCAGGCTGCCTCTCTTACCCCCTCCAGTCCCCCTACACTTTTTCCTCTTCAACCCCCACCCACCAGTCCCTCCTCTCCTCCAGCACCCCCCCCATCCCAATGCCACTGCCGGGATCTCTCCCATCCCGCCCTACTCCTCCATCACCGCCTTGGGCATCCCAATTTTGCCACCCTCCAATGCACTGTTGCCATTGGCCTTCTCAAAGGCCTTCCACTCACCGTTCCCCCTCTCCCTCCCTCTCTTGCCCCTCCCTGCACCATTTGTGTTCAGGCTAAGCTGAAACAACTCCCTCATAAAAGCCACCCCTCATATGCCCCTGAGCTCCTGGACATTGTCCATATGGATCTCTGGGACCCAACCCCTCCCCTACCCGCCAGGGTCACCGCTACCTTCTTGTCCTCGTCGACGATCACTCCCGGTATACCTCGGTCTCTCTCCTTCGAACGAAGGCCGAGGCTCCGGCTGCGATCATCGCTTGGGCAGAGCAGGCCCGTACACACTTTAAACGCCCCGTTCGTCGCTTCCACTCCGATGGAGGCGGCGAATTCCTAAACCAGCAATTTTCCTCATACTGCATTTCCCATGGCATTCGCCATACCCATACCCTTCCGCACTCCCCAGAGCAGAATGGTCTGGCCGAGGCTCGGATTCGAGAGATCACTAAAACTGCTCGATGTCTCCTAGTCCATGCCTCGTGCCCGCCCTCTCTTTGGGGCTATGCCCTCCTCCACGCGACCCTCCTAACTAACCTCTACCCCCCACCCTCCGTCCTTCCACTACCCCTACCGAGCTTTGGACGTCCTCCAAGCCCGATATTTCTCCCCTTCGCGTCTGGGGCTCAAAGGCTCATGTCCTCATACACCCCGCCGACCGCTCTCGCACAGCAGGGAAGCTTGCCTCCAAGGCCCTTCCCTGCATCTTCCTTGGGCACAACCCCTCTTCCCCTGATTACCCTTTCCTCCATCCCCCCTCAGGTCGTCTCATACGTAGTCGGGACGTCGTCTTCGACGAATCCACCCCGTACTACTCTTCCCCCCCCACAAGTGACCCTCTTACAGTCACCCCTCGCCCTCTCACTGTGTCCGACACGATCTCCCTGCCTCTTCTCCCCCCTCCCCCCCTTGTCCCCCCACCTCCCCCTCCCCCACTTCCCCCGTCCTCTGGTCAATCTGACGACGCCTCTGATTTGGTAATCCCCCCCTCTCCCTCCCCCTCCTCCGCTTCCGCCCCTCCTCCTGCCCCTACTCCCGCTTCCACCTCCGCCTCTGATCCCGCCCCAACCGCCACCTATCCTACCCTTCCTGCCCCTGGCCCCGCTCCTGCCCCCCCTCCTGCCCCCGCTCCTGCCCCCGCTCCTGCCCCCGCTCCTGCCCAGGATCAACCTCCTCTTGTTCTTCGACATCGCCCGCATACACGGTCCATGGATCCCATTTTTGGTCCTCCCATCCCTGCCCCCACCTCCCGACCTCAGTCCCCTCACCCTCTCTCCATCCAGATACCATCTGACAGCACCCCCTCCGCCCCTCCTTCTGCAGCACCACCCCCGCCGTACAGCAGCGCAGCAGTCCAGCTGTACAACAGCCCTCCAACTCCGTCATGCAACAACGCAACCATCCCGCCGTGCAGCAGCGCAGCAGTCCAGCATTGCAACAGCAACGTGCAGCCGTGTGGCCGAGTCGCCATCTCGCCACCACCCCTACCTACGCCTCTCTCTCCTCTCCTTATTGAGGACTCCCATGGCGAGTTCCTCCGCCTCCACCTCTTTTCCTCCTCCTGCACCGTCGCCTTCAACGTCGCCGGGGCGCCAATCTTGGTCTTCGAAGGCGCGCCCATCATCTTCGAGCCCGGAGACTATGATGAAGCCATGACCTGCCCTGACATTCCTCATTGGGGAAAGGCCGTCCTCAAGGAGAACGAAGCCTTCGTACGCAATGGCACCTTTGTCGACGTCCCTCGCCCCCCCAACACCAACGTGGTCAAGGGCAAGTGGGTCTTTCGTGTGAAGCTCCTTCCCGGCGATGACCCAATCTACAAAGCTCATTACTGCGCTAAAGGTTTTACGCAGCGGTATGGTCACGACTTCTTCGAGACATACTCACCGACCGCGACACCGTCAGTTGTGCGCGTCTTCCTCGACTTTGTCGGTCGACGTGGCATGATCCTTCACTCCATGGATGTCACTACGGCATTCCTGCAGGGCGAGCTTCATGAACGCATCTTCATGGAGCGCCCCAAGGGCTGGCATCTCCCCATCTCCCCTAATACTGTCTGGGAGATCCGCCGCCCTATGTACGGACTCAAGCAGGCTCCTCGGGAGTGGCACGCCCAGCTCTCCAGCACCCTTCGAGACCTTGGTTTTCGCCCCTCCGCGTCTGCCACCAGCCTCTTCCTCCGCACCTCTCCCTCCCCCTTCTACATTCTCGTCTATGTCGACGATATGTTACTCGCCGCCGACAATGACGCTGAAATGCAGCAAGTCAAGGACGAGCTTCAGAGGCGCCTTGCCTGCAAGGACCTGGGAGAGGTCCGCAACTACCTTGGCATGGAGATCACCCGTGACCGCGCGGCGAAAACCATCTCTCTCTCTCAAGCCTTCTACGTCCAAAAGGTCCTTGAGCGGTTCGAGATGGCCACAGCCAAACCCATCTCCACGCCACTTCCCGTCGGACACCAGCTCTCCCCCGCCGCCACCCCCTCCTCCTCCACTCAACCATACGCCGAGCTCGTTGGGTCCTTGATGTACGAAATGATGTGCACACGTCCTGACCTCGCCTACCCCATCAGCGTCCTGGCACGCTTTGTCGGTGTTGGCAAGCACACTCTCTAGCATTGGCAGGCGGCCAAGCGTGTTCTACGCTACCTGCGAGGCACCAAGGACTATGTCCTCACCCTTGGAGGACCTTCCCCTCCTGCGCTCATTGGCTACAGTGACTCGTCCTGGGCCGACTACCAACCCGACCGCCGCAGTTCTCAAGGGTATGGCTTCTCCCTTGGCAGCGGTCTCATCTCATGGCGCTCCACCCGCTCCTCCTCCATAGCCCTCTCCTCCTGCGAAGCCGAACTTTACGCCGTCACCATGGCGGCCCAGGAGGCACGGTGGCTTAGCTACCTCCTCGTTGAGCTGGATGCCCCCAAGCCCTGTCCCATCATTTGGTGCGACAATGCCAGCACCATTCACCTTACCAAGGAAACCGTCTTCCACGGCCGCTCCAAGCACATCGAGTTGCGCCACTACTTCGTCCGCGAGCTTGTCCAGGCCGGGCACCTGGCCGTCCGCAAGATTGACTCCTCCGCCAACCTTGCAGATATTTTCACCAAAGCTCTCTCTCAGCCCGCTCATGCTACTCTTCTCCGGCTAACTGGCCTCGCTCCTCCCTCCTCTCGCGGGAGCACCTAATTCAGGGGTTGCTCTTTCAAGCGCCTCCGCCTTCTAGCCCTATGTAGGCTAAGGGGTTGTGTTAGAATATTCCCCTATTCAATATTAGTCTACATCGTTTATAAGGCTTAGGTCATTGTAAGCAACCTCTCTCTACTAGGGTGTAGTAACCCTAGGTTGGGGGTTGGCTTCCCACCTTGTTTGGCTTCCAACCTTGGCCATTATTGGCCCCCCCAATGGGCTTGACCTCCCAATTATTGGAGACCCCAATAATCCTACCAAGATTATTGGACCCTCCAATAATCTTGGTTGGGATTATTGGACCCCTCAATAATTCCCAACTCCATTATTGGTGGGGACCAATAATCTTGGCCAAGGTCCCAACCAACCCCCCCCCTTCTTACCCTCACACCTATATGTATACCCTCATTTCTTCAATAACATCAACTTCAATAACACCGCGGTGGGCGGTGGGCGGTGGGCGGTGGGCCCTGGGCCCTGGGCCCTGGGCCCTGGGCCCTGGGCCATGGGCCATGGGCCATGGGCCATGGGCCATGGGCGGTGGGCGGTGGGCGGTGGGCGGTGGGCCTGGGCCCTGGGCCCTGGGCCCTGGGCCATGGGCCCTGGGCCATGGGCCATGGGCCATGGGCCATGGGCCATGGGCAATCATGGGCAATGGGCAATCAATGGGCAATGGGCAATCAATGGGCAATGGGCAATCAATGGGCAATGGGCAATCAATGGGCAATGGGCAATCAATGGGCAATGGGCAATCAATGGGCAATGGGCAATCAATGGGCAACGGGCAATCAATGGGCAATGGGCACGGAGCTAGGCGGTGGGCGGTGGGCAATGGGCGGTGGGACTTGACCCCAGGAGCTCTCCCTTCTGAGCGCTGTGTTATAGCCCACTAGTACGCCGAGTGTGCTAACTTCAGAAACAGCAAAAACACTTACTGTTTCCAGGCAGGAGCAAAGCCAGCAATGAATAGCCACCACTATTTATCTGGCAATCAAAACGTTTTCAAAGCTCACGCACTCCAAGCCTTACAGAAGCACTCACTGTCTGTCAGCCAGCGACCCCACTATGGTGCCAAAGACCATGGAGGAGCCGAAGCCAGCGATGAAGAGGCGGCCGATGTCGCCCTTGTCGTACCCGTAGTGCTGGTACAGCGCGTACACATATGGGCCCTGCAGCCAATCGCCCGCTGCCACGTTGGCATATGGGGGATGAGACGGAGGTGGAGGGAGGTTGGCTAGGAGAGCACGGAGGTGCGAGCAGGTTGGGTAGTAGCTTGAGGGGATGATGTTTGAGGAGATCACCGGGATATTCTAAGGGTGCTATGCCTTTTAACGAACCAGCAAGACACACATAATGTAGCTGTTGAGCGGAGGAAATGGAGGACTGGAGGAACCCACCCATCATGAGGCAGTAGACGAGCAGGTAGTTGCTATTTAGGGACTTGGACCAACTATTGCGTGGATTAAAACTTCATAGCCTACCCATCATGAGGCAGTAGACGAGCAGGTAGTTGTTCTTGAAGGCCTCGAAGGCGGGCGTGGTCTGTGCGCGGTCCTTAGAACTGCGGGAGCACTCGAGCGCCAGGCACAGCACCACCAGCACCGCGAACACCGCCCAGAAATACGCCTCCATGCCTGCTGCTGCTGCTGCTGCTGCTGCTGCTGCTGCTGCTGCTGCTGCTGCTGCTGCTGCTGCTGCTGCTCCTGCTGCTGCTGCTGCTGCTCCTGCTGCTCCTGCTGGTGCTGCTGCTCCTGGTGCTGCTGGTGCTGCTGGCCGAGAGAACGGAGGTCAATTCTAGGCTTGCTGCTGGTCTCTAGGACACAGGTTAGGCCTAAGCGTCACTCCAGCTATCAGCACGCTGCGAGTGCTGCCGGGCTCTGGCACACGGCGCACGCGCACGTGTTTGAGCTGTCAAGAGTGATTCCGCGGATACTCGGAATGCAAACCTTGCGCTCTCGCGATGGCTGCCGGGCTAAGGACGCCTCAGAAAACGAACGGTCTAGAAGCGAACACTACTAACGTCTACATTCGTGTGAACGGCTGAGAGCTATGAACGCGATGGTAACCTGGTTACGGTCGCCTTCAGAAGCAAAAAACGCATTTCGCGAGGCGGAAGGTGACATGGCAGGAGCCAATGCAGAAATGTTGTCGCCCGTATTCCTAAGGCGTATCAACGAAAGACGTTCGCGTTGACTCGAGAGTCAGGACACAGGAGCGACTCGCAAGTCAGTCGAGAAAATACGGAAACTCTTGCAACCCGCCCTTATAAGAATGACCATTGGCACCGTCCCACGATGGCTGTCACGAGTCGTCATTTAGCGGATCATCCGGAATAGCTATGAGACGTCTCGAGCTTCGCTTTACTCTCGGATTTCCGCTTTACTCGTCTCTAGCTTTACCGACTGACAAGAGCTAACGTTGTTTAGCCACGCGATAATTCACTCGATGCGATTGATATTCGCCGTTGACAGAACGTTACTGTACGCCGAGATTATTCGCTTTTCAGACGAAGACGTCGCTGCATTGCGCTTTATAGTATAACATCGCACCAACGTGGCGCTTTCTCAGCTGGATAGCCAATGACGGACCAGCGGACGAGGAGAATGGAGGACACGCAACCGAGAAAGTCACAGGACGGAGTAAGGCGGAGTAACTAACAAGCCTATATATTACTAGACGGCGAAATAAGTTCGCTGGGTGACTGGCGATACAGGACTTGCATCTGACTGACAGGTAAAAGGGATGATGAAAGGTCAGTGTCAGGGGCAGTGAAAATCGACGGCGAGTATTCATTTCTCGGAGGGACATCCGACAGATATGCCTGACATTTCTGATGCACACATGCAGGCATGTTTGATCCGATATAGCTCGCACGAGTGCGATTATGACAGGCACAAAAAACATGCTCTCCTAAAACGATTTAAGAGATAATAGCAGCAGTGTGGTTGAAGCCACATGATACTTGGCGGACATTCAACATGGCTTCTTCCGAAAACTTCCCTGAATTCCCATCAAACGCTCCTCCTGAAACCCACATGGGTTCAAAGAACTCAAACTCATTCCCAAGTCCCTGCGAGGATGATAATAGAAAAGGTGTGGTAAGGTCAATCTTAGCAGCACAAAAGAGAGCGCAGAAATTCAGCAGCACTTGGAATGGACGCTCTAACTGTGCAAAATACGTCGCAACATGTATCCCAACACATCCCATACTTACCAATTGACCGCCTGTTGACCTGGATTCAATTGCATGCGATCCCTGAGAGCCGCCCCAGCCCCACGTGTATAATCTGCCAACTGCTGCTGCACATAATGATTGCTCTTCACCCGCATCTGCACCACCTGAGTTAGCCAGAAAGTAGAGCACGACGAGTGCCATGACTTTCACAGGGCAGACCAAATGGCTTGAAGGCGACTTCACACCTCACCATTGCGAAAGGTCTGAGTTGTGAGCTTGAACGTCTACATAAGAAGAAGCTCAGGGATTACCGTATTAAGAACCACTGGCTGGGCACTCACAAGCGACAGCAGCAGTGTGCTTCCATCCGCACGACACCTGCACCACCCGCTTCCCTGCTAGCCTGCCAGCCACCTTCACAGGCACTGCTGAGGGGGGCGAGTGGCGCGGGCTGCAGGGGAAGAGGAGAGGCGAAGAGAGGGGGAGAAGGTTGGTGACATTGAGCAGAAGGACATCAGACCCTTGGTGAGACTACAAAGGTCCACAACAGCCGCGGGGTACCCTTACCATCAGGGGGCACACTGGTATGTAGACATTCAAAGAGCGAGAACGCAATGGCCTATAGTCACATTGCACGGAGGTACATGAGAGCATTAGGGACGTATGTAGTACGAACCCATGGCCAAGACAGCCATACTCGTTGGCACCCCACGTGAAGAGGTGTCCGGGCCCTGTACGGCATGCAGGGGGGAAAGTAAAAAAGGAATGCTGAAAAGAATGACAAACAAAACTAATATTCAGACGGCAGCAGAAGAGGGTGCAGATGCGTGGCTTAGCAGCAAGAGAGGGTGCAGATGCGTGGCTTAGCAGCAAGAGAGGGTGCAGATGCGTGGCTTAGCAGCAAGAGAGGGTGCAGATGCGTGGCTTAGCAGCAAGAGAGGGTGCAGATGCGTGGCTTAGCAGCAAGAGAGGGTGCAGATGCGTGGCTTAGCAGCAAGAGAGGGTGCAGATGCGTGGCTTAGCAGCAAGAGAGGGTGCAGATGCGTGGCTTAGCAGCAAGAGAGGGTGCAGATGCGTGGCTTAGAAGCATATGCATGATTGGTATGCTTGGTATACTCGGTATGCTTGCTTGGTATGCTTGGTATGCTCGGCATGCTTGCTTGGTGTGCTCGGTATGCTTGCTTGGTATGCTCGGTATGCTTGCTTGGTATGCTTGGTGTGCTCGGTATGCTTGGTATTCTTGCTTGAGATGCTTGCTATGCTCGGTATGCTTGGAATTCTTGCTCGAGATGCTTGGTATGCTCGGTATGCTTGCTTGGTATGCTTGGTGTGCTCAATATGCTTGCTTGGTATGCTTGGTATGCTCGGCATGCTTGCTTGGTATGCTTGGTGTGCTCAGTATGCTTGTGTGGTATGCTCGGTATGCTTGATTGGTATGCTTGGTATACTCGGTATGCTTGCTTGGTATGCTCGGTATGCGTGCTTGGTATGCTTGGTATGCTCGGTATGCTTGCTTGGTATGCTTGGTATGCTTGCTCGGTGTGCTTGGTATGCTCGGTATGCTTGCTTGGTATGCTCGGTACGCTTGCTTGGTATGCTTGGTATGCTCGGTATGCTTGCTTGGTATGCTTGGTATGCTTGGTATGCTCGGTATGCTTGCTTGGTATGCTTGGTATGCTCGGTATGCTTGCTTGGTACGATTGGTATGCTCGGTCTGTGGGTTTGAGCTGCTCCACTAGCTGTCACTAGCCATCACCCATATCAACTTATCACCCGAATCACCCTATCTCCAGGTGTGCTCTATGTCTCTGAGGTCGGCTCTGTGGGTTTGAGCTGCTCTATGTGTCTTTGAGGTTAGAACTATGTGTCAGAGATGCTGTCCCTAGCTGTCACACGCGAAGGAGGGTGCGGATGCGTCTCCATAAGTCATCAGAGCATAGTATCACCTGTGACAGCAGCAGTGTGGTAACCACCACAGGACACATCCGTTACAGCATGCTGCAGAGACGCCACCTCCACTGGCTCCTCCCTATCCTTATGGTCCCCCAACCCCTGCAAGCAATCATGCACGCATGCAGGCACGGCACAGCGCAATGCACATGCTCAAATGGCCACCATGGGTGCAGATGACACCTCCACTAGCTCCTCCCTGTCCTTATGGTTCCCCAACCCCTGCACGCATCGACACATTCACACAAGCAAGGCGCAGCACAATGCATATGCTCAAATGGCCACCATGGCACAGATGATGCATGTGGTCACGGCACACGTGATGCATGTGGTCCTGGCACAGATGATGCATGTGGTCATGGCACACGTGATGCATGTGGTCCTGGCACACGTGGTGCATGGGCATGCGCAACACAGACGTGAGGTGTGAGTGGGTGCTGTGCATGCTCCCAGGGAAACATGGTGCATGCCATGCCATGCCATCACTCACCAGCTGAGCGAATCTGTTTCCTCCGAATACAAACAGGCGGCCGCTGTCTGCCAAGGTTGCATACAGATGTGCACACGGATGCATGCATGCAGGCAGCACAGACACAGCCAAATGCATGCATGCATGCAGCCCAGACACAGACACAAGCACAAGCACATGCACACACACACACACACACAATCACACACGCATGCGCACGAACACGCATGCGCACACAAGGGGGATTAAAGCTTCTCAAGTGATACAGCACTCCCACTGTTAGGTCGACCACATGCCAGGATTGTCGTCACCACACCTATAGCATAAGCAGGTGCATGTCATCACGACATGCTCAGCTGAACTACATGCTCGACTGCATAACTACATGCTCGACTGCACAACTACATGCTCGACTGCATGGCTACATGCTCGACTCACCATCGACACATGCAGAGTGCAGCATGCCGGCAGCTACACGCACCACCTGATGCACAAGAGGACACACAAGGGCGTGTGATAAGATCATGTGATAACCGCTTTTGAGTCAAAAGCGCACCACTTGATGCACAAGAGGACACACAAGGGCATGTGATAAGATAGTGCACTGAGTGCAGCATACACGTGAGCATGGGAACGCGAAATGACTTTTGAGAATGGGTTCTGCGTAGTGTGACTCAAAAGGCAGCATACACGTGAGCATGGGAACGCGAATGAAGATTATACTACATAAATGCATGGAGGCAGCGTGCGGGCACACCACATCCCTGACACCACATCCCACCTCATACTAATCAGCTCAGCTTGCATACCTTAGTGTTGGCCATGGCATGCACAAGCCGAGGGATGGTCTCGCTGCGAAAGTAGGGAGAGGGGAGAGGAGATGCGAAGGGAGAGGCGGATTTAGCCGTACCAGATTGAAGAAACTGGGTCAGGGAAAGAGCAAAGCACACACGGAGCACAGCATAACGAATCCAGGGATTGCAAGGGAGAGGCTCACACCTGGATTTCCTGGAGAGGCGAGAGAAGAGGGGCAAAGGACCATGGCCCAGACTGCCCTTCCCCCAAGAGAGCAGCTGACCGTCCGCTGAAAAATGTAGGGGGGGATTGGGAAGGGTGGAAGGGGGAATTTTTTGGGGGGAAAGGGAGGAGATGGAAGGGAGGGACTGAACGTTGAAGCCATGGCCCAGTGTAACCTTCCCCGTGAGAGGATCTGGTCGCCGCTGAGAGAAAGGAGATGGGCAGATCCAACCCCGTTCTTCCCAACCCCGTCCTTCCCAACCGCGAGAAAGGAAAGGCTGGGAAGAACAGGGTTGGGAAGAACGGGGTTTTAAGGAGCAAAGAGGCATGTCTGGGGCGGCAGGCAGGCGATGCGTGAGCATGGTATGGCACGACTGGGAATAAGTGGTACACCTTAGGTACACCTTAGGTCACGAGTGGATGAATGGAGGAAGGGCGAAATGGAGGAATGGAGCCAACCAGCAGAAGAAGGTTCCAGGCAGCATACCAGTGACGGGGGTCTGCTGAGCTGTCCCCCCAGTGCCACGTGGCACATGACTCAAGAGTCTTGACTCAAAAGTCACCTCGTTACAAAATCACACCTATACAGTGTCAACTGCAGCGGCCTACCAGTGACAGCGAGGGTGTGCTGCCCCCCCAGTGCCATGTGCTGGATTGACACTCCTCTCAGCGCCTCTGGCACACGTGGCGAATGCACCTTCGATGGACCGCCTGGCACACGGGATGGCGCGGAAAGAGGGGGAAGGGGAAGGGGTGGTGACTCTAACATAAAACGGAAGTAAAAGTGGAGGGGAAAGAGACAGATGAGCATCAATGGGGAACGGTAATGACGGCCCAGGGGAGAAAAATGACAAGCGAAATTTGGCTCAAAACAAGACAGTGCGAAAGCACAGTCAGAACAGCTTACGTGAGCCGAGTCCGACCTGGCTGGCAGCATTGCCGCCCCACAGGTACATTTGGCCGGCATCTGAAAACGAATAGGGACGGAGTGAAGGGTAGTGAGATAAGGGGCGAGATAAGGGGTGATAAAACACGGGGGACGAACATGCATAGGCCCAGTCAATGTGGGGCGTGGTGGAACGATGCGTGCATGGATAGATGGAACGAATGCAGTTACCATTCTTGAGGCGCCTCAAAAATAGACTCCTCACGAATGTGGGGCGTGGTGGAAAGATATGTGCATGGATAGATGGAACGAACGCAGTTACCATCTATGGCGGCTGAATGGAAAGCAGCAGCTGCAACGGCCACAACAGGCCGATCAAATCCGACCACCTCCTTGGGGGACTGCGGCGAACGGGGATCAAGGGATCTCGCAGACGAGCATGGGAATGCAGGGGCGTTCGTGAGCCAAGGTGTTGGGCCGGAAGAACATGAGGTTGTGGAGACCAGCCACACAAAGTCGGTGCACTTGGTATTGTTGAAGGAAGGGCACACAATTGTTAGGCGAAGGCCGGTGGAAGGTCAGCAGCGCTGACACTAGTGTCAGAAGCAGCAGCACTCACAGTGACGTATGGGGGAGCGTTGGAGTCGCCAACCCCCAGCTGCCCTTTGTCGTTGAGTCCCATGGTGAACACGCGGCCATCCGCTGCATTGGCGCATTGAGAAAATCAAGGGAGCAATCGGAATGACACGAGAGCATTCAATGCCGCATGAAAGGGAATTCAATGCCGCATGGAAGGGAATTCAATGCCGCATGGGAGAGCATTCTATGTCCCAATGGTACCATTCAAAATCGCAAGGAAAGAGCATACGACGAGGGGGGCTTGCACCTGTCAGCACGAGCGTGTGAGCACCGCCACACGCCACCTGGCAAACGTCTTTATCCTCCAGAGCCGCGCATACGCGGGGGACATTAACAGACCCCCCATCCCCATCCCCATCCCCATCCGCATCCGCATCCCCACTCCTATCCCCCTCTCCTCCCGCGGCTCTCCCCCAACCCCACCACCCTCCGCCTCCCCCGCTCCCCCCGCTGCTCTTCCCCCCCTCACCCCCCAGCCCCAGCCGTCCGTGATCCCCGTTTCCCCACAGCGCAACCTTCCTTCGAGACGCCTCAAACGTGGAATTCCGCTTTTCCCGCGAAGCATCTGTTGAAGCGCGCCGATTCGACTCGTGCTGTGGATTTGGCCCGTGGAGGGTCGCCACGTGGCGGTTGCTCTGTGTCGCAGCGTCCGTGGTTCTGATAACAGATTCCGTCAACGGCGCCGTCACCGCGGAAATATCAGCCGCGGATGCGAGGGAGACTACGTGCTTTCGCGCTAGTCGCGTTTGGCGCGCGAGATGCAACGCGGAGCGCGGAAGGCTCATGGCAGACAAAATGAACGACGAAGAGGAGCAAGGTATGATAGCCTCCAGTCGAAGTAGGAGACTGCTGGGAGGAAGACTAGACTGACTGCTCGGCTGTGAGAATACTGATGTGCTGCTGCCATGCAACAATGCTGTGCAAATAGCCCCAGCTCCACTTTGCTCCCCTGAAGAGGAAAGAAAAACCGTATCAAACCGATCTCTGAATTATCTCGGCCCAACCAAACCCCTCTCCCCCAGAAGTTCTTGTCCCCGTGACGTAGCGTCAGGAAGAAGCGAGAGAAGCTTCTGCATGCAGGGTGGTTCAGTGCGCGACATTCGCGTTACTTCGCGACGGACGCTCTTGAAGACAAGCAGGGCGACGCAAAAGAAATTCAGGCACTGAACGTTTTCGCACGCTTCGCAGATTTCGTAAACCACTGTACCCGCAATCAACGCCAGCAAACCTGGATTCTGGAGTTTGGGCGTGCCATTTCGGGAATGGGATCCCTTGTCAGACCAAAACGGAATGCCGGGCAGTTGTACATCTGTTTGCCTACAGTTCATGAAAGAGTGCTCCTGTCAGACACACAGATTTTTGGGCAGGAAAAGCGCGGGCACTTTTTCGCCTGCCTTAGTTCTCAGGGATTCTCCTCTAGTCCAGGGCAATGCCACCTGCAGATGTCTAGAAAACACTTCCCCAGGGCATTCAGCAGCAGGTATTCAGCAGCAGAAAATACTTTCCCAGGGCCTGGAGAACAACATACCACAGTCTTGGCTGAGTCGCTCGCTAGTCCCTTAGTTTTTCCCGCATCAGTCCGCGTGCTTTCACTCCTTCCGCGTGATTCAGTCACTGGTTGAGTAGGGGTATTGCTTAGCATTTAGCTATGGCGGCGGTCGCGGTGCTGCCGGCACCCACGCCGTTCAAAGCGGCTCGAGCCGTGGTGGCGGTGATGGAGGCGTATCGCGACGCGCGCGTGCAGTTCGTCACGAAAGTCGGCGAACTCGCGGTCTCGCCTCAGGTGCGCTTTAATCTCCGTCGCCGTTTAGTCCCAGTTTCCGTCAGAACTGCAAGAATTCGCGAGCTTCGCGCGTTGCGAGAACGCGGAGGCTCTGGCCGAATTCAAATTCGAATTCGAGGTATTTCCGCGCGTGTGATTACGTAGTTACATGCGTCTACGTGCTCGTAACCTTCTCTCAATCCCCACCTGCCATTTTCCCCGCAGAACGCGGAGGCTCTGCTGTCCCTCGGCGCGCTGCAGCTGCTGCTGCCGCTCGCGCAGGACAGCATGTCGTCCGTGCGATCCGCGGCGATGCTGTCGCTGGGTCGCCTGGCGAACGTGTCGCACACGTGGGCCCACCATCTGGTGCAGCGCAATGTGCTGCCTACTCTCTGCAAGGCGCTCACGTCAGTACCGCTGTCGCCATTCGTGATGCCTTGACTGTTGCAATAATTGCGTTTCGTGCAGATTGGTTGTCTCTTGACTCGCCTCTTATTACCTCTTACGTTATAACGCCTCGCTACCCACTGGGTCAAAACGAGGTTACCAGAGGGGCGCAGCGGAATTGCACGTTCACATCTCAAGTACGTTACACTCGTGCCCTCCCCCTTCCCTCCCCCTTCCCTCACCATCCCTTCTCCGCACGTCTGCCTTTTTGAGCTGGCTGGCATCGTCCATTCCTCTCGTTAATTAATCAAATCCATCTCTCCTCGCCCCCCACCTCCCTTCCCCCTCTCCCCCTCCCATTCCCAGTGGTACCAATCGTCACCACAAGCGGTCTGCAGCATACCTAGTCAAAGCTGTGTCGCGCCACGCTGGCGCTGAGCTGGCAGAGGCGGGTGTTCTGCCCTTGCTGACGGAGTGCCTCCTGGATGCCATGCTGGCGGTGCGCGAGACTGCTGCGTGCGCATTGGGCCACGTGGCGAAGCACAGCGGTGTCATGGCTATGAGAGTGGTTGAGACGGGTGCAGTGCGGTTGCTGGTGACATGCCTTCAGGTGGGGCTCGCAACAATAAGGTGTAATGAAAGAAGGTCACGAGGTGACCTAATGGGTTCTAAATGCCTCTCTGATTTCTACAACATGCACATGTATTCATCCCATCCCCTCGGCATGTCCCATCGCCTTGCATGACCCCATTCCGCTCCGTTCCCCCGTTCGGTTGCATGATCCATATCCCATCCATCCCATGCAGGATGAGGCTGTAGCACGCATTGCGCTGACGGTGCTCAGGCATTCGCTCCTGCATGCTACAGCCAAGGTCAAGGCACATGTTTCCTTCCCCCCTCTATTCCCATCCATCCCACACAGGATGAGGCTGTAGCGCGTATCGCCCTGTCAGTGCTGAGTGACGTGGCACGGCACTCGCTGCTGCACGCTACAGCTGTGGCAGATGCTGGCGGCGTTGCAGCCGCGGTCTCTCTGTTGGGATCACCTGACGTCAAGACAAGGCGCCAGGTGCTGTACTCGCAGCAACTGTTGTTACGATTTGATTACGTCATGGCGCCTATGTCTTGCCCATGCATCCCCGACCCCCAATACCCGCACTCCCCACAACCCCTACCGCCCCTCGGCACAACCCCCGTCTGTCCGCCTCTGCCTCCTCTGCTCGGCTCGGCTCGGCTCCGGCTTCGGCTACAGTGAAGCCGCGAGCCGAGCCGGCTCGGACTTTAGTCCATGTCTATTGCCAAGTGAGACCTTGTCAAGTGAGACCTTGCCAAGTGAGACCTCCTCCTCCTCCCTCGCTCCCTGCAGCTCCCGTCCTCCTCCCTCTCTCACTCCCTCACTCTTCTCTCACTCTTCCCTCACTCTTTCTTCAAACTTCCGTCACTCTTCCCTCTGACCTTGTCGTCTGCTCCTGTCCCCCTCTGCACAAGCACCTACACCTTTGCATCCCTCTGACACCTTTTTGCGCCCTTATGCACCACACTCCATCCCGCCGGTGCCTCACTTAACGCTGCTGTACTCCGCTGCCACTCTGCTACCCCTATATGCCCACCGAACTCCTCTGCTCTGTACTCCTTGCAGGGCTGCGTCTGCCTTTCTACCATCGCCAGGCACTCTGAATCTCTCGCCCTAGTAAGTGCTGCTCTGAACCATTCTCAAACTCTCTGAACCGCTAGCCCTGGTAGTAAGCCTACTATCCGCATGGCATGGCCCTGGTAAGCCTACTACCCGCATGGCATGGCCCTGGTAAGCCCACTACCCGCATGGCATGGCCCTGGTAACCCTACTTGAGTCTGTCTGCACGCCCCTCTCTATTTCCTGCTCCCCCATCTCCCAGCAAGTGTTGGACGAGCCCGGTGCCGCGTGTCTGCTCCTGTGTCTGCATGACGCAGCCTCCTCCCTGTGAGCGTCCGCAGCAGCAGCAGCAGCAGCAGCAGCGCTGAGGGAAGTGGCCAGGCATAGGGAGCAGAAGCGGTATGCTTATTCCCCTTTTCCCTCCCCAGCACCTCCTCCCCCCCCCCCACACCACCCCACCCCACCCCCCGTCTCTCAGCAAGTATTGAACGAGCCCGGGGCATCGCGTCTGCTGCTGTGTCTGTCTGCACGACTCAGCCTCCTCCCTGCGAGCATCGGCAGCAGCAGCGCTGAGAGGAGTGGCCAGGCATAAGCGTCGTTGGGCTGGACTTATCCCATGTTCGTCTCCCAACACCCCCCCCCCCCTCTCGCCTCTCAGCAAGTATTGAACGAGCCCGGGGCATCGCGTCTACTGCTGTGTCTGCACGACTCGGCCTCCTCTCTGCGAGCATCGGCAGCAGCAGCGCTGAGAGAAGTGGCCAGGCAGGGGCCGGCAGCAGCGGAGAGGCTGGTGGGGATGGGGGCCATAGGGCCGCTGCTGGATGCTGTGGGGGGGTGGAAGGAGGAGGGGGAAGGGGAGGGAGAGGGGAAGGGGTTGAAGAAAGGCTCTGCCAAGCTTTCAGGTGGGTGACTTGTGTTCTCCTTGCGTTTTTCTTTCCTTGCTGCAACAAGAGAGTTGGCCCGTAGCAGCAGGCTGGCTGGTGGGGATGAGAGCCATAGGGCCGCTGATGGATGCTTTGGGGGGGTGGAAGGAGGAGGGCGAAGGGGAGGGAAAGGGGACGAAGAAAGGCTCTGCCAAGCAATCAGGCAGGTTGCGTAGTGGCTTGTGTTTTCTTTGCCTGTTCTCTTGCCTATGCCTTTTTTCCGATGCAGTGCCATTGCAGCCTTGTTTTACCTCACACTATCCCCAACCGTTCTACCCCTTATCCCCCACCACCTCCCAGTGGTGGTGGCCCTCGGCTTCCTGGCAGCTTCCTCCCCCGACGCCGCTCTGGCAGTGGTAGCGTCGGATGGCATATCCCCGCTGCAGGACCTCATAGTGGAGGGCGACGCCGACGCTGCTGTCAAAGGGGCATGTGCGTGGGCACTCTCGCAACTGGCGTCTCATGGGTGAGGATGGGCGTGCTACCATAGTATAGGTAGCATCGGACGGCATATCCCTGCCGCAGGACCTTACAGTGGAGGGAGACGCCGACGCCGCTGTCAAAGGGGGTTGTGCGTGGGCGCTCTCTCAAATAGCTTCCCATGGGTGAGGGCTGTGGGGGGCGGGGCGGGGGGGTGGGCGCTCTCAAATAGCTTCCCATGGGTGAGGGCTTGCACATCGTAATGGAGGGCGACGCCGATGCTGCTGTCAAAGGGGCGTGTGCATGGGCGCTCTCTCAAATAGCTTCTCACGGGAGGGTGAAGGTGGGTGAGGGTGGGTGAGGGTGGGTTATGGTGGGTTAGGGTGGGTGAGGTGTTACGATGCATGCGTCGCTGGCAGTGGTAGCGTCGAACGGCATATCCCCGCTGCAGGACATCCTAGTGGAGGGCGACACTGACGCTGCTGTCAAGGCGAGGGGTGCTTAAGCGCTCTCGCAGCTGGCATCTCATGGGTCAGATTAGAGGCGTGAGGGAGAGATGACTTGAAGGGAGAGGCGATGGGGTGGGATCATTGGATAAGGTGGCATAGTATGGGTGAGAGAGCATCGTACATGGTATGCTACTGCACTCCCCATCCTCCCTCCTCCCTCCTCCCCCCTCCCTCCTCCCTCCTCCCTCCTCCCTCCTCCCTCCTCCCTCCTCCCTCCTCCCTCCTCCCTCCTCCCTCCTCCCTCCTCCCTCCTCCCTCCTCCCGCCTCTCCCTTCTCCTGTTCCCTCCAGTAACAGCCATGCCAAGGCAGTGGCGGACAGTGGGGTACTGATCGACATGGTAACAGCAGCTGCTGGTTGATTACCCACAATGTGATCCCTCTCCATCTGTTGCACCGTCCTGTTGCACTTCCCTGCCGCTGTACTCGTTTGCACCTGCCAGCCCCAGCCATTCCAAGGCAGTGGCGGACAGTGGGGTGCTCATCGACATGGTAACAGCAGCCACCGTTCACCTTCCTGCTCTGGAAGCTGCCGCGAAGCCTGGCACTGTTGCCGTTGCTGATGCTAAACTTGCTACCGCCACTGCTTCGGATGCAAGAGGCTCGACTGCGGAGGCTCGGGAGCGCATGGTGCGGGCAGTGAAGGACGTGGTGGTCCGGGTGAACGACATCGAAGCACTCGATGCCCTGCTACAGGTGGGCTGCTCTGCTGCAGGTGGCCTCCTGATGGTCGCTTTCACCGGCCACTTGCCATTGCTCCTTCTTACTAAGTGAGCACACTCCTGCTCGCTGCAGACGTCACATGCCATCCGATCGCTCCTGCTGCTCCTGGCTCCCTGACGCTTCTCCATGCCTCTGTCCCTCTCTCTTTCCTCCTCCCCCACTCTCGCCCTCTTCCTCCCTCTTACAGTGGACAAAGCTGCCGGACGGCATACTCGAGTCTGTGCTGCATCGCATGTCCCTAGTTCTCGCTAAGGACACTGGCTGCCGCCCAGCCTTCCTTGCGTCGAACGGCTTCACTCGTCTGCAGCGCCTGCTGCAGCTGGCAGAGGCAAAGAGAGCCGCTGCTGCCGCCGCCGCTGCAGCGGACGCAGCAGCCGCTGCTGATGCCGCTTGTGCCGATGCGGCTGCTGCGGGTGCTGGGGGTGCTGACAGTGCTGGTGGGGTAGCAAAGAGCCCAGGAGACGGGGCAGCGAGGGTCATCCGATTCGACCCGGCCTCGGTGCGGTGCATAGAGAGCGGCGTGGACTGGGACGCAGTGGAGGACCACGTGTCAGCCATCAACACCCTGTTCCCCTTTGAGGTCTCGCGCTTCTACTCCGCCGACTACCAGCAGCATCTGCTGCAGAAGCTCACCGACAGCGTCAAGCCCGAGTGGGCCGCCATTGCCACTGCGGCAGCGAGCCCCAGAGCCATGGCGATTAAGGCAAGAGAGGGGCGGTTTAAGAGGGGGGGAAGGAGGCCGGTGGATCTGGAGGAGGTGGGGCGGGGCGGGTGGGAGGCGCCGGATTTGGGGCCGGTGATGGAAGAGGATGGGGAGGGGGAAGAGGAGGGGGAGGGGGAAGAGGAGGGGGGGGGAGGGGAGGAGGGGGAGGGGGGGGGGAGGGGGGGATTGGGGCAGGGGAGTTTGTGCTGGAAGGGGATGGGGAGTTGGGAGGTGATAAAGAGGAAGGGGTTCAGCTGATGCAAGTGCGGGTGGGAAGGAATGGGGTAGAAAGACTTGCAGGGGGGAGAGAAGGGGGTCTAGGAGGGGAGAAAGAAGGGGCAGTTGTAGGGGAGAGAGGAGGGATGGAGGCGGGTGGGTCTGTGGAGGATGAGGGCAGTGTGAGGCCTGGCGGTGGGGAGAGTGGGGCTGGTGAGAAACGGAGAGACGATGCGGCACTGGGAATAGATGGCAACATTCCTGGTGAGGTGTTGAGTGGTGTTGGTGGATTTCTGGAGAATGGTAATAGGGGGACGGATGATGCTATTGAGGGAATGAAGGACGACACTCAGGGGATGGAGGATGGGAGTGAGGGGATAAAGGATGCGGAGGCGGCAAGGAAAGAAGCTAGTGGAGGTGGGGCAAAGGAAGTTTTGGACTCCAAAGCGGGAACAAAGGTGCAGGATATTGAGGATGCTTTATGATCGTTAGGCATGTAAGTTGGAACCTAGGATGGGTTTGGATGCATTGATTTGAGAGTTATGGGTGGCATATATCAGCCTCTCCAATCTAAGCTTAAGAAGATTGGATGATTTTTGGATCAAGTGTTCCTCACATAGTCAAGTTGACACAGTAGCGAAAGTCTGTTTCTCTGCCATTATGAGGTTGTTGTTGTCGCCCCCACGCTTCCAACCTGACGCAATTGTCTCGATCCACGTGGCTGCAGATTTATTGCGCCTGGGGGGACGCCCGTGGGGACACTCATGGTGCCATCACTCCCCCACCGCCGTGAGCCCTCGATCCCCCTCAATCGAACGGTCGTCGTTGTTGCTTCACTTTGCTGCTTCCGCGAAACGCAAATGCCGCTCTGCGAGTTCGCGAATTTCTTGTTCATCTCGCACAGGTACAGTATATGCTTTCGCCAAGGGATTATCCCACACGGGTTGGCCCGTCCCTATCTTCTCCTATCTCCGCCTCTCCCTCTGCCCTCTCCTCCACTTACCTGCCTGATAAAATCAAGGGTCTGAAACTGCAGCCTTCCTTATCTTGGGTCTGATCTGGCAGGCCTTCTTAGGTAGCGCCTGTTTTTACGCGATACCTTTAGGACTGACCTTCATTGTAGTCGCGTGCTCTACGCTAACGCCTAGCGTTGCAATGCGCTGGTTTACGGGGTCGGCGCAGCCATATTTCCGAGTTTGACACGTCCGCTGGCCTTAGGGTTAGCAGCTTTCTCCGGTGTCCCGCAACCTGATTCTCAAAATCCACGTTTAAGCGTCAAGAAGGGATATTTTTTTAGGTTAGCGATGTCGAGCGGCGAAGCGGAGGTTGCCGGAGAGCCGGCTGCGCCAGCAGCGCCGCCTCCGCTCGAATGGAAATTCGGTCAGGTGTTCGGCGAACGGGCAGCTGGAGAGGAGGTTCAGGATGGTGAGTCTAGGGAGTTCCTCTGACTTTCAAATCCTTTTTTTTAAGGCTCAAGAGGGCGAAGCTTGACGATATACGTCCATTGTACATATTCTGGCGGATTGATCCGTGCATTCAGAAGGAAGTCTATTCTCGATATAGGAATCGGAGTCGCTGCTATCTTATCCTGAAGTGGGAATGCATTAAGCATAACACACTTAATCGCGTTGCTCTCACGGTTTTCAAGCTTCATGGCGTTAATGGCGCCCAATGTCCGTCCAATCGTAGTCGACAGTGTAGATATCAGATGTTGACATTAGGGTCGGAATGTGTCGTCATGGCAACGGTTACATTCACAGCGACAGCTGAATTGAATCTCGAGATGCTACAGGTTAAAGAGTACGGACAAGAATAGACAAGGCTGTAGGTTAAAGTGTACAGCTTATAACATTCTGAGCACTCTGAGTGTTAGTACCCGGAGACTACTCTTACAGTCCGAGTTGATCAGGTTTCTGTGTTCTGACTGAATATTCATACTTTTGAGTCTATTCAAGGACTGTCCGAGTTGATCAGGTTTCCGAGTTCCGACTGACTATTCATCCTATCCTTACCCTGATTCCCTCGCGTGTCTTGATCAAATGTAATGATTTAAGCGGCAGGCTCCCTGATCGAGTTACGATGGCTGGCAATTCGCTGAACGCCGGCACGTCCTTAATGTGCTTTTGAGTCGACTCAAAAGCAGATGCTTCATGTGCTGCGTGGCCGAAGCTAATCTGTGCTCTGCTCTGCTGTGCGGCTCTGTGCGGTTCTGTGCTCCGCGATGCAGTGGACATCATCTCGGCGATCGAGTTCGATCGCTCAGGCGAGCACCTGGCGACGGGCGACAGAGGCGGGCGAGTGGTGCTGTTCGACCGCATTGACCTGCGCGACGTGAGTAATTACCCAGCGCCGTGATACACGTCAGCATTAATCTGCATGGCGTTTCCTTTTGTCTGCACGACGTCAGCGTCTATATGCGTGACGTGACCTGAGTGTGCGTTAACTCACATAACGCAATTCAGTACTAACCCAAATGGTCACAGCTTCGACCTCACCACTCAACCTAAACCAGCACGCATCCCCTTCTTCCGAATTCTTCCGCATGCTGTCTCCCCGTGTACCTACGCTTGAGCTCACGCCTTCCGAGTGTACCCCTTCCACGTGTCCGCCTCCCACTGGTCCCCTCAGGCGCGGGGTCGGCGGGAGATGGAGGCGAGTGACTACCCCCCGGCCGCGCACCAGCAGATCGACTACCGCTACTCCACGGAGTTCCAGAGCCACGAGCCCGAGGTATGGCTGTAATGTTCAGGTGGTGCGATAGGGGATGGGAGTGATGCGTTCGGATGCCACGTTAGACACCAGCAGATCGACTACCGCTACTCCACCGAGTTCCAGAGCCACGAGCCCGAGGTATGGCGCAATGTCCGGGAGCGGGTAGGGGGATGGGTACGGAGAAGGAGACTGAAGGAAACGTTGCGTGAGGAGTCTATTTTTGAGGCGCCTCAAAAAGGAGATTGTAAGAAACGCTCTTGGTGGGTGGTGGTGGGATGGGTAGCCACCGGATTGACTACCGCTACTCCACGGAGTTCCAGAGCCACAAACCCGTTACCCGTGGTACGGCTGCCGTGAGCGGGAGGGTGCAGGGGGGTGGGTGGGCAATGGGCATAGGAATCGTTAGGTACGAGGAGGAAGATGGTTAGGCACGATCAAACGGTTGGCGGGCGCACTAACCAGCAGATCGATTACCGCTACTCCACTCAGTTCCTGAGGCACGAGCCCAAGGTACGAATAGCGGGTGCGACCAAGCCACTGAGCCAGAAGCCCGAGGTATGGCTGCCGTGTGCGGGAGGGAGGTGGGAAAAGCAATCCTTAGGTACGAACAGGAAGATGGTTAGTCGCGATCGAACGGTTGACGGGCGCAGCACTGGCAGATTGACTACCGCTATTCCACCGTTTTCCAGAGGCACGAGCCCGAGGTACTGATAGGGCGCCATGCGCATGCGTGGCGAGGTACTGATAGGGCGCCATGCGCGGGAGTGGAAAAGGGGGATGGGCACGGGTAGAGAGGGAGACTCTAAATAGGTTCGGGTGGGGTTTTGAGGCGACTGGATGGGCACGGGTAGAGGGGGACACCCTGACTAGGCTCGGGTGGCGGAGACAGTCGATAGGTGTGGTGGGGGATTAATTGGCACCTACTCCTAGTCCACCGAGTTTCAGAGCAAGGAACCCGAGGCATGGCTTCTGTGAGCGGAAACCGAGATACGGCTGCTGTGAGCGGGAGTATGCTGAGCCTGAGAGGGGCAAACAGGAGGAGGAGGGGGTGTAGTGCCACGGTTTTGCGCGAGTTGGAGGGGTGACAAGCGGGGTTTGGAGGATTGATAAGCGCAGAATTCACTCACCAGCAGCTGCTTTTGCGTCAGAAGCCTGACCTGAGGTACAGGGCCTTGAGGTGTGATGGCAGATGTTGGAGTGGGGATAGGGTCATGACTAGGGAGATTGATTCTCGTGGTTGGGTGGACAGCTCAGGAGGACACAATTTTCAACCGACGCATTCTGGTTAGGTTCAACATCCGAAGGACCTCAAGTCAAGCACCCCATAAGTTACCTCAAAGGCACAATCGTGGTAAGTTACAACTTCAAGTCAAGCACCCCTTTTCTCTCTCCCCCCTCCCCCCCTCCCCCCTCCTCCCCCTTGGAGATCGAAAAGAAGAAAAACAGACCCGCTGGGTTGGCTCCTCTCACACCTCACGCACCCATCCTCCTCTCTCTTCATCCTTCTCCCCCCTTGTCCCCCCCCCCCGCCCTCCCCGCCCCCCAGTTTGACTACCTCAAGTCGCTGGAGATCGAGGAGAAGATCAACAAGATCCGCTGGGTGAACTCCTCTCAGGGCGCGCTCTACGTGCTCTCCACCAACGACAAGACCATCAAGCTCTGGCGGGTCACCGAGCGCCGCGTCAAAGCCGTCTCGCAGTTCAACTGCCCGCCGCGCGCGCCCGCTGACTACCTTGCCCCCGGAGCAGCAGACGCAGCAGCAGACCCTGCTCTCCCCACGCCCCCCACGTCCGTCCCTGGCGGGCCACAGATCAACCCGCGGTACCTGCCGCGCCCGGGGTCGCTGTCCTCCGCCTCTGCTGCTGCGAGGGCGGTTGCTGCTGGCGCTGGCGCTGTGCTGAATGGAGTTGGCATGGAGGTAGACTTCCCGCCTGGGGGCTTCCCGCAGCTGCGCCTCCCTGCTGTGGTGAGTGCTCCAGTTTTGAGACGTCTCGGTACTTCCCTCCAGGTGTGCTCCTGCGATGGCCGTGACGGCTGACCCTGCGGAGAATGGAGTGGGCATGGAGGTGGATTTTCCGCATAAGGGCTTTCTGCTGCTGCGCTGCGCCTGACTGCTGTGGCGAGTGCTCCCGTGCACTTGCTTTGCTGAACGCCCTGCGCTTGCTTTCGTTGCACTCTCTTCGCCGCACGCTACTGTCTCCTCATATTCTCTCTGTCCTCCTATCACGGCCCCCCCTTTTCCCCCAGGTATCAACCAGCGAGACCACTCTGGTAGCGCGTTGCCGCCGTGTGTTTGCCAACGCGCATGCCTACCACATAAACTCCATCTCCTGCAACAGGTCAGTTTTCTGCTTCTGCAGAGGTGCGTGGCTTATGTATGGTGGTTGAAAGCAGTGCTTTCTCCTGCCTCAACGCACGCACGCCTACCACTTAAACCCCATCTCGCCCAGCAGGTGCGTGCTTCTCTCCTGCAACAGGTCAGTTTGCTGCTGGTGCTGCTCGCAAGCAGTAGTCTCTGCTGCCTCAAGTCATGCCTACCACGTGAACTCTGTCTCATGCAACAGGTGCGAGGTGCAGGGCCTGTGCTAAGAAGCAGGGCCGGTTGTGTCGTACAAGCAGTAGCCCGTGCTGCCTCAAAGCACGCCACATGCGGTCTTACGTCTTGCAAACGCTGCCCTTCCCTTTCCATCCCCTTCACCCATCCACCCACCCCATTACCCTTCCCCTCTCCCCTTCACCCATCCACCCACCCCATTACCCTTCCCCTCTCCCCTTCCCCCTCACAATCTCTTCCCCCCCCACCCCCTTCCCTGCCCCCTTGCAGTGACCAGCAGAGCTTTATCTCGGCGGACGACCTGCAGGTGAACCTGTGGAGGCTGGAGAACAATGAAGGAGCCTCACCAACTTGCCCATTCTACTCTCCCCCCCCCCCCCCCCCCCCCCACCCCCCCCTTTCCCTGCCCCCTTGCAGCGACCGCGAGACGTTTATCTCAGCGGACGACCTGCGCGTGAACCTGTGGAGCCTGGAGAACAATGCGCAGAGCTTCAACGTGGTGGACATCAAGCCCGCCAACATGGAGGACCTCACAGGTGGGGGTTGAGAAGCAGGGATAATGCTAGGGGTGTGCTGAGGGGGCTAATACAGGCGGGCATAGCGTTGAAGGCCCCACAACGCGCAGAGCTTCAACGTGGTGGACATCAAGCCCGCCAACATGGAGGACCTCACAGGTGGGGGTTGTGAAGCAGGGATAATGCTAGGGGTGTGCTGAGGGGGCTAATGCAGGCGGGCATTGCGTTGAGGGCCCCACAACGCGCAGAGCTTCAACGTGGTGGACATCAAGCCCGCCAACATGGAGGACCTCACAGATGGGGGTGCTATGGCTGCACGTTTAGATGGCGCATCATTGTGGAAATTCCCCGCGCACCCTGAGGATCCTTCAGCTGCGGGGCGGTTACCTTGCAGGTAGGAACTTATATGTGCGAGGCTATAGCAGTGAGAGTATTCGTCACTCCCGTCCCTTTTCCCAGCTTCCGTGTTACCCAACCCCTTCCTCCCCCCCCCCTCCCCCCCCGGAAGCCCCTCCCCCCTTTCTCAGAGGTGATAACGCGTGCTGAGTTCCATCCGTCGCACTGGCCATCCAGTGCACATAACAGTTCCATCCGTCGCACAGGCCTACTCGACCTCCAAGGGCACCATCCTTGCTTTGAAGTGGTGCAGTATACAAAGCAATTTCGCTGGCTCTGAAGGGGCCATCACTATTTCGCTGCCCCCCCTCTTCCTCTCTCCTCCCATCTCTCTCTCACCCTCCCTCCCCCCCCCCTTTCTCTTCCCCCCCCTCCCCCTCCCACAACACACACAACACACAGAGGTGATAACGTGTGCGGAATTCCACCCGTCGCACTGCCACTCGCTCGCCTACTCCACGTCCAAGGGCACCATCCGCCTCATTGACATGCGCCAATCCGCCCTCTGCGACCAACACTCCAAGCTGTGAGTCACATTTTCCAGCTGTCAGTCAACCCTTAGTCACCTCTGGCACCCCAAGATGTGAGGCTTATTCGTGTCTGTAAGTGTATGGTATGATATTGGTGTCACCATCCGCCTCACTGACCTGCGCCAGTCCGCCCTCTGCGACCAACACTCCAAGCTGTGAGCCACTTGTCTTTCTGTGCTCGTGTTGCTGGTAAGGCGTGGCGTGTGTGCTTATGTTGTAAGGCTTAGTGACAGTCGCGTTAATGCATTCACACATCTGCCTCATGACTCCCGTGCTGCGCACAACCAGGTTTGAGGAGCAGGAGCCCCCCCCCCTCCCTGGTGACGGGTTCTCTGCCTTGGAGATCATTGCATCGATCAGCCATGTCCGGCTGTGTGTTATCCTCCGTGCGCCTGCTCAGTCATGTGTCTGCCACATGATTCGTGTGCTGCTTGCATGTTCCCCGGTCAGGTTTGAGGAGCAGGAGCCCCCCGGCAACCGGTCCTTCTTCTCGGAGATCATTGCGTCCATCAGCGATGTCAAGTTCTCCAACGACGGCCGCTACATCTTCAGCCGCGACTACATGACCGTCAAGGTGCGTGCTGGGCGTGACGTGACTCACCTCCTCCTCTATGATGCTGAAACTGTCACGATGTGCTGCTGGATGTGGTGTTGTGGGTCGCCTTATAATGAATCATTGCGTCCATCAGCGATGTCAAGTTCTCCAACGACGGCCGCTACATCTTCAGCCGCGACTACATGACCGTCAAGGTGCGTGCTGGGCGTGACGTGACTCACCTCCTCCTCTATGATGCTGAAACTGTCACGATGTGCTGCTGGATGTGGTGTTGTGGGTCGCCTTATAATGAATCATTGCGTCCATCAGCGATGTCAAGTTCTCCAACGACGGCCGCTACATCTTCAGCCGCGACTACATGACCGTCAAGGTGCGTGCTGGGCGTGACGTGACTCACCTCCTCCTCTATGATGCTGAAACTGTCACGATGTGCTGCTGGATGTGGTGTTGTGGGTCGCCTTATAATGAATCATTGCGTCCATCAGCGACGTCAAGTTCTTCAACGATGGTCGCTACATCTTCAGCCGCGACTACATGACCAACAACGTGCGCGCTGGTCAAAGGGTGGAATCTTTTGGATTCTTCTATGCGTTTCTGGAGCGAAGCTTTCACCTGTTCTGTCGCTTCAGCGGCCTCATTTCCGTCGCTCTCTCTTATCCGTCTCCCTACCTGCCGCTATCGGCCCCCCTTCCATTCACCCCCCTTCCAGCTGTGGGACATCCACATGGAGGCTCAACCACTGGGCACATTCAAAGTGCACGAGTTCCTTCGGCCCAAGGTAACAAAACTATGCTCCATTCCTCTCTCAGTCCGAGTGCTCTCTCCTCCCCCCTCCCCTACCCTCTCCTGCCCCCTCTCCTACCCTCTCTCCTGCCCTCTCTCCTTCCCTCTCTCCTGCCCTCTCTCCTGCCCTCTCTCCTGCTCGCTTTCTTTCTCATGCCATCGCTTCCTCCAGCCTCGTTCTTCCTCTGCGGCCACTTGTACCCCTCGTCCCTGCCATTGCACCCTGACTTCTCATTCGCTCGGACCCCAGCCACTTCTCACACCCCACTCGGGTCTTTTCCAAGCTGATTGGCCGTCTGGTTACCCTATTGCCGTCACCCTAAACCCCCCTCGGTTGTCCAGATTCCCGCGTCACACCTTCAGCTGGACTGTCCATCTTCCCCTGCCTGCCCCATCATCCGCTATGCGATCTGTTTGAGCATGACGGCAGATACTCACGCGCCTCAACCTTCCTCTCATGCTCCCTTGTTCTTATTCCCCTCACCCCCCTCCCCTGCCTCCCCTCCCCTGCCTCCCCTCCCCCTGCCTCCCCTCCCCCTGCCTCCCCTCCCCCTGACTCCCCTCCCCCTGCCTCCCCTCCCCTGACTCCCCCCCCTGCCTCCACTCCCCCTGACTCCCCTCCCCCTGACCCCCCCCCCTTGCCTCCCCTCCCCCTGACTCCCCTCCCCCTGCCCGCCCCATCAGCTGTGCGACCTGTATGAGAACGATTGCATATTCGACAAGTTTGAGTGCACGCCCAGTGGGGACGGACTCCGATGCGCCTCAGGCTCGTACAGGTGAGAGTTGAGGCTCATACAGGTGCGGGCAGGCTCATACAGGTGAGGGCAGGCTCATACAGGTGCGAGCAGGCTCATACAGGTGAGGGCAGGCTCATACAGGTGAGGGCAGGCTCATACAGTTGAGGGCAGGCTCATACAGGTGAGGGCAGGCTCATACAGGTGAGGGCAGGCTCATACAGTTGAGGGCAGGCTCATACAGGTGAGGGCAGGCTCATACAGTTGAGGGCAGGCTCATACAGGTGAGGGCAGGCTCATACAGTTGAGGGCAGGCTCCTACAGGTGAGGGCAGGCTCATACGGGTGAGGGTTGAGGCTCATACAGGTGCGGGCTGAGTTTGTTGGGCTTGGATGTGGATGTGCATGTGCACATCTGTTGATCCGTCCGTACCAGCATGCTGCACCATCCATTCATCATCTCACGAAGCGGCCCGCGTACATGCTCCTTGCATCCATCTGCTATGATGCATGCAGCATGCACACATCCATCCACCCTGTCACACTCCTGTGAAAGCACATCCTCCCATATCTGTCAAACCCCCTCTTTCCCCCCATTTTGCCGCCCTTCCTGTCCGCTTCTCCCCCCTGCAGCAACCTGTTCCGGGTGTTTGGAGTGGTGCCTGGGAGCGACGAGGCCTCTCTGCTGGAGTCCTCCAAAACACCAAACAGGTGCGCGCCTCTCCTCCCTCTGCCTCTCCCTCTGCCTCTCCTCCCTCTGCCTCTCCCTCTGCCTCTCCTCCCTCTGCCTCTCCCTCTGCCTCTCTCGAACCTCCCTATCTCTTGTCCTGCTGTTCAGCAAACTTCCAGCTTGGTACTAGCTTTGCCTCGCTGCTCCCTTCTTTCAGCCGTTAACCATTTCCCCCTGTTCCTCACCCTTCCTATTTACCATGGCATTGCCGATTGCACCCTGCCTGCATCTGTACTGGGGGTAACGTGTTAGGAACTAATTGGCATAATCTGGCATGGCATGGTTCTGTAACTTTGTGGCTTTGCATGACACGGTGTTTGATGTTGCATCGTAATGGCATGGCATGGCACGGCATGGCATGGCATGGCATGTGCAGGCGCATGGTGCAGACACCGGCCAAGGGAGGGGGCAGGGCAGGGGCGCGAGGCCGGAGGGATGCAAGAAGAGGTATGTGGATGTCTTTTGAGTCGACTCAAAAAACAAATCTTCAGATGAAAGTTTCAGGCACTGCCGTATCCTTGTGGATTGGAAGATCCAGACACATGGTTCTTGTCACTTTCCCAGGACCTTCCTCCTTGCGCTTCTCTTCTCCCTCCTTTGTTCCCCCACACTCCACATACTCCCTTCCTCACCATATCGTTTCCTACTCGCCATGTGGTCCTGCTCCTGGTTCTGTCCCTGGCAGAAGCGGTGGGCGCGATCCATCCGAACGACATGCAGCATGTGATAGTTATCTGGTTTCGAGCTGTCTAGTAAACCCTAAACTTCCTGTTCCTCCCATTTTTTCGTGGCCATGGCAGAAGCGGTGGATGCGATGGACCCCAACGGCATGCAGCACGACTTCTCTTCAAAGCTCTTGCACCTTGCATGGCACCCCAAGGCCAACCTCATTGCCTGTGCCGCCTCCAACTCCCTCTACATGTACTATGCTTGACCTGTACTACTCCCTCAACTTGACCAATATGGCCCTCCGTCCGTCGTCCTCCCTGTGCATCAGGATTCGTTTTTCTTACTTGTTCCTTTTTGGAATCGACCATGTTGGTTTGAGAATGCACATAATGGAAAGCTGCTGATAACGTGAATATACACTTACAATGTCGTAGTTTAATCTCCTTAACTTGGGTGTACTTACCAAGTTGCTCAACGGTGTTTCCGGATAATGCAATGTCGAAGGCTGCAATTTCTCTTCCCTCCGCATTTGGCGCTGAGCCCGGAGTCATCTCTCGCACGTCCACGACACCCACCCCCTCTCTTCTCAGCGTTTCGAAGCGCATCGCGCAACCAAGCTAAATCCGCGATTCGACGAATTCCTGCTGAACGTGCAATTGGTCTTTGGGGCGGATTTCGCACAAATGCACCCAACCCAACCAAGCCCACCACCAACCATACGCATCAATGGACTGCTGCCATGCCAACCAACCAAGTTCGAAAGGCAAGCTGAAGGCAACAGGTGACGACGAGGTCAGATTGCAGTGCAGTTGCCTTGCCTCCTGTTCTCCGCCTGGACCATCGCCATCCAGCCAGCTCCACGCGACGCAAGTAGAGCCTGCACCCTGATCCCGGACCCACCTCGCGGCAAGGCATTGCTTGCTTCGCATTGTCGATTTCCGCGCCGTCGCCTTCACCATGGACTAGTCGCCTCGATCAGCAAGCCAAACTGGCAGACAGACTGGTAGACAGACATTCGCTGAACGTGCTTCTCATCCAAGGTCCGGCGAATGAAGCATTTAAAGCCCCCGTCTCTTGTCCCGTTAGAACGCCCAGAAGACTATGCGAGTAGGGCTGAGCGAAAAGGAGCTCGTAGCTAGTCGTGTCATTTCCCGTCGATCCTTACCCGACCGTTGCTCAGTAGCCACTGGCCGCGTTCGCGCCAGATGCCACAGAGCGCGTCCTCTGGAGTAGGAGAGAATCTCAAGCGCCACAGATTACTGGCTGGTGCTCATGCGTCCAGCGTGGTCGTTAAGATTTAAGCGCTCGTCATGCGCGCTCGCTCCGCCGCCACGCCATATGCGCAGATGATAGCGCCACGTGCGCAGATAATTGCGCCATGTGCGGTTGTCGGGTTTCGTGGCGAGCATCGCTGCGCAATGCGCGGGCACCGCCGCCGATCGGTGCTTTTGCCGGCAGTGCTGCTGCTGTTGCTGTCCTTCGTCACGCTTTCCGCTGGATTGACTGACTTCGTCCGCCGACCGGGTCCCGCTCCGCCCCCTTTTTCGCCTCCCCCTCGTCCCCCATCTCCTCCTCCCCGTCCGCCTCCCCCTCCCAGTCCTCCCCCGCCTCCTCCGCGCCCTCCGCCCTCTCCGCCTCCTTCTCCGCCCCCGAAACCTCCCCCGCCGTCTCCCCCTCCCAGCCCTCCGCCCAGCCCTCCGCCCAAACCACCACCTCCTCCGCCATCTCCCCCTCGTCCCCCGCCTCCCCCGAGCCCTCCGCCGCGCCCTCCGCCGTCTCCCCCTCCTTCCCCGCCCCCAAAACCTCCGCCTTCTCCGCCCCCGTCTCCCAAACCCCCTTCTCCGCCCCCTAAATCCCCCCCTCCTCGTTACCCACAGTTTCCGCCGCCTTCCCTCCCCGCAGATGATGCCCCCCCGACGCCCACTTTGAAACCAGAGGCGGAGATTTACCGCGTGTGCGCCGTGGCTGGTAGGCGAGAGAAGGGGGGGGGGGAGGTGTAGCTGGGGGGAAGGGGGAATGTGGCAGGGGGGGAAGGGCTGTAGCAAGGGGAAAGCGAGAGTGTGAAAAAATGTAGGTGGTGGGGGAAACTTGTAGTAGCAGGAGAGGGGCGGAGCTGTATTGCTGGTAAGATCTTTACGGGCAAAGAATGGTAAGAGCGAAAGAAACCCGAGTGAGGGGAAACTAGAGATGGTCAATCTCTTTCTCTCTCTCTCTCTCTCTCTCTCTCTCTCTCTCTCTCTCTCTCTCTCTCTCTCTCTCTCTCTCTCTCTCTCTCTCTCTCTCTCTCTCTCTCTCTCTCTCTCTCTCTCTCTCTCTCTCTCCTCCCTCACTCGTTTTTCCTTACCCCATTCCTACCCCCCTCCCCCTACCACAGGTCCAGCAGTTGTAACGGTAACCAGCGCGCCTCTCGGCCAAACCTGGCGCGGGTGGGGCACGTCGCTAGGCTGGTTCGCCAACTACATAGGTCGCCTACCAGCGGCCGATCTTAACACCCTCTTAGACCTCCTATTTCACCCGACTAGCGGTCTCGGCCTTAACATGGTCCGGCACTTAATCGGCGCCGGCTTTAACGCGGCGCGCTCGCCCCAGATGACGTATTTAAAGCCGCCGTACGATGCGCGCCCGATGCCTGGGTACAGGCCAAAGGCTTCTGGACCGTACGATTGGGCGGCAGACTGGCGGCAACGGCGCGTGCTGATTGGTGCGCTGGCGCGGGGAGTTGATTCGGTAGAAGCAGTGGCTTATTCCCCCCCCTGGTGGATGACTATTAGCGGGGATGTGTCAGGCGGGCACGCACAGAGCAACAACTTACGGCCGAGGTACTACGACGCGTTCGCGGACTATCTAGCTACTATAGTGAAGAGGTTTAGAGACTCCTGGAATGTCACGTTCGTAGCGCTTAGCCCGACTAACGAGCCGCTAGAAGGGTGGTGGGAGCAAGGGGGCATCCAGGAGGGGTGTAACTTCGACGCGCCCGGGTTACAGAAATTGATTCCGCTGGTTGTACGAGCTCTCAAGAAGCGAAATCTGGTTACCCGAGTGGCGGGGTTCGACAGCCTGGTGGACTCCACGGTTCGTTACAAGCGCTTCTGGAGTGCCGCAAAGCAGCAGTCGCTACAGCCGTTACGGCACCTTAGCGTTCACGGGTATTTATTTCCCAGGGGAAATTCCTCCACAGGAAACGACAGCCCTAGAACCTACGTCCAGCAGCTATTCGGGCAAATGCGGGACGTGGGCCGGAGCTTAAAAAAGGAGGTGTGGGTGACTGAAGCGGGGCCATTATTCATGAAGGAGGGAGCGGACATAGATATTGCCGTGCACATGGGGCGAACCATCATCCAATCAGTGAACATCATGGGCGCATCGGCCTGGGTGTTCTGGCAAGCCGTGGGGAACACTCACAGGTGGTCCTTTCTTATAATTCCTATGGCGCCTATTAATGGTGCGGAGCTCCCGCCTTTCTCGGTGGAGTATTCGAAGAAGTTTTTTGTAATGAAGCAGCTTGTACAGGGGGCGCCCAAGGGGAGCAGGCCCTTACAGGTTACCACTGCCCAGGGGTGTCATCATTGCGTTGCCGCCTTCTACACTGCCGCCCGGCGCCAGCTGGCGCTGTTTGTGGCCAATCAGGATGGGGATGCTTATGACGTGTCGCTTTCCATCGATGCCTTTGCAGCGGATAATTCGGCTGCTCCTGTGCATGTGAGGATGTACAGGACTGCTTATAACGAGGATATGGAGCCTATCTCTGTCCAGGCATATGACTCCGTGCCATGGAGTGTCAGAGTGCTGGCCCCTCCTCTTAGCTTCACATCTGTGCTTGTTTCAAACATAATGCCCAAATAATCTCCCACATGGACCCTCTTCTGTGTTTTTCTGCCATGGCTGTGTGCTTGACTCGCCCCTATGGAGAGCTAGTCAGTCCCATCCCATCCTATCCACTCACCAGTGCATGGCATTGTGTGGCACTCCCCCATCTTTCCCTGCTCCTGCTGTTGCCTTCCTTCACGGCACCATTGGTGCGCCCCTCTATCTCCATCCAAAGCACTTCCCTCAACCCCTTTTCCCCCAGAGCCCGACTTCCCCAACACCTTTTCCCCCGTGCAGGGCACAACTTCCCGCCCTCTCCCCCTCCCCCCCACCGGGGTATCAAGGGATAGGGCAGCCTTAGGAATCAGGGTATTCTTATGATCTCACCCTGATTTGTAAGGGTTCTAGGGGCAAATTTGGCCTCAAAACACATTTTTACCCTTATAAAATCAGGGTATGCTCCAAAAAGTGGCTGCTGACAAGGCTAATCAGGGTGAAATACCCTTCAAACCCTATCCCTGGTTTCAATATCCCCACATCAGCCCAGACCATTATTGCCCGGCCAGACCACAATCTACTTGTATCAAAACCTGAGTTTAGGGGCATATGGGAAGCTCCCTTGTGGATTGCATAGCATTGCATGGTACGGCATGGTATTGCATGCTAGTAAACAGTGCGTATTCTCACGTGTACATAGAAAGATTACCTACCTAATCTACTAAAGTTTATGATAACGAATCACTATAATGTATCTGCAATTCTATTCAGTCTGCTTGACGTGCAGCGTAGTGCCCCTGGCTGGTCTTCTAACGGAGACGCAAGCCCCCTCGATTCAATTTCATCCATTCACATTATCCGTTTTTTTCGCACCGAGAATGTCCCGCGCCGTGGGGTTTAGACTCTAATTAGTTAGGTAGGTCCGTCTCAACCGCGGCGACCGCCATACACTTATCACAGGCGTATCGCGCCGAAGGCTGGTCCAATCTAATGGCCGACGTTTCTCGTCAGCCCGACTCCGCGGCTCAGCCGTTGGATCCCGTCCTGGTGGAGGGTGCTCTCTTTTTCCGGCCAGAAGAGGACAATCGAGGAATAGCGGACACTGTGGAAGGGGCGCAAGCGACCGGGGAACACCAGCGGCAGGATCAGAAGCAACAGCAGAAGCAGCAGGAGCAAGGGTCGCGAAATTTCCCTTCCGATGGGCGCGATCCGGCGCATGGGGAGGGTAGATGGTCCTTTCGTTTGACTCATAATAGCGAGGGCAGGCCAAGAGAGTTGGCCGACTCTGCTGTGACTACAACGGTGGAACAACGTGAGAATACAGAGCTGAGAAGCACGCCAGCCGATTTAGGGGTGCGATTGCCAGCAATCAACGTGAGAACGAGGAACGGCAGCAGTAGCTGGGAGCAGCAGGAGTCGACCGTTGATTCCCTGTCGTCCACTGACAGCGCGTCCGCGTTAAGAGCTTCTTCAGCCATAGAAGCAGCCCATGCAGACCCCCTGGCAGTGTACCGGCGAGCGGTGGCTAAACTGGTGGCGTTTGGGTTCAACGGGAAGGAGATTAACGACCATGCGCGCCGACTCATCGCCTTGGGTGAGCGATTAACGGGATTAAAGCTGATGTTTGAGGGGCGATGTCGTTCCCTTCTCCCGTCAAGTCCATCCATTCACGTGTTTGAGCCATCTCAGCGCACCTCAGCGCACAACCTCCTCCTCGTTAGCACTCTCTCACCCACGCCCCCTAGGTGCCGGCACTGGGCCCTGGTGTTCTTCTCCCGCAACTTCACCAGCCCCCGCCAGCTCGCCTCTCAACCATCACCACAACACGCACACAGCCACTCACTCTCTCACGTTGTTGGTGATTTTTTAGAATCTCCAAGAATCTTGACCCCACCTCTCTCTCAACTCAACCCCCCCAGGAGCGGGCGCTGTCGTTCTCGCCTCCCTTAACTTTTCCCATTCTCACGGGTTGAGACACCGCAATACACGGCCTCTTCATTAGAACTCTCTCAACCCACCTCTCTCAACCCACCTCTCTCTCCCCCAACCCCATCATTCCCCCCAGGAGCGGGCGCCGTGGTGCTCTTCTCCCGCAACTTCACCAGCCCCCACCAGCTCGCCTCTCTCTGCGCCGACCTCAAGCGGGCGGCGTTCCCTCGGCGGCTTCTCATCATGGTGGACCAGGAGGGCGGCAGAGTCACCCGCCTCGGCCCGCCCTTCACTCACATCCCCGCCGCCCGCACCATCGGCCTTTCTCGAAACCCTAATCTGGCCCGCGCTGCTGGTCGTGTTTTGGGCCGGGAGCTTAGGTCTGTGCACATAGACATGGACTTAGCGCCGGTGTTGGACGTAGATACTAACCCTAAGAATCCGGTTATAGGGGCTCGGTCGTTTAGTCGAGACCCGGGTGTTGTGTCCCAAATGGCGTATGAGCTTATAAGGGGTATGCAGGGGGAAGGGGTAGCGGCATGTGTGAAGCATTACCCAGGGCATGGGGATACGTCCCTAGATAGCCACCTGGCGCTGCCTTATTCGTCACACGATTTGAGCCGGCTTGAGTCAGTAGAGTTAGTGCCGTTCGCGCGGGCGGCGGTGGATGCTGACGTGGCAGCGGTGATGGTCGCCCACGTGGCAGTGCCTGCTCTTGCGACGTGGCAGCCTCCTCCGTCCATGGACGACCTACCAGAGAGTGTGAAACGTGGCATGATGAGTCCGTGCTGGGGGCTGTTCTCTCCGCACAGGAGGAGGAGGCGGCAGTGGGACGAAGCGAGGAGAGAAGCTGACGAGACCCTGGGATTGCCGCGATCACACTCGGATTCTGACTTGACGAGCCATACCAGTGCTACTAGCAGAAGCAACGGCAGCAGCAGCAGAAGCAGCAGGGTAACCACCGCTGGTAACACGGTAACATCTCACGTATCACCATCAACGGCACAGGTGCAGCCACACCAGCAGTCTACCCCTCACCCGAGCCACGCCCCTCCGCCCAACCACACCCCTTCCCCCAACCCCTCTCCCCTGGCTGCCTTTGGCTCCGGACCCCCAGCCACGCTGTGCCCCGGCGCCCTCTCCTATCTGCGCCTGGAGATGGGCTTCGAAGGGGCCGTGCTCTCAGACTGCCTGGAGATGGGCGCCATAGTGAAGCACGTGGGTGTGGATGAGGCAGCAGTGCTGGCTGTGGCGGCTGGGGTTGACCTGGTGCTGGTTTGCCACACGGAGAGCAGGCAGGTGGAGGCTATTGATTCGCTGGCGAAAGCGCTGCAGTCTGGACGGCTCGCGGTGAGAAGGTTTCGGGCAGCTTCCCGGGCAGTTGATGCGCTCGCGCGAATGTTTTGGCGGCCGCCCCCGCCGGAGGGGAGTGAGTTGGAGGAGAGGTATTGGGAGCAGGAGCAGCGGGTGGTGGGGTGCAGGGAGCACAGGGAGGTGGTGGGTGAGATAGAGCACGAGGCTCTGGTGCGGGGAGGGGAGAGTGACGAGGGGAACGGGAGGGAGAGGAAGGGGGGAGGTCGGCGGTGTAGCATCTCGTAGTGATTGCCATTCATGTAGTGCGATTATGATCATGGCATTTCTCTGAAAGTGCTTGTTGTATTTGCAAATTGCAATGATTGTGATGGTTATGGTGATGGTATGTATTTACACTAGTGTACAAGGACTGCTACACCATCGAGGGAGCACAACACCGTAAAACACTTCACGCCAGATCTCAAGCTCATGTTCTTGTGGGGATGCCAATCTGCCTCTTGGTGAATAAGTGTGGTGCGGCGTCTAACAGCCACTCTTTCTCAACTACAGTAACGTCTCGCATGTACAGTAACGAGTCAGCTTGTGAAGCAGTGCGATAAACCACCCACTGTGGCGCCACTCTGAAGCGAATGCAGGATTCAGCGGAGTGGATGGAGGCAGGGGGGATGAACCCGCAGAGGAGGGACGGTGAATTGTTTGCTGCTGTGAGTGCAAAGCGGAAACCGAATGGGGAGGTCTACATGGTGGAAGGGAGGGCATAAACCGGAATCGGAGGGGTGGGTGGGGGGGGAGAGGGTATACTAGGGACCGGGGTGGGTGGGGGAGGGGGAGGGGGGGGGGTATATCTGAGTGGGGCAGAGGAGGGGGGAGTGTGTATGTACCTGAAGAGGACGGAGGATGGGTGGATCTTGAGATGCAGATTGCCCCGGACAGACTTGTACGTTGATCCGTCACCCTCGGTCTGGAAGGTGGAAAGGAAGGTGGGGAGGAACGGCAGGAGGGAAAAGCCAAGCAGCAAGCAATGCCTTGGCAATGCCTTGGCACAACATAGCAGCACCCATCACCATTCCATTCCGTTGCAGTCAGTCAAGCATTGTGCATAGATTCACGAGTACACACGTGCCGTGCACGGTATGGCATCATACCATGAGTTGAGCAGCGTTGACGAAGAGAGATGCGGCTGCTGCCCGCTGGACAAGCTGGTGGAGTGGGGAGAGGGGGGGGAGGAGAGGGGGGGGAGGAGAGGGAGGGGAGGAGAAGGGGGGAGGAGAGGGGGGGGAGGAGAGGGAGGGGAGGAGAAGGGGGGAGGAGAGGGGGGGGAGGAGAACAAGGAGAAGGATGGACATGGATGGGGCAGAGAGGAACATCCCAGAGGTCCAAGGGAGGTATGAAGGGCAGCACGGGACGCACTGAGATGAAGGGACGCGCGGGTAGGAAGAAAAAAAGAGGGGGGAGAGACAGGTAGCAGGAGAGGGAAGGGGACAAGTGAGTGATGTGAGCACTTGACCACACTGCTATTTCACCCTTAACCTCACCGAAGCACCACATGACGCCATCATCACACCCACCATGACGTCACCCCTGCATGACAGTAGCTTCAGCCCCAGGCGCCTCAGCCCCCTCCGCAGCTGCCCTCGCACGTCGGCCACCCGCAACTGAAAAAGGGGGAGAGAAGGGAAGAGGGGGAGGACGGATGGTGGGAAGTTTGGGATAAAGTCGACTCTGCAGCCAAGTTCCTCAGCCCCCTCCCCAGAGCCGCCATCGCACATCGTTCACCAGCTTGCCAGGGCTTCACCACTGGGAAATCTTAGAAAATGACATCTTTACACAACCGAACAACCAGCTTGCCGAGACAGAGCGCAGAAACCGCACACGTACCAGGGGCAGAACAGCGTACCATGGCACCACCACTGGGTGGATAGGAGCCCGCAAGTGTGACATGTACAAACACGTACCATGGCCTTGACACCTACCATGGCCTTGACACGTACCATGGCCTTGACACGTACCATGGCCTTGACACGTACCATGGCCTTGACACCTACCATGGCCTTGACACCTACCATGGCCTTGACACCTACCATGGCCTTGACACGTACCATGGCCTTGACACCTACCATGGCCTTGACACCTACCATGGCCTTGACACCTACCATGGCCTTGACACGTACCATGGCCTTGACACCTACCATGGCCTTGACACCTACCATGGCCTTGACACCTACCATGGCCTGGAAACACGAACGACAGCCAGCACACGCACCATAGCCTGGTAGTTGATGCCATTGGCGTGGCACCACTTGGATGACTGGCCGCTGCGAATGAAGCCCTCATACACGTTGAGGTAGGACACGAAGTCGCCCTGGTGGGAGGAAGGGAGGGCCCACAGAGAATGCCGAGGGGGAGAAGTTGAGTTGAAATGAGGTAACTTTTGAGTCGACTCAAAAGTCACTCACGAATGCAGAGGGGGAGAAGTTGAGTTGAAATGCTGGCCAGCGAATGAAGCCCCGGTGAGAGGAAGGGAGAAACCCTATGGCAGGGAGACCACAGACTGTGCCAAGAGCGTCACATGCCCTTCCAGCCACTGCACATTCCGTGCCATGCCACAGCCCCTACCGCATGCTGCCACAGCCCCTACCACATGCCTACCGCATGCTGCCACAGCCCCTACCGCATGCCTACCGCATGCTGCCACAGCCCCTACCGCATGCTGTCACAGCCCCTACGGGATATTGCCACAGCCCTGACATGGAATCAGCCCACATCCCAACCATTCGCACCCACCAGTCCCCCCTGGAGCACCCACCATTCCCCCCTGGATCACCCACCAGTCCCCCCTGGATCACCCACCAGTCCCCCCTGGATCACCCCACCTCTGCAGCCGCGAATCTCTCCTTGAGTCGATCGGACTCCCGCTGCCTGCCACCGCTGCCCACCCACACTGACTGGAGCACAGATTGGCGCAGCAGGGGGGGAGGCAGGAGTACGGATGGAGGGGGGAAGTGGGGCGGATAAGGTGGGGGGTTGAGACGCCTAAAAAACACAGACTTGGGGAAGGAGAGGCGCAGCATGGGGGGAGAAAGGAGTACGGATGGAGGGAGGAAGTGGGGAAGATAAGGGGGGGGGAGCTTTTTAGGCGCCTCAAAAACACAGACTGGGGGAAGAAAAGGAGGAGCAGGGAGGAGGCAGAGGTGTGGTGGACAGAGGAAGTGGAAGAAGTCAGGCGAGGGGAGGGTGATGAACAGGAGAGGAGGGGGGAAGAGAGGGGGGAAAGGGGAAAGAAGAAGGGAGGAAGCCATATGGTGCACGTAGATCACCGATTCGATAAATGGCATTCCTCCAAGCCCATAACCGAATAACGCCCAGCCACGCAGCAACCGCGCACATGCTTCCTCGCAGGATTCCTCAGAGCAGCCATTCTTTTCACCCACCGGCTCCCAGCCCATGCCCACCATACCTAGATCCCCTCAAGCCCATGCCCACCACACCTAGATCCCCTCACGCCTATGCCCACCACACCTGCACGCACAGCGATGCAGCAACGGTGCACATCTCCTCCGAGCAGCCATCCGCCTCTTCCCCCTCCCCCTCCTCCTCCTCCGCCTCCTCCTCCTCTTCCTTCCCACTTACACCACCGCCACCCTCTCTCGCACTGCCAGCAGCACCAGCAGCACTGGTGCCAGGAGCATTGGCGGACACAAGCAGCATGACGGCAACGAGGGGGTCCTGCATGCAACGGATTTGATAGAGGCAAACAGGGAGGAGGGGGAAAAGGGGGGGGGAAGGTGTGACGGAAAAGCCTGTAACTGGACCACACCACTAGACCACTGGACAACTGGACCACTGGACAACTGGACCACTGGACCACGGCGCCACTCCACTGAACCACAGGAACACTGGAGCACAGGATAACTGGTCCACAGGACCAGTGGACCGCTGGACAACTGGACCACTGGACCACGGGATTACTGGACCAGTGGACCCCTGCAGAATTAATGGACCACAGGATTACTGTACCACTGCACCACTGGACCAGTGGACCACAGAATTACTGGACCGCTGTACCTCTGGACCACTGGGCCAGTTGACCGCTGGACCAGTGGACAGCTGGACCACCAGACCGCTGGACCACTGCAACACAGTATTACTGGACCCCTGTGCCACTGGACCAGTGGACCAGTGGACCACAGGATTACTGGACACTGCACCGCTGCACCCCTGCACCGCTGCACCACTGCACCGCTGCACCGCTGCACCGCTGCACCGCTGCACCACTGCACCACTGGAGCTTTGTGCTACGTGGCCGCAACATCATTCTCGTGCTACCATCAAAGCCTCGTTGGCAGAAATAGCGGGTGTGGCATAGTGGGAGGTAGTGGTTGGTGGGGGGTGGGTGGGGGGGGGGTTTGATGGGGGGAAGACAATTGCAGCATACCAGAGGGAGCTCTGCCAGCTGAACTCCAACTGGCTTGGTCAGTCTGCCGTCCATGTCCATCGCCCGGACGGCAAAGAGCGTCTCTAGTGCGCGGATCATGGCGGCCGGCGCGGGCGGCGAGAGCCAGTCAAATCGCATGATGTTGTCAATGCCGAGGGACTTGAGCTGCAGCACTGTAGCTGTGAGATCTGAGCGCTGGATCTCTGGGATTGTGTGGGCGGCAAGATCCGTCATGTAGCTGTGCTCCGTGTAAAGCCTGTGGGAGTGAGGGAGGAGAGAAAAGGAGGGGAAAGGAGAGGAGAGAGGAGGTGAGGAGATTAGGGGAACGAAAGAGGAGGAGGGAGCTGGATGGGGTATCCAATAAGTACCAGAGCAGGGAGAAACACGAAAACTGCACAGCAGAAGCGTACTAGCAATTGAGTGTGCCGTTTGAGAAGGTTCACCTGTAGCATTTCCCCGGCCTGACTCTCCCCGCCCGGCCTGCTCTTTGCTGAGCTGACGCCCGTGACACGGGCACCAGCAGCAGAGCATCCACGTTGGACACCTTGGGGGGGGGGAGGACGAGGGAAGAGTGATGAGGAAGGGAGTGGAAGGGAGTGGAAGGAGGAAGAAGAAAACGCAGTGGCTGATGCCCGTGAGACTGGTATTAGCAGGAGAGCATCCACGTTGGACACCTGGGAGAGGGGGGAGAAGAGCGTGCGGACGAGTGGACGGCAGATGTAGGAGGAACAAGTAAACGCAGTGGCTGATGGTGCCCATGATACGCGCACCAGCAGGAGAGCGTCCACGTTGGACACCTGGGAGGGGTGGAAGAGAAGAGCGTGGGGGCGAAATAAAGGCACAGGAGAAAGAAATAAGAAAGGCAGTGGCTGTTGCTCGTGACACGGGCCACGAAATGGCACAGAATAACGCATGACATTCTGTGGTGTTGGAAGATGGACGAATAACGCAGAACAGAATAACACGGAGACGGAAGGATTGGAAGGAAGGAGCACTCACAGGGTCAAAGAATCGTTGCTTGACAAACCCACAGTCGACCACGTACACAATGCCCTGATGGCGGGGCGCACAAGGAGGGAAGCAAGAAAGGAGTCTACTTTTGAGGCGCCTCTAAAACCCGCAGTCGACCACGTACACAATGCCTTGGACATCTTCCAGTGAGCGCGGCGTCAGGAGAAGGGTACACAATGCCCTGATGGGGAGACACACAAGGAGGGAAGAATTTTTTTGAGGCGCCTCAAAAATAGACTCCTCACAATGCCCTGATAAGGAGACGCGGGAGGAGGGAAGAAAGAAAGACACAACCCAACCGATCACACACACCGTACACTGATGGTGAGAAGCAGAGAGTGAGGGAAGGGACACATGGTTGCTTCACCAGCCACAAACGACAACATAAAACATGCCTTGATGGTGAGAGGGAGTGCGCTGAATGGTGCTGTCGAGGAAGCTTTTTGAGTCAAAGATTGTCGACTCAAAGATTGTCATCACCTGATGGTGAGACGGAGTGCTCTGAATGGTGCTGTCGAGGAAGCACTGCGCAATTTGAGTGGCATGGTGCTTTGACTGACCTGATAGCACATCGCACCCAGCACGCTCACCTCGATGGTTAGGGACGTCTCTGCAATGTTGGTTGCCACCAGCACCTTCCTGCGCCCTCGGAGGGTGGGGGCAAACGCTGCCTCGATATCCCCAGCTGGCAGCCCAGCATACAGAGGAAACGCCTGCAGGTCTGAGGTGGGGGTCAGCGCGCACAAGAGAGGGGCAAGAGGTGGGAGCGGGCGAGGGATGAAGGGGCGAAGCGACAAAGAGAAAAACCTTCAGAGGGAAAGCGAGGGGTAGAAGCATCCGACATATAAACTGGGAGAGGAAGCATGCTGAGAGTGGCTGGCGAGAAACGAGCCTGCTCGTTTCTGTGGACACATGGAACGGAGCAATTCACTTTTCAGCTGCACACCCCAGCAGCACAAACCCTCCTTGTACTCAAGTATCGGCCAGCATTGACTGACATGAGAGAGCGCCATACCCCTCAGTTTCTCGGACGAGGGAGTGTAGCTGTTGCTGTGCTCCGCTATAAGCTGCACCAGAGTATCCACTTCCTCCTGCCCCGTTAAAAACACAAGTATGTCCCCAGGGGGTTCCTGAAAGGGCGAGGGGGAGGGGGAGAAGAGGAAGAGGTGTCTCCTAGCAGTTCATGGCCTTAAATTCGACTCAAAGTCGACTCAAAGTCGAGTCAAAAGCACATTATTCAGCGCTAGATGAAGGTAATCCCTCGTGCCTTAGAATGCGTTATAGTTCTCCCAGGCAGGCACAACGGTTGCTGAGGCCCGGAGGGTGATGGCTGGTTGTCTCTCACCTGGCAAAGAATGTTGAGCACGGTATCCAGCGCTGTCTGAGGTAGTCCGAGGTGGGCTCTGTCTGTTCAAGGACAGGCAGAGCGATGGAGACGAGAGAGAACAGGCAAGAGTGAGAGCCTCACCTGGCAGTGGATGGCGAGTACAGTGTCAAGCGCTGACTGCAGGTAGTCCGAGGTCGCCTCCTCCAAATACAGCAGCTGCACGGGGTGGCTCCTCCCTTCCACTGAGATGATCGCCGGCTTGCGGCTGGGAGCATTCGCAAGGACCACCTTGGGCTTCTCGTGGCTGGGGGGGGGGGAGGAGGAGAGAGAGGGCGAGTGGGGAAAGAGGGCAAGAGGGGTGTCGTTACAGGAATAGCAGCTGCAAAGGGTGGCTCCTCCCCTCCACTGAGATGATCACAGGCTTGTGGCTGGGAGAATTGTGAAGGACCACCTTGGGCTTCTCGTGGCTGGAGGAGGGCAAAACGGGAAGACTTTCGAGTCGACTCAAAAGTCACCTCGGAGGGCAAAACGGGAAGAAGGGCGAATGAGGGCCAAGGGGGTTGTCCTTCGACATGCAGCAGCTGCACAGGGTGGCTCCTCCCCTCCACTGAGATGATTGCCAGCTTGCAGCTGGGAGAATGTCAAGTACACTAGGCTTTCTAGGGACACTATGCTTCCCCGGGACACTACCCTCCCCCGGGACACTACCCTTCCCCGGGCACTACCCTTCCCCGGGCACTACCCTTTCCTGGGCACTACCCTTCCCCGGGCACTACCCTTCCCCGGGCACTACCCTTCCCCGGGCACTACCCTTCCCCGGGGCACTAGGCTTTTCTGGGACACTAGGTGGTGAAATAGTGAGAGAGAGAGAAAGTGAAGGAGGGCCAGCAACAGGAGACGGACCGTTGGCCCTTCAGCGTGGGTAAAAAGGAGCACCTGGTGTCAAAGAAGGCTGCCACGTCATCAGCTGCCAGCGTGGCAGATGAGATGACTAGTCGGAGGTCGGGTCGCCGCCTCAACACCTGAGAGAGATGGGCAGGGGAGAAGAGAGAGAAAGGGGAAGAGGGGCAGGGGAGAAGAGGGGGGGAGAGATACAAAACGAAGAGATGGAGAAGGGAGACAACCCTGTGCAAGGTGGTATAAGATAAGGATCAACTTAAAGAGAAAAAATAACATTCACGAGTCCATGAAATAGGAAGTATACTCTATGACGAAGTCACAAGTTAAAACAGCTTACATCATCCACATACCTTCTTAAGAAGACCAAGGAGAATATCCGTTGCCAAGCTGCGCTCATGCGCCTCGTCCACCATAATCACACTGCATGCAATGCAGGCACGCAGATACACACAAGGCACATGCACACAAGGCACATGGACACAACACAATGGCATGCACAGAAGGGAAGACACGGGCAGAAACACACGCTGTTGGTTGGAACTCTCGTACTGAGGGGTTATGCCTCACCACAACAGACCGCACACAGAACAGTCACATGCAGAGAGCGGAAGGACAAAACAACACAATGGCATGCAGAGAGCGGAAGGACAAAACAACACAATGGCATGCAGAGAGCGGAAGGACAAAACAACACAATGGCATGCAGAGAGGGAAGGACTAGAGCGGAAACAAGACACTGTCAGGCCTCAGGTTAGAGTTTTCATAATCCGGAGTTATGCCTCACCATCCCATGCGATGGCGTGACACGTCACACCTGTATCTGGACAGCAAGGGGTCTTCCACCATCTCCCTCACAAGTGAGTTTTGAGTTGACTCAAGACCCACCCCATGCCACACCATGCCACACACCATGCCACACACCATGCCACATCACACACACCATGCCACATCACACACACCATGCCACACCTGTATCTGGAGAGCAAGGGGTCTTCCATCATCTCCCTCAGAAGCACCCCATCTGTGAGAAACTTGATCTGCGTTACGCCCTGTGGGACGAATGAGAAGGGGTACATGCACACAGTCAACACAGGTGAAGTGCTGCTGGGGGCGGTGGGCGGTGGACGGTGGATGGTGAACGGTATACGGCGTCCATCGGTGGGCAGTGGACGATGGCAGGGGATGGCGTCCACCGGTGGGCGGTGGGCGGTGGGCGGTGGGCGGTGGGCGGTGGGCGGTGGGCGGTGGACGGTGTCCGGTGGATGGCGTCCACCGGTGGGCAGCGGACGGTGGACGGTGGACGGTGTCCACCGATGGGCGGTGGACGGCGTCAACCGGTGGGCGGTGGATGGTGGACGGCGTCCACCGGTGGGCGGTGGACGGTGGACGGTGGACGGCGTCCACCGGTGGGTGGTGGACGGTGGACGGTGGTCGGTGGACGGCGTCCACCGGTGGGCAGTGGACGGTGGCTTACCTGCCATTCACAAGAACCTGGCTCACGCGTGTGGTGGCGTTCTCAAAGCGGATGCAGGAGCCCACTCTGCCCCCCTATAGCCCATCTGCTTTTGAGTCAACTCAGATGTTACCTGCCGTTCACACGCAGCTGCCATTCACACGCAGCTGCCATTCACACATAGCTGCCATTCACACGCAGCTGCCATTCACACGTAGCTGCCATTCACACGCAGCTGCCTTTCACACGCAGCTGCCATTCACACACAGCTGCCATTCACACGCAGCTGCCGTTCACACGTAGCTGGCTTACCGGCCATCCACAACACAGCAAGCTCACCTGTGTGGAAACGTTCTAAAAGCGGATGCTGTAGCCCACGTGACCCCCAAGAGCCACGCCCATCCGCGTTTGGGTCACTCGAGTATTACATGTCGATGTACCTTCCTCCAGGCACTGGAAGTCAGCAGGCTTACTTGCCCTTCCCCCGAGAGGCACCCCCACCCCATCTGTATTTGAGTCGACTCGGGTGACGCCTGCCATTCACACAACACACAGCAGGCTCACCTGCATGGTGACGTTTTCAAAGCGAATGCTGTAGCCCACCCTCTCCCCGAGAGCCACGCCCATCTCCTCTGCGACTCGACCTGCCACCATCTGAGACGAGCGGCCGGGCCGTGGAAGAGGAGCGCGCGGGAGGGAGGAGTCAGCATTTGAGGCGCCTCAAAAGAGCTCTCTCCCCCAGAACTAACCCATCTCCACTACAACTCGACTCACCACCATCTCGGCGGGATGGTGGTAGAAGAGGAGAGAGCGAGGGGAGAGGGACGGAGGAGAGGAAGGGGGGCGTGGGGGAGGGGGATGTGGGGTGTTAGGGAGGGGCGGAGGTGGTTGAGGAAGGATAGTAGGGTCAATTGCCGCCTACCACATACCACCAACTGGCTACCACTGTCTCCACCCGTCACCACCCATCACCGTCCGTCACCGCCCGTTACCGACCGTCTCTACCCATCACTGCCCACCGCCCGCCAGCGCCCGTCACCACCTGTCAGCCCATCACCACCCGTCACTACCAGTCGCCGCCTGTCACTACCCGCCACCGCCTGTCACCACCCGTCACCGCCCATCACCGCCCATCACCGCCCGTCACTACCCGTCATCATCCCCGTCACCGCCCATCACCACCTGTCACCGCCCGTCACCGCTACCCGTCACCGCCCATCACCGCCAGTCACTACCCGTAACCGCCCGTCACTACCCGTCGCCGCCCGTCACTACCCGTCACTACCCGTCACTGCCCGTCACCGCCCGTCACTAACTACCCCTCACCAGCCGTCACTACCCGCCGTCACTACCCGTCACCGCCTGTCACCACCTACCACCACCTACCACCCATCCCCTTCCACCGCCTTACTGCCTATTGCCTACTGCACATCGGCCACTGCAGAGTAGATGGGAGTAGAGCCACGAATCATGGCGTTCCAAGTAAGGTCCGAGCGAGATTCAAGTGTACTTAATGGTGCTCTTTCGCGCATGCATCTCGTCCGAGCCAGTCTGCACTCTCAGCATTGAACCAACACGAATGAACCGCCTCTCACCTGCGCCGCCTCTCACCTGCGCCGCCTCTCACCTGCGCCGCCTCTCACCTGCGCCGCCTCTCACCTGCGCCGCCTCTCACCTGCGCCGCCTCTCACCTGCGCCGCCTCTCACCTGCGCCGCCTCTCACCTGCGCCGCCTCTCACCTGCGCCGCCTCTCACCTGCGCCGCCTCTCACCTGCGCCGCCTCTCACCTGCGCCGCCTCTCACCTGCGCCGCCTCTCACCTGCGCCGCCTCTCACCTGCGCCGCCTCTCACCTGCGCCGCCTCTCACCTGCGCCGCCTCTCACCTGCGCCGCCTCTCACCTGCGCCGCCTCTCACCTGCGCCGCCTCTCACCTGCGCCGCCTCTCACCTGCGCCGCCTCTCACCTGCGCCGCCTCTCACCTGCGCCGCCTCTCACCTGCGCCGCCTCTCACCTGCGCCGCCTCTCACCTGCGCCGCCTCTCACCTGCGCCGCCTCTCACCTGCGCCGCCTCTCACCTGCGCCGCCACTCGCCGGGGCTGGGTGCATGCCACCACCCGCCCTCCTGCCGCCCACCCTGCTTCCACAAGGTACTGTTCATGGTGGGGGGGGGGTGATGGGAGGATGGGGGGATGGGGAGATGGAGGGAGATGGGTTTTTACGGCGCCTCGAAACCACCCTGCTTCCACCAGGTACTGCTCCTGGTGGTGTGGGTGGGATATGGGATGGGAGGAGATTGCCGAGGAGAAATGGGGGTTAGAAACCAGTTGGGATAGGGCGCAACGCAATGCCATGATTACAGGGCGCAACGCATGTGCTGCCATGTCATGTCATTTGGTGAGCTATCCACCTCACAAGTCACGTGCTTTCACCTGCGGTATCTGGGTGGTCTTGCCACTGCCCGTCTCCCCAACCACCACGGTGACTGCATGTGTCTCCACCAGGTATAAAATCCCCTCCCTGTGCTTGCACACTGGCAGCCTCTCGCGACCGCTCTGCGCAAAGGGACTGTGACAGGGGGTGTGGGGTGAGAAGGGGGGGGGAGGGGGGGGGAGAATGCTGAGGGGAAGGGAAAGCCATTGTAACCCAACCACCACGGTGACTGCATGTGTCTCCACCAGGTATAGAATCCCCTCCCTGTGCTGCACACTGGTAGCCTCTCATGCCCACTCTGCGCAAAGGGACTGATGAAGGGTGTGGGAAGGGGTGGGGGGGGGTGGGGAGAGAACCAGGGGAAGGGGGGATGGGATGGGGAGGGACATTCATAAATCCCAGCCACCATGGCGACTGTATGTGTCTCCACCAGGTATGGAATCCCCTCCCTGTGCTTGCACACTGGCAGCCTCTCACGCCCATTCTGAGTAAAGGGACTGACTGGGGGTGGTACGGGAGGGGTGAGAGAACCAGGGGAAGGGGGGGATGAGACGGGGAGGAACATGTATAAATAAATCCCAGCCACCAAGATGACCGCATGTGCGTCCACCAGATACAGGACCCCCTCCCTGTGCTTGCATACTGACAGCTTTTCACGGCCACTCTGCGCCAAGGGGCTGATAGGGAGGTGTGGGGCGAGGAGGAGAACAGAATGAGTGAGGGGAGGGGAAACGAGGGGTCCGAGGGACACCTACAATCTCAACCGTCCAAATTCAAGTGAAGCGAGAAGAAAAGAAAGGAGTTTTGAGGCGCCTCAATGATCAACCACCCAAATTCAAGGGAAGCGAGAAGAGAAGAAAGGCCGAGGAGGGGAAGAGGAGACACGCGCTGGTTCGTTCCGCACCTGGCCAGCGTGGCTATTGACACGTCAGCATCCGCGCCGTCCGCGTCCACCGCTAGCGACGCCCGAGACGCGAGCGACTCGCCCGGCCGCGGCGCTCCCGGCCGCCAGAACTGCGGCGGGCGCTGCGACTGCGGCGGGAGATACGGGCGAGCGGCCATGGCGGGAGCGGGAGAGGAAGAATCCGCAACACCACACGACTGGCTAGTGGCAAGTCTTCCCTGGCGAAGCGAGAGCCTCTCTGAGAGGGAGCGATAGGCGGGTGGCAAGTCGCCCCTGAGAACTCACAACACGGATGCGAGGGCAGATGGAGGGGTCCCCTCTCAACGCAGGTGATGCTCGCGAGTGGCCATGGAGGGGACGCGTCACCAAGGCTCGCTATTGATGGTGCTGCTGCGTCACTACCAGGGCTCGAATTCTGTGCCGTCCCGGGGCAACTTCTGGCTGGAGACTAGATGCCACCAGGCTGCTCCGTTAGTGGATCTGGTGAATCCCGTTCGTGAACCTGGTGAACTTCACAGATCCGTTTTGCTCCTTCGAAAACTTTAAAGCTTCCCATTATGTAGAAGCCTATTTGATGCTATTTAGGTAAGTGCCAACCAAGGGACGAATACATCACAAATTGCTAACCTTAATATGAGCGAATAAGACACGCTATTATATGCACCTGAATTACTTCTAAACATGTGTAACTAGATTGGACTGGACCAACTTTCATAGGTGGGTGTGCCTTAGCACCACCGTATACCATAATGCAGTCAAATATATTTGTATATGTTACTATAGCCTAGATAGGGACATGCCTTAGAGAGTACAGCTCATTAGGTCAAAACCACACTGTACCCTTGTAGCTAGTTTATTCCGCTACCCTGAGAAATGCCACAAGCAAAACTGAAGGCATGGCCTTTTTACTAGCAGCACAGCAATAGCAAAATCTTCCAAGGTTCTACTGAGACTTGCGCATAGGTTGTAAGAACAACCCGCCATTTACCCCTCAGAGCAGCTATCAGTGTCGTAATTATCAATGGGGTTACTACAACCAGCACCTTTATCGAAATTCCTGTTCCCATGTCCTAGTGCAGTGCCAGCAGCAGCACCACCAGCAGCACCACCAGCACCACCACCAGCAGCACCATCAGCACCACCCCTGCCATCAGTACCACCATGCCCTTCCCCATCTCTCACACTCCCCCCTGCCCTACCGTCCTCCCCTCGTGTCTCTTCTCCTCTCCCCGCACCCCCCTCTCCTCCCCCACCACTCCCCGTCCCCCTTCCCTCTCCTCCGCCCTCCCCCCCTCTCTCTTCCCCACCGTTTCCTGAGCTCCCTTCCCCTGCTCCCCCTCTGCTTCCCTCTCCCCCTGCTCCCCCCCCTCTCTCCCCCATCCTCCCAAGCTCCCTCTCATACATCCCCCTCCACTGCTGCAGCGCCCTCAGGCACTCCCCACCCCCCGCCCCCCCACTCCCCAAGGAGACAGGTAGTGGCGGAAGGGAGGGGGGGACGAGGTGGGGAGGAGCGAGGAGAGGTGTTTGGGGGTCCAGCACGCGGGGGACGATGGGCCATGAGGCAATGGACGCGGACAGCGCCTGGGATGGGGTGAAATGCATGGGGAAGACGCAAGGGCAGACAGGATAAAGGTCGGGAAAAAACGTCTGGGTTGAGGGAAAATGGCTGGGGCCGAGGGGAGGCTGAAGGGGCCTGGGATGGGGCGAAGCACACGTGGAGAGGTGCTCCAAGCGAAAACGAGAGTGCATGCCCATATGTGAGGCTGATAGTGGAGGAGAGCAACGAGGAGAGCAAGGAAGGAAGTCTCACCTGGCCTTTCTCCACTCCAGCCATGGCGTCATCAAAGCACGCCAGCATGCCTTCTCGGGCGGCTGCTCCTCGAGGAGAGATGACTCAGAAGAGGGCGCAAGGGAGAAGAAAGTCTCACCTGCCCTTTCTCCACGCCAGCAACGGCGTCATCGAAGCACGCCAGCATGCCCTCCCGCGCCACTCTCTCCATCTCCCCCTCTGGCGGCTGCTCGTCCTGCTCCTCCAGAAACGCCCGCACCCTCTCCATGTCCCCCCCCACCCACCGCGCCACCACCTCTTCCCCTGACAGTATCCCCCCATCCTCCCCCAACGTGTCTCCCCCCGCAGCAAGGGGGGGAATCACCAGCCTCCGCCTCTTGGGCTTCTGCTCCCCCTCCCCCTCCGCCTCCCCTTCTCCTGCCCCCTCTCCTGCCCCCTCTCCTGCCCCCGCCCTTCCTCGTTGCTCTCCCCCAACCCCCATTCCCCTTGCGCCATCACTACCCCCCACTCTGCCGTCCCCCTGCCCCCCTCCCCTTCCCCCAGCCCTCCCCATATCCCCTCCACTTCCCCCAGCCCTCCCCATATCCCTTCCCCTTCCCCCAGCCCTCCCCATATCCCCTCCCCTTCCCTGGCCCCTTCCCCCATCCCTCCCCCCACGCCCTTGCTCTCTGGCCGGCACGATTCGTCTGCGCCGCCCGCCCCCGTCCTCCACAGCCCTGTCTGCCGCCCCGCCTTGGCGCCACGGCCGCCCGAGGTGCATGAGATGCGGCGATATGCTCATGAGGCGGCGGTTACGGTAGCACTGCTCCACCCACCGCTATAGTCACACACGTGGAAAGCGGAAAGGCACAATCAGGCACAGTGAGAGAGGGGGACGGACAAGGGGGAGAGGGACTGACAGTGTGTAGGCTGAGTAGGATGGATGTGGCAGTGCTCACGTATTTCACCATACCTTATTCACAATCGTGCCGTCGTCGGCCGTCACGGTGCGCACTTTCGGCGTGCCGGGGAACGCGGCGACGAGCAGCGTGCAGTCCGCCGTCCAGTCCGGGCGGTACCGCGCGCCCATCTCCATCGCCTTGCCGCGCAGCTCGGCGCGCTCTGGGTTCACCACTCCGCTGATGGCAAACACCACGCCCTCGAGAATCCGCGAGAACTCCATCGCCCGACCCTCGTCGCCCTCGCCCCCCCACTCCTCCTCCTCCTCCTCCTCCTCGTCGGAGCTCGCGTCGGTCGTCTCGTCGTCGCCGCTTTGCGGCTCTTCCTTCTTCGGATGTGACCTTCTGGGATGTGCGCCGGCAGAGCCGCCGTTCGGAGCAGCTCCCGCGACTTCGCGGCCCATGAGGCCCGCGGATGCCCCTAAATTCTTGTACTACTTATAAGTGGACCCCGGCTTGAGTGCCTTCTCAATTACGCATAAGTCGACTCGGGCTTGAATGCCTACTCAGTAAGTAACATTCAGATAATATCGTGCCTATTTGAATGGTCGGTGTGTAGTGTACCAATCATCAATTCGTCATGGCGAAGACATCGAGGTGTGCTGCTGGCAGACACAGTGGGATGCGTTTTGGCGGGAAATGCAAGAATCATAGAAAGGGGCGCTGGATGTATGCAATGACATGGTACTGTATGAGGGGAGGTGGAAATGTGAAAGAATTGGTTAGAGAAAATGTTTTCTGGGACAGATGCTCTTTCTCCTACGAAGCCTTTGACGATAGGCTGTAGAGAGTATAGACGATAAAGGTGATGCCTCGATTAAACCGTTGGATCAAGTCAAGCACTTCTCGACAAGCAATGAAAGCCGTAAGATGTGAAAATTTTCCAGCTCAAGCACCCCAGCTGCAGTTGCCTGGCCACCCACAAGTCTCAGGAGACGGCTGCTCGACACGTGGCGATATTATGGTGCTTGCTTTGACTCGGAGCCTGGCTACTGTACATAACAGTTCATGGTCTGACAGACTGACTGACACTCTCCGCTGAGTTGTCTTATCGGAACAGAACCGAGCCATCCCTGCAGCTCTCCGTGTTGGAACGTGGAGGTTGCCGAGCCGAGAGAGCTTGCGAATACGCGAAACTCAACTGTCAAATTCGTTTCGCGCTTTTCGCGAGAGTAGCCTCAGCACTATTTATTCGTCGCAGAATTGTGGTAACTCCCCACGGCGGACCCCTCGGGACTTTCGGTTATCCATCTGACAGCTTGGCAAGTACTTACCGCTGTACTGTACTACTGTACAGTACCGAGTCCTCGAGACGAGAATAGTTCTTTTTGTAGTGAGAACCACTCCATTTTGAAACCAATCCTTCATATTTATGGCCTCCGCCACTTGCTGCTCGCCTCACCGCCTATTCTCCCTCCCTCCCTTTCCCACGGCCTGATGCATGAATTGGCCTCTCTCGCCGTATATGTGCACAATCCGTCTACTGTACCTGCCATACCTCTAATCGTACCTCTCGCTCACTTATTTAGCCTACCACGAATCAACGCAGACTCAGCATCGCGGCCGGCTACTAACGCATCCGTACCTGCGTCGCGGGGTTAGTCACCATGTCGTCGACACGGATGGCCACGTCATCATCCATGGCGTTAGTGGGCTCCCTACTCTCCATCATCAACGAGATCGCCGCGCTCGGACCGCGCCTCCGCAGCCACAAGCGCTCGTGTCAGAATCTCATCCGTCGGATCAAGCTGCTCGCGCCGCTCTTCGAGGAGATTAGAGACGTCAAGAGCCCGCTGCCGCCGGCGGCGGTGGTGGTGTTTCAGAACATGCGGTCGGCGTTAAGCGCGGCGAAGAGCATCCTCGAGGACTGCAGCAGCGGCAGCCGCATCTGGATGGTCAGTCTGCCTTCTCTCGCGCTGCTCCCGCTCCCTTCCACGCATCCCATCCTTCTTACTGCACCCTCGCGTCCCCGCTCGTCATCCCCTCCGCTTCCCGCTCCCCCCTTCCCGCCCCTTACCCCTCCCGACCGCCTCGAGGTTTCTCCTTCTCCCCCTCCAAACGTACTGTCGTTCCTCTCGCCTCGCCTCCCCTCCTTGCTTCCCCGCGCGCGCCGTGGTTCTCCCCCCCCCCCCCCCCCCCCCCATTTTTTTCCCGCCTGCGCATGTGCGCGCAGGTAATGGATCGCGAGCGCGCGCTGAACGTGGAGCTGAGCAAGGCTTCCCCCTTCCTGTCCCCCTCCTCTTCCCCCCTCCACCCGGTTTCCCCCCCTGCCCGCGCGCGCAGGTGATGGAGCGCGAGGCGATGGCGGAGCGCATGCGCGCGCTGAACATGGAGCTGAGCAAGGCGCTGGAGGACCTGCCCATGAACGTGATGGCCATCTCCGAGGAGATCCAGGAGCAGGTGCGCGCGGAGGGAGGGGGAGTAAATGGGTCTGGGGAGGAGGTGATAGGTTGAGAGCCACATGGTTGGAGCTGGGGGAGTGTCGGTGTCGAGCCCTCACGAGGCGCTGGAGGACCTGCCGATGAACGTGACGGCCATCTCGGAGGAGATCGCAGGTGAGCCGGGGGGGGGGTGGGGGGTAAGGGGGGGGGGGGGATGGGGAGAAGGCGGGGAGTGGGGGTGTGGTCGAGTGGGCGGGTTGGTAGGGGGAGGGGATGAGGATGGGGCTGGGGGGGAATGATTAGCTTGAGGGGCGCTGGAGGACCTGCCGATGAACGTGATGGCCATCTCCGAGGAGATCCAGGAGCAGGTGAGTGGGCGGGTGTCGGTGGTGGCTACTTTTTCAGTCGACTCAAAACGAAATTACTATCACTCGGTGGTGGCTTCTCACCAAGGACGTTTAGAGCCGTTTACAAAAGTTTAAAGGCGGTTGAGGGCGTGGAGCATAGAAAAACGGGAGTCGGTCTGGTCTTGGCAACAAAAACGCCTGGCGCGAAACGCCATGTCAAAGTTTGCCAAGGGTGTAAGCAGATAAAAAAACCAGAACTTGGCCTCCGCCACATACTCTCCTCGCCCCCTCCCCTTCTCCCCTCTTCTCCCCTTCTTTCCCACTTCCAGGCCCAGCTGGTGCAGGTGCAGCTGAAGCGCAGCCGAGCCCTAGACGACGCCCAGGAGGAGCAGCTGCATCCCGACGTGCGCCACATCCTCTCCTCACCCCCTCCCCCTTTTACCCTTTCTCGCCTTTCTCGCTTCACTCCCCTTCCCCAGGCCCAGCTGGTGCAGGTGCAGCTGAAGCGCAGCCGCGCCCTGGACGACGCGCAGGAGGAGCAGCTGTACGCCGACGTGCGCCACATCCTCTCCGACCCCCGCCTGGGAGGCCCGCCCCTCAACAGCACCACCAGGCAGCCCGCCGCCACCGCTCCCAGCAGCAGCAGCAGCACGGGCTCTGGCAGCAAGGGAAGCAGCCGCAGGGAGATGGGCGCCGCTGCTCTGGCAGCAGCTCTGGCTGACTGCTCCGAACCGACGATCGTCATCCCCGTGGTGCCCCAGTCGCCGAACCCTGCTGCTCCCCCTCCCTCCCCTGCCATCCTCTCCTCCTTCCCCTCCTTTTCTTCCAAGGGCGGGGATCTCACTAAGGGCGTTCCTGGTGTTACTATTACTGTGATATCGTCTGGTGGGGCGGAAAACGACGCAGCAGACGCAGGGGCGTCTGCGGCAGTTTCGCCTTTACCCTCGCTAAGTTCCGTGGAGGCAGGGTTACTAGACCCTGTTCTTGGCAAGCTCGGGCTGACGTCCCTACCATCCGTTTTGGACGAGCTGGCCTCCTTAAAACGAGCGCGGGAGCAGGTTATAGAGGAGACGGACGCGGCGGGGGGGGGAGGAGGAGGAGGAGGAGGAGGGGAGTCGGCATTGGAGAAGCTGAGGCAGAGGCTGAACCACGAGCTGAAGGTGGGCAGAGATATGAGTCTCTTGCCAGAGGAGGAGAGGGGCAGCGGTCGAAGCCGAGGGGGAGGGAAAGTGTCCCCCTCAGGCAGTTCTCAACGCGCTGCTGGTTCGCCCAGGACCCTGGCTTCGCCCAAAGGTGTTGTTTCTCCCAGGGATAGAGGGGGGGCGCATGTTTCGCCCGAAGGGGACGGCAGAATGGGCTCGCGGGCAGCTGCAGAGCGCAGGGTGACTGCAGAGTCGAGAAAGGCGGAGAAGCTGAGGGAGCTGGAGAAGATTATACTGTTACTGGAGAGGCTTAAAGTGAGTCTCAGTGGAGGGATGGAGGATACGGAGGAGAGCGGGGGTGGAGGAGGAAGAGAGAGGGGAATGAGGAAGTCGGGGAGTGGGGATGGGTCGGGAGGGGAGGAGGGCGAGGGGCATGCGGATGATGGTGTGGATAGGGGCGGCATTGGCGTTGGCACTGGGTCGGCACTGCGGTCGAAATCCGGGCGGCTGGTGGTGCCTCCGGATGACTTTCGTTGTCCTATCTCGCTTGAGATTATGCGGGATCCGGTCATAGTGTCCACAGGCCAGGTCAGTGCACGAATCCTGTGTCCTATCTCGCTGGAGATCCGCGTGGCTCTTGTTCCCTTGCCTCTCCTCTTCATCCTTCCCCCGATGCCTCTTTCGCATTTTTACCAAAACTGCATGGTGCGCAATCTGGGCATTTCTTCCATCCACATCTCCCCCCTCCCTCCCCCCCCCTCCCCCCCGCTCCCACCCGCTCCCCCTCCTTTCTGCTATCGCTCAGACGTACGACCGCGCGTACATCGAGCAGTGGCTGAAGGAGGGCCACAAGACGTGCCCCAAAACCCAGCAGATCCTGTCGCAGCCAGCGTCGCTCATTCCCAACTTCTCCCTCCGCAGCCTCATCCAGCAGTGGTGTGAGGCCAACGACGTCGAGCTGCCCAAGCGCACCCACCGCTCCAGCCACCGCCACCGCCACCACAGCAGCAGCAGCAGCAGCGGGGGCGGTGGGGGCGGTGGGGGCGGTGGGAGCAGCGGGAGTGATGGGGCTGGTGGGGGGGAAGGTGGTTCGGGTGGGGGAGGTTCCGGTGGGAATGGGGATGGAGGCCCGGCCGAGCTTTCGGCGCCGGATCGGCAGCATGTGATGCAGCTAAGGGACCGGCTTCGATCGCCAGAGATTGAGGTTCGGAGGAGTGCAGCGGGGGATGTGAGACTGCTGGCAAAACGGAGCGTGGCGAACCGAGTAGCCATGGCAGAGGGGGGTATCATCCCCCTGCTGGTCGATCTACTCCCCGACCCGCTCCCGGCTGACGCCAAGATGCAAGAGAATGCGGTTACCGCGTTACTGAACCTCTCGATCAACGACCCGAACAAGAGCCTGATAGTCTCTGCGAGGGCCATCCCTGCCATAGTCCGGGTCCTGGAGAAGGGAGGGAGCATGGAGGCTCGGGAAAACGCCGCCGCAGCGCTGTTCTCACTCTCCGTCATGGACGAAAACAAGATTTCGATCGGGCAGGCCGGGGCGATCCCAGCGCTGGTAGACCTCCTCAAGAGCGGATCCACACGAGGGAAGAAGGACGCTGCTACTGCTATCTTTAATCTGTCTATTTACCAGGGGAACAAATCCAGGGCCGTGCGAGCAGGGGTGGTCGAGCCTCTGATCGACCTCCTCATCCACCGTCGATCGAGCATGATGGACGAGGCTCTCGCGATCCTGGCCGTTCTTTCCACGTCCCCAGAGGGGCGCACGGCGATAGGGGATGCGTCAGCTGTACCTATCCTTGTGGAGTTGATGAAGGACGGGTCCCCGAGGAACAAGGAGAATGCCGCCTCGGTGCTGCTGTCGCTGTGTCTCAACGGCCGCGGGCACACGGAGTTAGCGGTGCAGTGCCGTGCCATGGCGCCGCTGCAGCTGCTGCTGAGAAGCGGCACGCCGAGAGCCAAGAGAAAGGCGTCGCAGCTGCTGCAGCACCTGCAGGACCAGGACCTCATGCCCCGGAGTAGCTGAGTAGCTGAGCTTTCAGGGTGCTGATTCAGCTGAATGACTATGACATGTCATGGGCCATGGCTATGGGTGGTTGTTAGGAGAAAGCCATCAGCTGCTGCAATGCCGGAAGGACCTGATTCAAGCTTATTTGCGTGCTTTTGCTGTGCTCCAGTACAGAGAGCTTATGTGTAGGGGAACCTGAGTGTGCTGCAGATGCAGCCTTATGTGACTTATTGCTATGGGTAGCTGAGGGTCCCTTTTTGTGCCAGTGTGGCTTGCCTTAGGTGACAAGTACACTTGCATGTGCTGGTTTGGTATGTCTCTGGCTGCATATATATCCCATCCAGGGTGGAAGACAGGCTTACTGGCTGCTTTATTCCCCTCGATACCCCAGATCACGTTCTTGGAATGCCTGCACAGCGTATCAGTGTGTTAAATGCAAACTGTAACAGCAGAAGCTACTCATAAAATGATATAAGGTATTTCCTATACAAGCATTGTTGGAACGGCTGGTGGCTGGTGGTGGGGCATGAAAGCACTCTCCCTGCCTCCAACACACCAGCTCGCAAAAGCACATGTCAAATCAAATGCCCAGCACTGCCCATACAACCACTGCCACAGCCACACTCCACACCCCCCCACCCGTCCATGCTCCCTTAGCAGACGGCAGAAAGGCCGGCATCTGGCACTGTTGGCCGCCCACAAGGAGAGCCAATGGGAACACGCCAGAGCTGACAGCAAGAGTATCCCCCCCTGTGGCGTTGTACCCTGCTGAGCCTGGCGTGCGGTTAAAGCGGAGGGTCCATTGCACGTTGCCCCCATCGCCCAGCAGCCACTCGTTCACTGTGGGCTGGCCAGACATCATGAGGTTGTCAGCTGGGGAGGGGGGGGTGAGAGGGAGGGCGGGGAGGGGGGGAGGTGAGTGAAGGTTGAAGCATAGGGTCCACTGCACGTTGCCCCCATCACCCAGCAGCCACTCGTTCACTGTGGGCTGGCCAGACATCATGAGGTTCTAACTGGGGAAGGGGGGGTGAGAGGGAGGGCGGGGAGGGGGGGGGGAGGGGAGGGGGAGGAGCGTGAGGGTTGAGGCAGCGTTGCCTCATCTCCCAGCAGCCACTCGTTTCTCCTTTGCTCTCCAGATATCATGCAACTGTCAGCCGGGTGTTCAAAACCCCGAGGATGCACCTCCCCTGAGGAATACCCCCACTCCTAACCCCTCCCCCCCCCCCGGGGACATCCCCTCCCTCTCAGGGACACACCCCCCTCTCTCCCCAGGACGCACCCCACCCCGAGGGACACACACCCCTCCCCCCTCCAGGGGCGCAGGGGCATACCATATGGTGGTGAGTCAAATCGAGCCGCCACAGAGGTTGCCTCCTGGAGGTTTTCAGCAAAGCCCTGCGGAAACGCCAAGACTGCCGTCCAGTTCTTGATTGTGGGCGGTGCACTGTTCCACAGCGCCAACCGCATTGTCCAGCCTGTTTCGTCCGCATCTGATATAGTCACATGCGCTTCAATGCCGCACCCAGTGCCGCAGCTCTAGAAAAGTTGGAGGGTAGGGAGGAGGGAAGAGGCAGCGAACGAGAGAGGAGGGGGAGAAGAGAAAGTCATGTGCTTGTAGGGGGAGATAGAGGGGAGGAGGGGAAGGCAATGTTCGTTACTCTCAAACATGGAGCCCCTCTAGATAGGGGAAGTATGGTCATGTCATCGGGTATAAGGCTCAACCACGGTGTGTATTGCCCAATCCTACTCCCACTCGTCCTCCTTTTCCTCCCACCCCACATCCCAACCCAAAAACTCACCCCCTCATCCCGCCCTGATAAAACACTCATTCCCCCTCATTCCGCCCTGATTATACACTCATTCCCCCTCATTCCGCCCTGATTATACACTCATTCCCCCTCATTCCGCCCTGATTATACACTCATTCCCCCTCATTTTGCCCACACTCACCCCCTCATCCGCCTGATCATTCCCACCGCACTCACCCCCTCACTCTGTCCTGGCACCACCAGCCCCGCCAGGTCCTCTCCCAATAGCACGGTTGCAGCAGGATCTGTGCTTGCTGACGTGGCGGCATCGCATTGGCCGCCGCCTTGGCTGGTGTTGGAAGAGGAGCAGCCGCAGGCACAGGAGGAGCTGGGGGCGAGTGAGGAGTTGAAATAGGCTGGGAGGAATTCGGGGGGGAGCGGGGGGGGGGTGAAAGAGGATGGGACGGGGGTAGTTGGGCGGGGAAATGGGGTAGGACAGAGAACCAGTGAGGCAAGAGGGGAAGCTGGAGGGTGCAGACATAGGTGCAGGGCAGGGAGCAAAATAGGTGTCGAAAAGGCTTGGGGGGAGGAAGGGGGACAGGGGGGAAGGATTTGAAATTTGTGGCAGGGTGGGTGGGGCAGGCTAGTTGATTGAAAGGCGGGGGGACTTGCAAGCTGGTTTGTACAAAAATTACAGTCGGATAATCGGATTTGTGTTACCAGATGCTGACACAGAGCAGGTCGGGAGAGGCCCGTTTCCAGCTACAGTGCCACATGTCACCACGTAAGAGGCTGGGAGTATAGGAAGAGCAAAGGGACAGAGGCAAGGTGACAATGGTGGAAGGGTTGTGACACAAAAACATCTTGGGAACAGGGAGACAGGAAGTTAAAACAAGAGCGAAAACTAGAGCGAGGAAAGCTAGAGTGAGGATAGGAGGCAGATACGGAGGGTCGATTTGGTAGATTGAATAAGACAGAACAAACTACTGTGGATGAGAGGTACTGTAGCTGCGGTTTCGACCTTGAGCTTTCACTTTCCCCCCATCGTCAGCAGCCACATATTGCCTGACATGCATCTCTAGCGATTGTGGTCTGGCTGCCGCCCACCTTTGGCGTTCCTGGTCTGTCTGCCGCCCACTACTGTCTCAAGCGCCGAGGGGGAGAGGCCAGTCGGGGGGTCACATGCGAAGCCCTGCGACTGGTTGGAGACCCGGGCAGTGAAGTTGGCTGGGAAGGTGAGCAGCGAGGGGTCCCAGTACTGCCGGGCTTTAACCTGGGGAAGGAGGGGCGGGGAGAATAGGGTAAGTAGTTTTGGGGGGGAAGGCGGACGACGAGGTTGGTCAATCTGCCAAGCCTTGTGACTGGTTGGACATTCTGGCAAAAAAGCTAGCTGGGAGGGTGAGGTCGGAGGGGCCTCACTACTGGAGAGGAAAGGCGGAAAACTGGAAACGTCGCAGTGGGAGGGAAGGGGTTGCAGGATATGAGGGGCGTATGAAAGCGAGTGTGAGCGAGTCTGATACTAGCGAATGCGCGTCACAAGGGGGGTGTACTACTAGCCAGGTGTGTATAGTGCCAACAACGAGGAGGGTGGAAGTCAGAGTAACGAGTGGTGTCATGAACGGAGCAAATATGACACGTACCAGCTTTTGAGGTGCCTCAAAAGGAGAAAATATGACACGTACGAGAAGCATAGTGAAGGAGGTGGAGGAGGACGAGTTGTCATAAGCTGGTGCGGATAGCGATCCATTCAGGCTGGGCGGATGAGCACCGCGAAATCAGGAGGAAGGGAGCCAAGGGCAGTGGGAATTAGGGGCAGTGGGAAAAAGGGGCAGTGGGGAAGGGGTGAGCAAGGAGGAGTGGTGGAGTGCAGAATGCACTTGACAAAGAGACTCAGCATAGTTCCTGGCAAAATTTACACAGCGCCTAGCAGTGGGCGCTTTAGTATGCAGTGCCGTTCAGCCCCAAAGGATTCAACAGCAACTCCATGTAGCAAATACAGCAACGAACATGCCATGGGAAAAGAGTTGGGCATGAGCAAACGCCATGATAGAAGTCTACTTTTGAGGCGCCTCAAAACTAGAAAGAGTTGGGCACAAGCACACGCTTACGGGGAGCCGTCGATAAGAGTGGGGATGGGGTCGCAGGAGTAGGCACTGTTGATGGAGGGGTTGTCGATGCATGCAGGGCACGACGTGCAGTCTGGCAATGGTGGGAGGAGGGACAGCGGAGGATGGGAGGAGGGACAGCAGAGGATGGGAGGAGGGACAGCAGAGGGTGGGAAGTTGAGTGGGGATGACGGGAAGACGACGACGACATGCATGTAGAGGCACGGCAACCTGGGCTTCTGATGGAAGGGTCGTCTTGATGCAGAGTCACGCAAGGCACAACTTGCAGTTTGGTTGGCAACGAGTGGGGATGTGGAGGGGCATCTTGAGGCGTCTAACATGCCCTACTCCCGCCTCAGGCACCTACCTTCCATTGCGTCGCATTCCAAAGCACTATGCCAGTTTGCGCTACGGCTTACCTCCTTGCTGCAGTGTCTGGCACCCGTCGCACTCCAGAATCATTCTGGAAGGGGAGAAAAACCACGGGAGAGAGGTAAACAGAATCATTCTGGATGGGCAATAGAATGATGGGGATGCTGAATGCAACCACGAGCAGACCCTTAGAAACACGGAGAAGGGCGCCAGGGAGCATACGAGAGCGTAAGTGCCAAGCTATGGATGTGAACAGCAATAGTCACTAGAAAACTCAGCCCATGCTCCCACTCACTCGCCCATCTGCCACGCCCATTGCAGCGACCAGCCAGGGTCACTGCTGACTGCAGTGTATCGCTGCGTGTTGGTCACGCGCACTGCCACGCTGTACTGTGAGGCATTGGCGTTTAACACGTCCCACTGAACCTGCAGGCCTTGGCTTGAAATGGGTAGTGTTGGGACAGGCAGTGGTGCCACTGGAGAAGCGGGGGGCGGTAGATTGTGGAAAGATGTGAGGGGATAACAAGAAAGGGATCTGATGCCTGAGTCTACACTGCAGTCATCCGCACAGCCACAGTGTACCAGAACACAGGGTCAGAACGGAAAAACACTCTCAGAGGTAGAAAAGAAAGCAACTGCGCAAGGAGAAGCAGAAGCAAGAGCAGAAGTAGAGGTACGAATAGGGTAAAGGCAGCGTACAAAGGGCACGCACCTTGAGTGTCCTGCACGGGGCCAGTGGAGGGACAGCACACCCGGAGGGTGTCGTTGCGACCTGGAGAAGGGGCGAGCAGGAAGTGAGGGGAGGACGAGGGAGACGGGGGGGGAGAGTGGAAAAACAAGTGGGGGGGGCGGCAGTGCAGTTGCGGCTTTGGTGAGCCACGAAGCCTCTAGCAAATAGTAGTATTCGAGATGCCATACCTGAGAGCATGGGCGTGTCGCTGCAGTCGAACCCTGAGTCATCCAGAGAGATGGTCCTGTGCAGCGCGGCTGCTGCATAGGCGGATTGAGGAGCCTAAACCCGAAACCCCCAAGACATACCATGAGAGGTGCCGTACCTGAGAGCATGGGCGTGTCACCGCAGTCAAACCCCGTGGCGTCCAGAGAGATGGTCCTTGGCAGTGCGGCTGCTGCTGACGTGGCGGCGACCTCCGTGCCCGACAGCTGTACCACTTGCTGGTACCGCCGCTTGTCGCCTCCTGATTGGACGGCTGTGAGCAGGAAGGGGGTCCCTGGCGGACTGGAGAGCGCCAGACCGTTGCCTGGGGGGGGGATGAAGGGAGGATGAGGATGAGGATGAGGATGAGGATGAGGTTGAGGCATCAGTAAGGGGAACCGAGAGAGACGGGAAGGAGGAGGGGAAGGGAAGAAAAGCATTCAGAAAAAGGGGAAACAGTGGATGCGGTGGGAGCGGAGAGACGACGAGACGAGAGACACGCCAGACAGGACGGCTGCGGGAGGAACTTGAGGAGCAAGCCTTCCATTCGCATGTGTACTCGCTACAAGCTCACCTGCTACTGGCAGCTGCACACCCGCCGGAACAACCGCCCCGTCCACCTCCCCAATGGCTTCCTGGTTCACGAATCCAAACGACAGCGCCCACTTCCTGAGCGGCCTGGGCCCCACGTTAGACAGAGTGACCCTTGATGTGAATCGGAAGGCAGGCGCGCCGGAGAAAGGGATGGGCGTGAGAGAGAGCACGCGGTAGTCTATGATTATCCCGGGGCATTTCGCTGAGCTGGTGAGCAGTGATTGGGCGAGAGGCGCGGGCGCGGGGGCAGGCGCGGATGAAGGGGATGGGGCGGGTGCGGGGGCAGGGGTGGAGGCGGGGGAAGGGGCGGGGGCGGGGAAAGGGGAGAGAAGGGATTCGGGGGCAGGGGCAGGAGCAGGGGGGGGTTCGGGGGAAAGGGCGGGCGCAGGGGCTGGGGCTTCGAGGGGAGGTGGGGGCGGGGAGTGGCGAGGGCGAAGGGGGCGGGGGGAAGAGCTAGGAGGGGGGAGAGGGGAGGGGATGAGATGGGCTCTGAGATAAGAGGGGGTAGGGCGGGCTCGGAGGCAGAGAGGGAGGGCGAGAGCGAGGAAAAGGCAGGTTCGGAGGTTGGAAGTGGGGAGGCGGATGCTGAAGAGGAGGACCTGGGGGAAGTGGGGAGCTTGGGGGAAGTGGGGAGGTTGGGGGAAGTGGGGAGGTTGGGGGAAGGGGAAGACGCGCTGGAAGCGGGAACAGAGGGAGCTGCTGCAGCAGATTTCAAAAGTGGTGAGACGGAAGGATCCCTGGTGGTGGAGGCAGAACGAGATGCTAACGAGGAGAGGGGGGGGGGACGGGAGGAGGAGGAGCGAGAAGAAGCTGACGTGGTCGATGCAGAAGTAGAGGCTCTTGAAGCAGCAGCTGGTGTGGTCGATGCAGAAGTAGAGGCTCTTGAAGCAGCAGCTGGTGTGGTCGATGCCGAAGTAGAGGCTCTTGAAGCAGCAGCTGGTGTGGTCGATGCCGAAGTAGAGGCTCTTGAAGCAGCAGCTGGTGTGGTCGATGCCGAAGTAGAGGCTCTTGAAGCAGCAGCTGGTGTGGTCGATGCCGAAGTAGAGGCTCTTGAAGCAGCAGCTGGTGTGGTCGATGCAGAAGTAGAGGCTCTTGAAGCAGCAGCTGGTGTGGTCGACGCAGAAGCAGAGGCTCTTGAAGCAGCAGCTGGTGTGGTCGATGCAGAAGTAGAGGCTCTTGAAGCAGCAGCTGGTGTGGTCGATGCAGAAGCAGAGGCTCTTGAAGCAGCAGCTGGTGTGGTCGATGCAGAAGTAGAGGCTCTTGAAGCAGCAGCTGGTGTGGACGAAGCAGTACGACCAGGAGATGCAGTGGACGGGACGGGGGTGTCTTCCACCAGGCGAAACCGTGAAGCCACGCCGTGCCATCGCTCACCCTCCTGTGATCCCACCACCGTTGCTCCGCCTCCGTGGCCTTGTGCCGCTGCTGGTGCAGCAGTGGCGAGCAGCAGGAGGACACACACAACACCTGCAGATAACCACTCGAGGACTGCTCCAGCTGCTCCTGCTGCTCCTGCTGCTCCTGCTCCAAGCTTCCGCTGTGGACTTAAAGAGCGCCGCTGCAGGGGATGGTGTGCCTGTGCTCCATAGGAGCCGGATCGTGCCTGTGAACCATCAGCGGAAAAACCCTCCATAGTAGGCCGCTCCCTACAATCACCCCAACGGGCTCTCTAGCCTGCTTCTAAGGCACAGCACGGGGTCGTAGGAACTTCACGAGTCACAGGGAGGTTCCCCGGGCACAATAGCAGTACGCGCAAAGACGGATGCGGGCTGCGCTCGTTGTGGGATTTAACGGGCCTCTATAGATGCCTATATCGCCCGAGGCTGTGGCGGGCGCTGGGGTAGAGGGCAAAGGGCCTGGGGTGCGGACGATGGGATAGGCGAGGGGGGGAAGTCCAGGAGGCAATGCTTGTGTACCTCCTCCGAGGAGTCAATGGCTGACGCCCACAGGGAACCTGGTCCTGATGCACCCGCACCAATACGACTGCAGCTGCGATGAAGGAACCCTTGGCTCATGCGGCAATGGGTGGGAAAGGGAAGCACCGTAAATGTAGAAGGCTCTTGCTAGGAAGGAAAGCCCAGCCAGCCATTATGGGCGGGAAGGGACGCATTGCCATTCGTCGACGGAAAGGCCCAGCTGCCGCTACTATATCGGCGACGGTCGGTTGAACGGTGCGATGAGCACATCGGACAGATCAACGTTGAATACGGCACACACGTGTTTCTTCTGAGCACGATCAAATGTCCAGGACACAACGGGGAAACAGCCGCCAGCGAGATTCCTGCTTCCAGCGCGATAGGGAAATCCAAACATCCAATTGGGACGCCCAATGCTGGAAAGCTTAGAGCCGCTAGACAAAGACAAATCCCCGATCTTATCGAGCTCTCCATCTTTCGAGCTTACAGGCGTTTGAGGCGCCTCAATTGAGCCTCGAGGATGTCGAATCGAGAAACAGTTGGCTGCGGGTGGGCTATTGCCAAGCGGGAAAGAGGCTCGGATCGGGGAGGAGCTAGCATGAGGGGTAGCTGTAAGTAGCGGCCGGATTTTCGAGAATGCGCAACTGAAAGCTCTGTTCTTGATACTTCCGTCGCTGGGGATGGCGCATGGTCCTACATTGATCGCTCCGTTATCCGTCCTAAGGCCTGTGCTACTTCTACATACTGTATTAGTTCCGTGCGTGTACTGTGTACGAACCCGTTTTGGAATGCCTGCAAGTTGGACAACAAAGCCCCTTGGCCACTCGAGATTTGGGAGGGGGAGAGACACTGGGCGAATCTGTTTGGTTCGGTCGGCCCCCACTGCCCGCCTGCCCACCAAGTCAAGCTGTCAGGAGGACCTAGCTGACTTGGTAACCATGTTCACGTCGCAAACCCCATGATTGGTCCACGAGACCATATCAGAGGGAGAATCAGTTCGCCACTAATTTCGCCACCGTTTGTTGTCGGAGCCTCGTGCATAATTTTACCGCGCGTGACACATTTGATTTTGCCAGAGAATCCCACCAACCCTGTGGCAAATGATTTGGCCGACACCCGCTCCCTGCTGTATCCTTCCTCAACTCCAGCCCACCTTTGCCTTGCATCACGTTTTAGTTTCCTTCCGGACTCGAGCAAGGATAGTTTCGTTGTCTCCTCGTGTGGTTCGACGCTACCTCATTTTGCTGCGCTGTGTTCTGCGATACGCCTGTCTGGTAGAGTCTTGTCAATGTTACTGCCGCCGATGCGCGGAGTTACGCACAGGCGAGTAACGCTCACCTTGGTCTCACAGTCAGCACTCACGCAACGTTCGCCGTCGTGAGCCGCCAATGGAAGAACCGCCGTGGGCTAGCAAGCTAGCGCCACACCGCACAATAGCCGAGGAAGCCAAGTCCATCCTCCATGAGGTGTGTACCTGCTTTTTAGGCGCCTCAAAAACCGCCGGGCTAGCAAGCTAGCGCCACACCGCACAATAGCGGAAGAAGCCAAGTCCATCCTTCACGAGGTGTGTAACAGTAACCTGTGTAACAGTAACGTGTGTAAGCGTAACGTGGCGAGCTGCATTTGACTCCAACTACCGCGAGCATCGTCCGGAGGCCTTTTCGAGTCGACGCACGGCGTTATAATTTTCACCGTGAGGCGCGCTCTTCTAAATCCTCACACGCCCATCGATAGATGCCGCACCAACACATTCCCCTAGCCCCTTCCTTCCATCCCCCCTCCTCCCGTCCCTCTTGCTCACCTGAAAGCAGGGTTGGCTGCTGAACCTCTGTGGCGTCCCCCCTTGGCTGTACATGCCATCCGCTTAATGGTGGTATCCTGCTGTTGTGTGGGAGGTGGCAAAGGACGGAAGACATATCTCAGCAGCGCGTTTCCGCACTCCTAGTACACTCACCGCAGCTCTCCTCGCTTCTCCCCGTCCCTGTCCAACACGCCCACGCTCCCTTGTCCCCATGACTTCCGTAACCCACGTGCTCATCCCTTCCCTTTCCCCCTCCTTCCCCCTCCTTCCACCTCCTTCCCCCTCCTTCCCCCTCCTTCCCCCTCCTTCCCCCTCCTTCCCCCTCCTTCCCCCTCCTTCCCCCTCCTTCCCCCTCCTTCCCCTCCTTCCCCCTCCCTCCCCCTCCTTCCCCCTCCTTCCCCCTCCTTCCCCCTCCCTCCCCCTCCTTCCCCCTCCTTCCCCCTCCTTCCCCCTCCCTCCCCCTCCTTCCCCCTCCTTCCCCCTCCTTCCCCCTCCTTCCCCCTCCTTCCCCCTCCTTCCCCCTCCTTCCCCCTCCCTCCCCCTCCCTCCCCCTCCTCCCCCCACACGCAGTGGTGGCGGTAAGCCTTCACCCTTCAAACCCCCGCCCCCTGCCCACATCCCCCCCTTTCTCGCCCCCCGTTCCTCCCCACCCCGCCCTGGTCAGCTGAGCGCAGTGGTGGCAGTCGGCCTTCACCCTTCAAACCCCCGCCCCCTGCCCACATTCCCCCCTTTCTCGCCCCCCTTTTCCGCCCCATCCCACCTGGTCAGCTGAACGCAGTGGTGGCAGTCGGCCCACGCTGGCAGCTGGACACGTTTCTGGATGGCACTGCCCGCCTCTCTGCCATCCAGAAGGCTCTGCGCGCGCGGCTAAATGACAAAGATGGGGGTGCTGGAGGGGCGGGGGAAATAGGGGGTGAAGGCGTGGGGGGGGGGAGGGGGGAGAGCTATGGAAGCGGTGATAGCAGCAGGGATGACATGGGAGTGGGTGGAAGCAGGGGGTATGGCGGCGGCAGTGGTGCTGGCGGCAGTGCTGGTGATGGAAGGGGGGGAGGGGAAGGCACGGGGGCTGCAGGAGGAATTGGAATGAAGAAGAAGCTGGGCCGGCGGGCCAGCCAGCCTCCTGCCATATTCGGAGCAGCTTTAGCGGCAGCAGCAGCAGTTGATGGCAGCGGAATGGGCGGGGGCGGGCTGAGAGGGGCTCACGGGGGCCTGATTGCGAACGAGGGTTTCGGGTTAGGAGGCTTAGGGTTAGGGTTAGGGCGGCTGCTGCCAGGGAGTGAGGGGGAGGTGATGAAAGTACTGGGCGATGTGGACATGCTGGCAGAGAGGTGCATGGAGATGCTGGTAGAGGAGTTCAAGGACAGCCTCGTGAAGCACAGCAAGCCGTTCCAGCTGCCCATGGCTCGGCCCATTCTGGATCTCAGCCTCCCGCTGGCCACCCCCCAGTCCCCCTCGTCCTCTGCTGGTGATGGTGCTGCTGCTGCTGCTGCTGGTTGTGGTGGTGGTGGTGGTGGTGGCATAAGCAGTGGGCATCACGCCATTAGCAACACTCGTTACAGCAAGAGCCTTTCTGCTATTGATGCTGAGAGTGGAAGTAGCAGCGCAACAGCGCCACCAACAACAGCAGCAGCAACGGCAGCACCAAGCGGAAATGTGCGGACTTCTCATAGTTATAGCAGCAAGAGCAGCACCACCTCGAACGGCGGAAGCAGTGGAAGTACCAGCAGAGGGGTTAGCCCCATCTACAGTGCACAGTACAACGCACTTGTGAAGAGGTTTAAGAAGCTGGCGTCTCGGCCCCCCATTATGCTGGATCCCTTTGGAAAACTGGTGGCAGCAACGGCAACAGCAGAAGAGGCAGCGGCAGCTGGAGAAGCAGGAGAAGGAAGCGGAGGGAGAGCGGGGAGAGGAGAGAGAGGGGGGAGACGAGAGAGAGGAGGGGGGGGAGAGGAAACTAGGAGTGTCGGACACGGGAAGGGGGCAGAGAGCGGCATGGACCAAGGGATAACAGAGGAGGAGGAAAAGAGTGTGCATAAGCGCACCCTGTCTGACGATCTGTTCGCGCGCGATCCTCTGCTTGCAGCCTTTGGCGTACATGCTGCTCACCATAACCCCCAGCTCTCCCCCATCACCAGCCCTTCTGCTACTTCAGCTGCTGCTGTGGTCGCTGGAATTGATGTGACGGCTGATAGAGCAGCAGGCACTGCACTAGGGGGAGCAGCAGCAGCAGCAGCAGCAGCGGCAGCAGCAGCAGCACCAACAGCAGCAGCAGCAGGAGCAGGGAAAGAGTCAGCAAAACACTTTCACACTCCCCATGTGAAGATTCCAAGCGACCCTGAGCTGATATCGCCTAAGCAGACGCATCCCCACCCTCTGTATGCCGATCTAGCAGCAGTGGAAGTGGATGACACGTTTGCAGCAGATGATCATGTAACTCTGGGAGTGAACACTAGTGGAGTTGGGGATACCTGTATTCAAAACGAGGGTGCTACGAATGGGGAGGAGGATGAGAATGGAGCGAATTCGTCCAATTTCACCCTTTCACCACTCTCTGACACCTCAGGCTCGGGGAGTTCTGCTTCGGCTTCTCGAAGCAGCCAGTCAGCTGCGGAAGACATCCCGAACCTGCTGCCCTCTCCAGTCCAGCTGTCCGGACCTGCGGCGATCGTGAGTGGCGTTGCTGCGATTAACGCTCGCAAGAACCGAAGCGCACAGTTTGCACGGGCTGAAGCAGAGGCAGCAGTTCAGGGGTCAAAGCGAATGTCCCGTCGGGAAAGAGAACAGCAGAAAAAGCAGCAGCAGGAGAAGGATCAGCAGCAGGCACAGGAAGAGGAAGATCTGTACCCACTCCCGAACTTACCAGGTCAGGCTCGGCAGAATCGAGTCAGCAGGCACGGCCGATCCCAGTCCGCTGCAGCGAATTTCACCATATTGCAGCGAAGAAGCATGCAAGGACATAGTGTGGAGGCTGTACCGAATGTGACTACAACGAGAGATGCTGCTGTTGGGGCAGGACCAGGAAGTTTGAGAGCAGGAACTGTGGGATTGGACCCCCTCCCCCCTTCAGGGGGGACCAGAGGGCAGCGAGGCCACTCAGGTCCGCTAGCAAGACCTAGGGGAGGCGGGGGAGGGGGAGCAGGGGGGGGGATGGGTAGGAGTGAGAGAGCAGGGGGGGTGGAGGAGGATGGGCGGCAGCAGTTGGTGCCATGGCTGCCAGTGGGGGCGGTGCCTTGTGTGGAGAGAATCGCTCAGCAGCTTGTGGAGGGGGGTAGAGGCAAGGAATGCATTGCGGAGTACTGGTATGTGATTTCTCTCTCCCTGCATTGCGGAGTACTGGTATGTGATTTCTCTCTCCCTGCATTGCGGAGTACTGGTATGTGATGTCTCTCTCCCTGCATTGCGGAGTACTGGTATGTGATGTCTCTCTCCCTGCATTGCGGAGTACTGGTATGTGATGTCTCTCTCCCTGCATTGCGGAGTACTGGTATGTGATGTCTCTCTCCCTGCATTGCGGAGTACTGGTATGTGATGTCTCTCTCCCTGCATTGCGGAGTACTGGTATGTGATGTCTCTCTCCCTGCATTGCGGAGTACTGGTATGTGATGTCTCTCTCCCTGCATTGCGGAGTACTGGTATGTGATGTCTCTCTCCCTGCATTGCGGAGTACTGGTATGTGATGTCTCTCTCCCTGCATTGCGGAGTACTGGTATGTGATGTCTCTCTCCCTGCATTGCGGAGTACTGGTATGTGATGTCTCTCTCCCTGCATTGCGGAGTACTGGTATGTGATGTCTCTCTCCCTGCATTGCGGAGTACTGGTATGTGATGTCTCTCTCCCTGCATTGCGGAGTACTGGTATGTGATGTCTCTCTCCCTGCATTGCGGAGTACTGGTATGTGATGTCTCTCTCCCTGCATTGCGGAGTACTGGTATGTGATGTCTCTCTCCCTGCATTGCGGAGTACTGGTATGTGATGTCTCTCTCCCTGCATTGCGGAGTACTGGTATGTGATGTCTCTCTCCCTGCATTGCTGAGTACTGGTATGTGATTTCTCTCTCCCTGCATTGCGGAGTACTGGTATGTGATGCCTCTCTCCCTGCATTGCGGAGTACTGGTATGTGATGTCTCTCTCCCTGCCTTGCGGAGTACTGGTATGTGATGTCTCTCTCCCTGCATTGCGGAGTACTGGTATGTGATGTCTCTCTCCCTGCATTGCGGAGTACTGGTATGTGATGTCTCTCTCCCTGCATTGCTGAGTATTGGTATGTTTTTTCCCTCTCCCTGCACATCTGAACCTCCCTCTACCTTGCGCCCCCTCTCCATTTCAAAAGGTGCGAAATCCACTGCCTCTTCTTACCTTCACACCTTTCACTTCCTTCACTGCCACCTGAATCTCCTTTCGTGCTGCATCCTTGTACCTTCCTATGCCCCACAATCCTACGCTTGCAGCTATGCTTGCAATACACAGCCTTGTAAGCCGTTAAGCGTTCGTGAGCTCTTAATCCTCCTGTTCTATGCCGCCGACATCCCCTCTCCCTGGTCTTTCTCGTCTTCGCCTTCCTTCTGACCACATCACCACAACCCAGTGCGCTGCGTGCAGCAGCCCTCAAGGTGGCCATCTCAGCCCTGGAAATGGGAGAGCTGCGGCCTAACGCCCTGTCTGCCATGCCGTGGGGTACCCAAGAGTCTTTCCTCAAGAGCTGGGTGCGAGATGCCTACCTGCTGGTGAGTCGTGCCTACCCGCTGGTGATTCACGCCTATCTGCTGGTGAGTCACGCCTACCTGTCAGTGAGTGCTGCACACCTGCTGGTGCGGTCATGCCTATCTTTGACCTGCTGCTGCGGTCATGCCTATCTTTGACCTGCTGCTGCGGTCATGCCTATCTTTGACCTGCTGGTGCGGTCATGCCTATCTTTGACCTGCTGGTGCGGTCATGCCTATCTTTGACCTGCTGGTGCGGTCATGCCTATCTTTGACCTGCTGCTGCGGTCATGCCTATCTTTGACCTGCTGCTGCGGTCATGCCTATCTTTGACCTGCTGCTGCGGTCATGCCTATCTTTGACCTGCTCACTGGAAAAAGGTTGAGAGATGGGATGAATAGCTGATTGTGTCTGCGTCTTGCCACCTTCCTCTAATCGCCTCCCAATCGATCCTCACGAACTGCACTGCCCCCCATACCCCATACAAGCAGATGGACGTTCTGCTAGTAGCGGAGCACTACCTGTGCGACAGTGTCTTCCTCTTCTCCCGCACCCTCTCCGACCGTGCGTTCCGGCGCCTCATTCGCAGAACAGCAGCGCTGAAGGAGGCGCTGCACCTGCTGTGTGGCAACGCCGCTGCCATCTGCTCGTCTGACGAGCAGCCGGAGAAGCTGTTCAGTCTGCTGGACATGCTCCAGGCCACCCAGCACCTTGGCTCACAGGTGGGCTTGGCTGCGTATAGTGGGTAGGGAGAAGTCTAGTTTTGAGGCGCCTCAAAACTAGGCTGCGTATAGTGGGTAGGGAGAAGCAGTCTCAGGGAGGAGGGGAAAGAAGAGGAGGTTGAGTCCCGGTGAGATTAATGGCATGCTGACGGCAGCAAGCATGATCAGTGACCGGATGCCAGGTTGCCACGGACAGGGTGACCGGTTCAGGCTATAAGAATTTCTCCACTCCTCTCCCCTGTTTTTCGTACCTCACTGGATACCACTCACCTCTTCAGATGGAGGATGTGCTGATGGCAGTCGGCATGGAAGAGGCACATGAACAGTGGCAGAAATTGCCAAAGCTGCTGACATCAGCTGCGATAGGGTCAGTTGAGAAGCTCAAGGAGAAGCTGAGCGATGTGGAGGCGGCTCAGCACACCATGGTTGCAGCATCACCACGGTCTGCACAGAAGATTTTCAGGTTGGTGAAGTGGAGGGGTGGAGAGGAGTACAGAGGGGTGAGGAGGTGTAAAAGGATTTTCTGAAGGATATGGTCGCAGCTTGGTGGATCATAGTCGCTGCTTCTCTGCGATGTGCATTCTGATCGGCGAAGAGAGCGATGAGGGTGGAGAGGTGAAAGGGGGTGAACTAGTGTGGGCTCCAACAATCTACAAACAGTCCTTCTCCCACCCATCATCCCCATGAAGATAGCTTCTCCTCCTCCATCCATGTGCCATCCTCCCCTCCTCCATCCGTGTGTCATCCTCTCCTACCTGTGGCAGGTTGTGGAAGGCACAAGGAGAGGAGAGGCCAAGGGAAGAGGCGGACGTGTCGGTGCATGCTATCACGAGCTACACCGTCAACTATGTCAACCAGCTGCTGCGCAAGTGAGTGATGGCTGTGTGGTTTGGATAGTGAGTGATGGCTGAGTGACTAGAAGAGACAGAGGATAATTGAGGAGACGGACGTGTCGGTGCATGGTATCACGAGCTACACTGTCAACCAGCGGCTGCGCACGTGAGTGATGGCCGTGTGATTAGGACGTGAGTGGTACCATTCAATGAGGCAGTGAGTGATCACCCATATGCATCAACCATGCATTCATGTACACATCCCTCTCCTCTTTCCCGCAGCCTCCCTCCTTTAAGCACCTCCTCCTTTCCCCCCATGCTTTCCTCTCTCACCTACAGAGACGGTTCTCGCTATGCCCGCATGTTGGAAAGCGTCTACAGGAGAAGAGGAGGGGAGACGGGTACAAGAAGGGTGCTGAACGAGGAGATCAGTGAGCTGCTGGCAGCGCTGCACCGCAACATGCAAGTGCGGGCAGAAGTCATTGCAGAGCGCACTGTGGCTGCGCTGTTCATGCTCAACAACACGGCCTACGTCTCCAACTCTCTGTGAGTGCATGACGTTGCTTCACACTGGTCTAGCTCTTCACTCATGGATCCATTTGTATCTGACTTGCGGATAGACCTGTGGCCAAGTAGCTAGCGACTTACCAGCTCGGAGCTGTTAGGATGAGAGATCAACATCAACATAAGCGCTGCGCTGTCTCTGTGGGTCTGCGTTCTGTTCGGTGCGTCGATGTTTGAGTCGACTAAAAAATCGACTCATTACACACGTTGTGTGCAGGGCATTTTTTAGAATTCTCAAAAATACCCTACAAGTGGTGCACTGTCTCTGTGGTGGTGCGTTGTGTGCAGTGCGAGCACGAGCTGTCTATTTTTTAGGCGCCTAAAAAATAGACTCCTCACCTGTGGTGGTGCACTGTCTCTGTGGTGGTGTGTTGTGTGCAGTGCGAGCACGAGCATGAAGGAGGCGATGAGGCAGTCAGAGCGGCTCAAGGGGTGTGAAACAGCCTTCATAGACGCCATCACTGCCAAGGTAACCATTCTCGTGTCTTTACAGCACACACTTTTACTATCCCGAGTGTTGTGCGCCTTAGCAATGCTGAGCATGCCATACTGGTCTAAGTTGGAACTTAGCCAACCACGCCAGCCATACCCATACCACGCTAACCAGCATACATCTTTCATTCGCTTCTCTCTCTTTGCTTTCAGATGTGCTCTCACCTTCTGTCCCTGGAAGCCAGCTCTCAGCTCAGTGCACAGGAATTCAGGATCAGGTCAGTGCAATTGGACCTTGTCGCCTTCCGAGTCCGCTCGCGCTTCACATCCCGCCCCGCGCTTGCTTACCTACCTTACTTTGGCTCCACGTGTTACCCGATGACAGGTTGAAGCGGTTCAATGCAGCGTTTGAGGAGCTGGCATTGCTGCAGGGCAGCTGGAACATCGTGCACATCAGCACACGCAGGAACATTCGACAGCTGCTGGCGACGACGCTGCATGACAAATACAAGGACTTTCTCATTCCACACAGGTGCCTGCTCACCCTGTCCTCCACATGTTCACAGGTGCATCGCATGCACATCCACGAACGTACACACATGTGTGCATGTGCAGTTTGTATCTGCAGCAGAGATGAATATGTACTCTCTTGCAATTGGCACACCTGCATGCCTCCATGTGACTGTTAGATGTCCTCGTCAAATCTTGTAATGTCCTTGCCACTCCATGCGCATCCCTTCATTGCCTCCTCTTCCTTACCAGAACACCCTCTTGCTTCGCGTCTCAGTCAGCATCCCTCCGTTTTCACTTGCCCGCTCCCCACACCCGACCGCCATCGAGCAGGGACATCTTGACGAGCATCACCTCTTACCGCTGGTCTCCAGATCGCCTTCTTCGAGCCATACAAAAAAGCTTCTTCATTGGCCCCAGTATGGTGCGGTCAAGCTCCCATGACTCGTAACCACGTGTGTGGACCAGTGTTGAGGTGCCGCATGGCTCGCCTTCATAATGGATACCAACTTTTTCGCCCGTGCCGGTGTTGTGTGGACAACTTCTTGGGAGTAGAAAGCCTGCCATAAAGAGTGCCAATGTTGGGACCTGGTGACTCCCTTCCTCTTTCTGGTTGAAAAATACCTTCCACAGGCTGACGTGGTCTGCAGCTTCCATCAGCCATGCGGAGCACTGCCTGCTGGCACCGGCCAGATGCAGATACTCCTCCAGCACTTTTTCCCCTTCGAATGAAGTCTCCCAAGTGAACCCTTGTGTTGGAAATATCTCAAGGACTTAAGCGTTTCTGAAGTGTAACACTGTACTCGAGGAAGATTACAGGGGAGCACGCGAGTCAACGGAGGTTACACGAGGGGGCGGACAAAGAAAGCGAAAGGACTCGAAAGGTCGCAACTGGAGGTTGCGACTGACCGTTACAACATCACAGATGGTAACCGAAGCGGCAATCGAGTCGCTGTGCGACTCGATAAACCGCTCCTGTAACTGTATTCTACAACTGCTTTCTTATCTTCTATATATTGCTGTATGCTTGTTTCTTTAATCAATCACTTGTTCTCACATACTAGTACAAGGGTTCAACCGTCTCAACTTCCGCTGCACTACTCCAAGTCTCAAGTCTTTACAGCTGGGACTTAGTCTCTGCAAAAGATCCTAAGGGCTTTTCTCAGCCCAACATGGTATCAGAGCTGGTCAGAGACCAAAACTCCCAGCAACTACACTCCATCAACAACCAGCAACTCAACTTGATTCAACAACTCCATTGATTACAAGACATGGACAACAAGGGCAAGAAAGTCTCTACGGGCTCACCCAGCGCCCAAGAAACTCAACACGGCAACTCTGGTCTGCACACCTCAGGACTGCAGACAGAGACCGGGACTGCTCAAGAAACAACGGGAAGAGTACCAGAGATGGTGACCCTGTCTCCATCTTCAAGTGTGGACCCGAATCTCATGGAGAGATTCTTCAGCTTCATGTCACACTTCGATCAGCAGCAGCAGACAAGGACACCTGCGCACTCAACACAGAGCAATGGAGGGAATATGGGATTAGCGCCGATGAGCCTCGACAACTCATCCTTCGGGCGACACAATCAAGCGCCTACCTTTGCGCCTTATCACTCTTCACCGGGGACGTTCGAGTTCATGCCGCCCCGTGCCCAACCAACAGCAGCTGCATCACAACAAACACCAAACGAGATTTTAAGTCTCCAGGCACAGTTTTCACACGTGATTAAACTGCAGACATCATCCCCATTCAACGGACACGACTTCTTTACCTGGAGCTTCGAGTTCGAGCTGCTGATGGAGGCCGCGCATCTTCTGGGATACTTCAACGGGTCCCTGCCATTCCCAAGCAACGGCACTGGGAAGGAACAAGAAATCTTCACGTATCAGTCGCTGCTGGCGTATACGGTACTCCTGAGAAACTTGTCACCACAAGAGCAGCAGAGCATCAGAACGTATCGGAGTTATGGAAACTCCGCGGAACTTGCATGGCATCATCTCAAATGCCTCTATCAAGCAAACGACAGCGTGACACAAAGCAGACTCATGCAACAGCTGACAACAATACAGATGAAAACCGGGGAAAAGGCGATGCAGTATATGAGTCGCTGCCAGACCCTGCGCGACCGCCTGCTTCGGTGCGGAGGAACGATCACTGAAGAAAGCTTCGTCACACTTGTCCTCGCCGGGCTCGGACCAGAATGGAGAACAACACGATCGCTTCTTCGCGCCCACGGAAGGATCTCGGAGATGCACCTCTGCGCCGAGCTTCACGCTGAACAACAGGAGATGGATCTGTTCGAGGAAAGACAACCAAGGAAGCAACAGCAGTTAGTCTTCTACACTCAAAGAAGAAATGACATAAACTACAACCGACGCAGCAAGCAAGATCAACGCGACAACCGAGGACTCACCATCGTGCCGCCGTTCTGCCACAACTGCCAGACTTCCGGACACTCCAAAGTCAACTGCAACCGCCCTCGCGTTTACCGTGCAGCAGACCCACAAGTTGCTTCCACTCAAGCAAGTTCCCCAAGGCGCTCTTCAACATCTGCACAAGGGACACCAAATATCATCAACTGCATGGTACACATCGACAACTGCGCACCCGGATCACCACCCACTTACGCACCAGACGAAGAGGAATTCCCGCCGCCGCGCTCACAAGGACTTCAGGTCAACCCAACATACGCTGCGGTCGCCAACGCCGAACCCACTGGGCGAAACACCTGGTTCTTGGACAGCTGCTGCGGTCAACACATGTGCTCCTCGGGACGCTTCGTGCAACAGGAGAAACGCCTCAACCGCGACGTCGTCATCACCGTCGCCAACAACGAAAACCTGAAAACAAACAGACAGGGCGTGGTTCAGTTACAATCCATGGAGACGAATGTCATACTTCAACTCAACAAGGTGCTCATTGTCGACAATCTGGGATACAATCTACTAAGCGTAAGCCAACTAATGGCCAAGGGGATTCACCTGGAGTGCGACTCTTACTCCAACGAGTTCCGGCTTTACCACGGGAAGGGCGGCCTCTTCATCGGTCGTGCCCTCCTGAAGTCCGGCGTCTTCGTGTTGGACTTCGTCCCCGACCGCGGAACTGCCGACAGCGATGGCATCGTATCGTTCGCCGCCTGGACTCACCCGCCGGATCTTGACCCCGACTTCGACAGTGACGGCTTCTGGCACTCCAACACCATACCTGCAGCAGAGAGAACACGAGCATTAGCAGTTATCAGACAAGAAAGACAAGTACCCGCAAGTGTCCCAACAAAACCATCACCTGCAGTATCGGCAGCAGGACCCAGCCGAGTACCACCACCATCAACACGAGGACCGCCAACGGAAGCAGACCAACTTATGCCCGCCACACGAGAAGCTTGTCGAAGTCCCGCCTCAGTCGTCGCGTTCTTCTCCAACGCCGACATCTACCACCGCTCGCCCGGCCACCGCGCTCCCGACGACATCTGGCACCAACGTCTCGGACATCCTGCAAACAGCACGATACTTCAAACAATCCAAGCAGAGGTGTTAGAACGCAACGCCCTTCTGACGACGAACGGCCAGGAACTCCGACGACCACGCGCACGGTGCTTCACATGCCCCGAAGCAGATCTTCCTCATCAACCTTTCCCAGCCCATCACAATCCAAGCGCACCCACTTACGCTCCGATGGAAAAGGTCTACAGCGATATTCTAAACATGCCTCGAGACGACACCGAAGCCGACTTCAACTACGTCATCACGTTCATCGACGCAGCAACCAGATACGTCTGGCACTTCAATCTCAAAACGCGCGATCAAGCCTTCGAGGCCTTCACCACATGGCTTCCAATCGCCGAACGAGAGTCAGGAACCAAACTCAAGAGTTTCCAGTCAGACGGTGCACTGGAATACCAGTCACAACGCTTCAGGACCTATCTCGCGGAAAGGGGAATCCGACGCCTGGTGTCTCTGCCCTATGCTCACCAGCAGCAGGGGGTAGCAGAACGCATGAACCGGACCTTGCAGACGACGATGCGAAAACTGCTTCTGGGGATGAGGCTGCCCAACGCACTGTGGCCAGACGCGATGACACATGCTGTTCACCTGCACAACCTGCTGTCCTCGTCATCACTTCCCAACAACGCATCGCCGCACCTGTTGTGGACAAGAAAAAGGGGCAGCACAAAATTACTCCGCGTTTTCGGCTGCATGGTACAGTACAGACCCCACACAGCCCGAGCAGGACGCTTCTCACAAAGAGCTCGATGGGGACTACACCTCGGCATCGCAAAACATTTTCACGCGTGGAAAATTCTCGACATACAAGACAAAAACACGGTGGCATCACGCGATGTTATCTTCTACGAACGACTGACGCTGCAGCATTACCTGGACAACCTTGCCAACACACAAGACCCCACCGACGGCTTCGCGGGCCTTCGCTCCTTCGCTGACCACACTGCCGAGGCTGACGCAGCAGAAGAAGACGTACCTGGAGCCTCGGAAGCTGCCGGACCACTCCCATTCTGTTCCGTACCTGTTCCACTCGATGAAGATAATCCCCTCGATAGCAACAACCTCGACACCTTTTACCACTTCGCCGACCAAGGTTACGCTACACCTCACCCCGTCGACACGAATATTTCGGAACGCATCGGCCCCAATTTCTTACCTGACCCCGAAGACGGTGACGAAGCAGCTTATTCCGGGAATGAAAATTCCCCTCGACACACGCCCACGGGACTCCAGATTCTAGGCCTCTGGGTCTCCGTCCAGAATCCGCCGCCGCCTTCTCCGCGAGAGCCTTCAACGTTGTCGCAGGCTCTGGGGGGGGAACATAAGGCAAGATGGAAGGAAGCAATGGAAAAGGAGTTAAAAGCTCTGCAAGACCGAGAAACGTGGAAACTGGTACCTGCAACGAGCATCAACGGAAAAAACGTTCTCTCGGGGAAATGGGTGTACCGCATCAAGACCAACTCAGACGGTTCCGTCGAACGATTCAAAGCTCGATGGGTCGTACGAGGCTTCGACCAACGATACGGAGCCGACTACACAGAAACCTTCGCTCCAGTCTCCCGTCACACCTCATTACGCATCCTACTCGCCGTCGCGGCCACGAAAAAAACTGCCACTACGCCAAATCGATGTCGCGAATGCATTCCTATACGCACCTGTGGACGCTGAGATCTTCGTCGAACAACCCCACGGATTCATCAACGATCCCACGAAAATATGCCGACTGACAAAATCCCTATACGGGATCAAGCAAGCCCCGCGGCTCTGGCAGCAGCATCTCCACGGCCGTCTCGCAAAGATCGGCTTCCTACAATTACCGCATGACCAAGGGATGTACCGACTGCAGAAGGGAAGAGATTATGTTCTGCTCATCGTCTACGTCGACGACCTGCTCTACATCGGCTCCACTATCGACATCGCCACCTGGTTCGAAGGGGAGCTGAAAGAAGATTTAACTCTCACGGTGTCCGACGAAGTTACCCAGTACCTAGGACTGAACATCGTCGAAGACGACACGGCGTTCTACCTACACGCTGGAAAGTACTCAAGCACCGTCGCGAAGAAATTCGGTCTAGCACCGACTGCGGTCCCAACTCCCTACCGCTACGGGAACAACAGTAGCGCCTCCACAAAACTCCCCGCGAAACAAATCCAGGAGTATCAACAGAAGCTCGGTTGCCTACTATTCGCAGCAGTAACCTGCCGACCCGACCTATCCTATAGTGCGAGTCAGCTGGCGACACATCTGAAGCAGCCGCAACAGGAAGATCTCGAAGAACTCAATCGAGCGCTACTCTACTTCGTCTCCACGCCGACGATCGGGCTCACCTACAGCAAGGCAACAACACCGTCCGTACAACTACTCGGATACGTCGACGCCGACCACGCGGGAGACAGCGAAAATCGACGGTCTAGGACGGGCTACATCTACCGACTAGAACCTATCGGAACTATCTCCTGGCAGTCGAGCAAGCAGGAGTTAATCGCACTATCCTCGGCTGAAGCAGAGTATGTCGCCCTTTGTACTGCGACCAGGGAAGGACTCTACCTACGAGAGTTACTCGAAGAAGCGAAGATCGCGACCCTGCCCGCCTTCTCACTCCTCTGCGACAACCAATCTGCAATCAAAATCGCGAACAAGGACGGCTTCGCCAACCGAACCAAGCACATCGCCCTGCGGTACTTCTTCGTCAAGGATGAAATCGCGAAGGGGAGACTTCAACTCAGTTACTGCCCGACGACAGAAATGGCCGCAGATTATCTGACGAAGAAATTGGCGAAAGCAAAATTCGACTACTGCATGCTCCTAACCGGGCAAACAAACGTCACCGGATCTGAACACTCCAGCACTCCAGAAACGAAGGGGAGTGTTGGAAATATCTCAAGGACTTAAGCGTTTCTGAAGTGTAACACTGTACTCGAGGAAGATTACAGGGGAGCACGCGAGTCAACGGAGGTTACACGAGGGGGCGGACAAAGAAAGCGAAAGGACTCGAAAGGTCGCAACTGGAGGTTGCGACTGACCGTTACAACATCACAGATGGTAACCGAAGCGGCAATCGAGTCGCTGTGCGACTCGATAAACCGCTCCTGTAACTGTATTCTACAACTGCTTTCTTATCTTCTATATATTGCTGTATGCTTGTTTCTTTAATCAATCACTTGTTCTCACATACTAGTACAAGGGTTCAACCGTCTCAACTTCCGCTGCACTACTCCAAGTCTCAAGTCTTTACAGCTGGGACTTAGTCTCTGCAAAAGATCCTAAGGGCTTTTCTCAGCCCAACACCTTGCATGAGAATAGCCATTCTCATCGAAAGCAGTAGCCTATACCGTGGATAAGGGCCTTCAGAAGGAGTACGGTATCTGTAATCCGCAAGATATATTTGACCCGCAACAAGGATGTATGTAATATTGCTTTGCAAGCAAGAGTAACGTACCGCAAAATGGATGTCCACTCGCTTTGCGCAACAGCGCCATTGATTCCGCCACCAGATGAAGTATCTGGCCTTGAGAAAAGCCCTTTCCTATATTAAACTTGAAGAAGTCTTTACACGCTTGTAAGATAAGTAGTCTCCTCATGGTCTGCCTGCCTGCCATGAATTCTAATGTATCCGTCAGCAAGAGATCAGCTCTCCGGAATAAAAATGCCCTTCACCATGGTAAACGTGGGTTGTTGGAGCACCAGTTTCATGAATGCACGGCTTCCAGCCCTGAGACAGTAAAAGTTTGAGAAGAATAAAAGAGAATGCTATGTAATAGTGTATCAACGGCTTCTGTCGTCTACCCTGAACCAGGAAAGCTCTTGTTAGTAGTCAGCAGGTGACACGAAAAGGAGTGTCTTTCATCAACCCTGGGTGATGGGAGGTTGGATGGCGCATCAGCGCCTTGGTTTTAGCTGCTGATTGCCCTCGTGCTGGGATGGGAAGGCAGAATGTTAGTACCGCTCAATGGCCTCCAGCAGTGTGTTAGATGGCTGCTGCGGCATCAGAATCACGGCAGATGCATGCACCTGCACATTTGTTATGCTAGTTAGCCACTGAAACCAGAGCGACTGCTAAGACACAGCTCCACCTCCCTTCTTCCCTCCCTGCTGCTGCTGCTGCTGCTGCTGCTGCTGCTTCTGTTGCTGCTGCTGCTGCTGCTGCTTGTGGACGGCGCGCAACCCAGAGAATATAAGCATACGGACCAGCAGTGATACAATCCTGCAGCCAAAAGCCCAGATGATCTCGAACAGCCACATGAAGACGTTGTTGGACGGGAAAATCCCTCTCGACAAGGAGCACAGCGTCCGTGGGACAATGCCATGTGTTGTGACTACTAAAAACTCTCCGGAATGAACAGTTGCAAGTGTGCATTGGGCTATGGAGTCTGGAGATTCGACATTGTTGCGGTCGTAGAAGCATGCGATCTTCATCGATCTGGTTAAATGCTTGCCTGTGGTCTCGGCTGGTTGGGATGAACAGGAAGTGAGGAGAAGGAGCAGAGTGGACAGGAATGTGAGACTCGAGGTGATAGAGGAAGAGAACGGGCGAGAAGAGAGAGCAACGGGGCTCACCATCATTAAGTAGCGCTGTGTCTGTGAAGCCTGGACAAATCACAGACACTTGAATGTTGTACGGAAGAACCTCAAGCCGCAAAGCCTCAGCGAATCCCCTGACTGCATACTTGGTGGCTGTATATATCGATGCTCCATACCAGAAGCTCTGTATAAAAAACAAGTGACAGAATAAAAATGTGTCTGGGACATGATCAGATCACAGCAGCACCGCCAGCCATTTTGATATAATCGGGCCCAAAAGTACACTTAGCTGAGAAGGATTGCTACCCTGACAGACAACCTGAAGAATATGAATACCAAATAGGCTTACCAGAGCTGCTAAAGAGCATGTGAAGACAATAGCACCAGGCTCCTCCCCAGCCTCGGCCCGAGCCTTCATGCTTGGAAGTACAGCCTGCACCGGGTAGACACTCCCCAGGAAGTTTGTGTGCACTTGGGACTGAACGTCCTCAGCGGATATGTCTTCCACGTGGCCGGTTTTCACAACGCCAGCGTTGCACTGCAGGATGTCGATTGGACACTCCTCGTCTATTAATATGATCGCTGCCTTGATAGCCGCTTGGTCAGTCGCATCCACGGACTGGAGCGGTAAGGGAAGTGGAGGAAAGAGGCGAAATAAAGAAGCGACTGAGGATGCTAAGGAGGCCTTGAAGTGGAAAACCTTGAACTGCACGGGCAGGGAGAACCTATGAAAATGGAGTTAACAGGTAACAAAAGCTGTTTTTCCGCCAAATATTGACGAACCTTTATTGATACCCACGGATTCGGTGAAATGAGGGAAGCCCTGGTGCCGCCTAAAGGGTCGGTAGCAATGTCAAGGGAAGCTTCCACCTCCTTCTTTGCTTGAACTAGCTTCTTGTGATTCCGCGCAATCAATGTCACATTCGCACCCTGTGGTCACGCGCCACAAGAAGATTAAATCCCCGAACCACGTCAGACGAGGAGGGGATCAGACACATTCTGCCGTTAGAAAACAGGTCACTTGCTGCTGTTCTGCAGGACATACAGTAGAGCTGGATTCCAGAAAGAGCGATAGCCTACCTAAAGCAGAAATTACCTCGCGAAAGAAGCGCTTAGCGCATGCGAGGCCGATTCCACTTGAACCTCCGGTAATGACCATGTGCTTTCCTTTGATCGACCTCATGTCGTTCTCTCGATTGACGAATCGTTAAAATGCTGTTGCTGTCAGCCGTCGTTCGGAAGCCAGGGGGCGGTACGAAACTTCGTCAATCAGGAAACCAGCCAGCAACCAACGTATGACGACTAGAGTGCGTATGCAAGCACACTAATTTCAACCAACGGTCAGGATCATAACCGACGCTGAAGCACCAGAATGTAATGAAGAATTCAGCCAGCAACAAGAGTCAAATGAGAACAACCACGTTCCTCCAGAGATTTAAAGCAGTATACTACCCATAGTCGCAACGCGGATCAGCGAAGCTGTTTACGTTGATCAGAAGAAGTGGGATCAGTGGAATTCAGTGTGAAAAATCTAAAGACACCTTGGAAAGCTCGCATACTGTGTTCGGCTTCTACTGAACGAACTTGGGACAGGATGCAGGACTGCCTGAGAGAGACACACAGGGGTTCCCATCCAAACCAAACGACTAATAGCGACTCGCTGCCCCGACTGGTTGACCTGACCTATATTTCCCTGGGAGGTTCGTCTGTGCTTGCCAGAGCCCACCGAACCAGACCGAACAAAGCCGGAGCCACTCAAACACGGAGTTTTGGGCGCGAAAAACAGAAGGCGTACTGTACGAACCTAGTGCCTGCTCGCGAGGTTCGGTGGCATCCTGGTTCGTTTCTTGATACTGGATAGTACCTAGGAAGTTAAAGCGAGCGTACAGACCAAACTCAAGATTCAAAGGCTTTGAATCTTGAGTTGGGGGTAGCGAAAATCGCGAGGGGCACAAGTGTCGCAAAAACGGGGCGGGCCCCACGCGAAAGGCTAGGGGTCTCGCGACGACTGTTAATGATCTCGCCAAAACTGGCGAGGTCGCAAGGGTACAGCGGGCGACGCTGCCCGTCGAACACGCGAAAGCACTGTTCAGACAAATTGAAACAGTAAAACTCATTTACGGAGAAAAGCACCTACAGTGTTGCTAAAGCTCGTGAAAACGTAGAAACCACCACAACGCATCTACGTTTACACAAATACAGGACAATATTTAAACAATGAAGCACACGACTTGAAACTATCCGGGATCTAGTTCCCACTGAGTGCAAAGTCAGGGTTTTAAAACGTACACAAACGAGAAGGGCGCGATCGTCATTTTTATTAGGCAGGAAGCAAGACACACAATGCAGCACGACCAAGGAAACCCCCACCAGATGTCACCTCTCCCCCCCACCAGAGCCCGCCTACCCCTCCCGAAAAACACCGGGAGAGGAGCACAGTGCTATGCTTCCCCCCTCACAGAGCTATGCTTCCCCCCTCTCAGCAATATGCCTCCCCCGTCACAGCACTGTGCTTCCCCTGTCACAGCACTGTGCTTCCCCCCTCACAGCACTGTGCTTCCCCCCTCACAGCACTGAGTGGGAGCAGGGGGTAAGACGGAATGGGAGCAGGGGTAAGACGGAATGGGAGCAGGAGGTAAGACGGAATGGGAGCAGGGGTAAGACGGAATGGGAGCAGGAGGTACGACGGAATGGTTTTAGGAAGGGATAGGCGCGGGGATCATGAGGGGTGGCGTTGGAAGCGGTGGGTACGACAATAAGACGGGGGAGAGAGGGGGGGGGGGGGGGGGGGGAGGGGGACAGTTGGACGGTCGCAAATAAGAAACCAGAGTGAGAAGGGCATTTGGAGGAGTGAGTGGAGGGGGCCAGAGAGAGAGAGGCGGAGAGAAAAAGAAAGAGAGAAAGAGAGAGAGAGAGAGAGAGAGAGAGAGAGAGAGAGAGAGAGAGAGAGAGAGAGAGAGAGAGAGAGAGATAGGGGGGGGGGGCACGAGAGAGAAAACCCGCCTCCCTCCCATCCAGACCCCTACTTCTCCCCCCCTCCCAAGAACCTCCTTTCCCCCGCTGCCATGCCCCTCCTTCCCCCCCTCCCATAGCCCTCCTTCCCCCCCTCCCATAGCCCTGATTTCCCCCCTCCCATAGCCCTGCTTCCCCACCTCCCATAGCCCTGCTTTCCCCCCTCCCATAGCCCTGCTTCCCCACCTCCCATAGCCCTGCTTACCCCCCTCCCATAGCCCTGCTTCCCCTCCTCCCATAGCCCTGCTTACCCCCTCCCATAGCCCTGCTTCCCCTCCTCCCATAGCCCTGCTTCCCCCCTCCCATAGCCCTGCTTCCCCTCCTCCCATAGCCCTGCTTCCCCCCTCCCATAGCCTTACTTCCCCCCTCCCATAGCCCTGCTTCCCCCCCTCCCATAGCCCTGCTTCCCCCCCTCCCATAGCGTTACTTCCCCCCCTCCCATAGCCCTGATTTCCCCCCTCCCATAGCCCTGCTTCCCCACCTTCCATAGCCCTGCTTCCCCCCCTCCCATAGCCCTGCTTCCCCCCCTCCCATAGCCCTGCTTCCCCCCCTCCCATAGCCTTACTTCCCCCCCTCCCATAGCCCTGATTTCCCCCCTCCCATAGCCCTGCTTCCCCACCTCCCATAGCCCTGCTTTCCCCCCTCCCATAGCCCTGCTTCCCCACCTCCCATAGCCCTTCTTCCCCCCCTCCCATAGCCCTGCTTCCCCCCCTCCCATAGCCTTGCTTCCCCCCCTCCCATAGCCCTGCTTCCCCCCCTCCCATAGCCCTGCTTCCCCCCCTCCCATAGCCCTGCTTCCCCCCCTCCCATAGCCCTGCTTCCCCCCCTCCCATAGCCCTGCTTCCCCCCTCCCATAGCCCTGCTCCCCCCCCCCCCCCCCCCCCATAGCCCTGCTTCCCCCCCTCCCATAGCCCTGCTTCCGCCCCTCCCATAGCCCTGCTTCCCCCCTTCCCATAGCCCTGCTTCCCCCCCTCCCATAGCCCTGCAGGGCGTGGGGATAGGAAGGGAGGGAATTGGCGACGGGAAGACATAGGATGGCCGACGAGGATGGGAAAGGGAGGGGAAAATGGGTGCTGGGGGGAAGCGGGGACGCGGGAAAGTGGATGCTGGGGGGAAGCGGGAACGCGGGCTAGCGGATTGGGCGGAAAGCGGAAAATAGGGGAAGCAGGATAATGGGAAAGTGGGAATCGAGAGAGCAGGAAGCGGGATACGGGAAGCGGGAAAGCAGTAGCAGCTTGAGTGCGGGAAATCCGGGAGGCGAATGCAGGCAGATGCAGTGGGCGGGGCGGAAAACAGGGAATGCGGAAGAGTGGGAAAGCGGGGCAGCGCTCTCGCAGCTGCTGCGAGGAGCGGGGAGTGGGAAGCGAGGCAACGGGCGAGGTACTTGGGCGCACCGGCGAGGAAATGCCTTCGAGCTCGCTAATAAGGTCTTCGCGTGGCACGCCCTAAAATGATAGCGTGGCATGCAGCGAAGTGGGCGATTAGTGTCAAACATGTGTATTTGTCATGTTTGTATAGACTGTATAGAGTCACCTCTTAGAGGATACAAAACTTAGATATATTTGTGTGTACTCTCACTTTACCATTATTCAATTATTCTGATATGGTATCACGCGTAGGTAGGATCCCCCCCCCCCCACCTACCGCTTCCGCTCATGCCCCCTAGCGCCCCTCCTGGGCCCCGTCGCGCTCCTCCCAGGCCCCGTCGCGCTCCTCCCAGGCCCCCTAGCGCCCCTCCTGGGCCCATCGCGCTCCTCCCAGGCCCCGTAGCGCCCCTCCTGGGCTTCGTAGCGCCCCTGCCAGGCCCCGTCGCGCCCCTCCTGGGCTTCGTAGCGCCCCTGCCAGGCCCCGTCGCGCCCCTCCCAGGCCCCGTCGCGCTCCTCCCACGCCCACTAGCGCCCCTCCTGGGCCCCGTCGCGCTCCTCCCAGGTCCCGTAGCGCCCCGTCGCGCCCCTCCTGGGCCCCGTAGCGCCCCTCCTGGGCCCCGTCGCGCCCCTCCTGGGCTTTGTAGCGCCCCTCCTGGGCCCTGTACCGCCCTCCCAGGCCCCGTCGCGCCCCTCCCAGGCCCCGTCACGCCCCTCCCAGTCCCTCTAGCGCCCCTCCTGGGCCCCGTCGCGCTCCTCCCAGGCCCCGTAGCGCCCCGTCGCGCCCCTCCTGGGCCCCGTAGCGCCCCTCCTGGGCCTCGTCGCGCCCCTCCTGGGCTTCGTAGCGCCCCTCCTGGGCCCTGTAACGCCCTCCCAGGCCCCGTCGCGCCCCTCCTGGGCCCCGTCGCGCTCCTCCCAGGCCCCCTAGCGCCCCTCCTGGGCCCCGTCGCGCTCCTCCCAGGCCTCGTAGCGCCCCTCCTGGGCTCTTTCGCGCCCCTCCTGGGCTCCGTAGCGCCCCTCCTGGGCCCCGTCGCGCCCCTCCTGGGCCCCGTAGCGCCCCTCCTGGGCCCCGTCGCGCCCTCCTTGGGCCCTGTAGCGCCCCTCCTGGGCCCCGTCGCGCCCCTCCCAGGCCCCGTCGCGCCCCTCCCAGGCCCCGTAGCGCCCCTCCTGGGCCTCGTCGCGCCCCTCCTGGCCTTCGTAGCGCCTCTCCTGGGCCCCCCCGTCGTGCCCCTCCTGGGCCCCGTAGCGCCCCTCCTCGGCCGCGTCGTACCCGTCGCCGCCGCCCGGCCCCGTCGTGCCCGCCCAGCGCCGTCGCGCCCGCCCGACCCCGTCGCCGCCGCCCGGCCCCGTCGCGCCCGCCCGGCGCCGTCGCCGCCGCCCGGCCCCGTCGCGCCCGCCCGGCGCCGTCGCACCCTGCCCGGCCCGTCGCGCTCGCCCGGCCCCGTCGCAGCCGCCCGGCCCCGTCGCACCCGCCCGGCCCCGTCGCACCCTGCCCGGCCCCGTCACAGCCGCCCGACCCCGTCGCACCAGCCCGGCCGCCGTCCCGCTCGCCCGGCCCCGTCGCACCGGCCCGGCCCTGCCGCACTCGCCCGGCCCCGTCGCCCCAGCCCGGCCCCGTCGCGCCCGCTCGGCCCCGTCGCCCTGTCCCGGCCCTGTCGCATCAGCCCGGCCCCGTCGCGCCCGCCCGGCCCCTTCGGGCCCAGCCCCGGCCCCGTCCTCCTCACTGGTACGGTTCCCCCCCCCCCCCCCCCCCCCCCCCCCCACCCCGCCCTGCTCCGTGCCGCCCTGCACCGCACTGCACCGCACTGCACCGCACTGCACCGCACTGTACCGCACTGCACCGCACTGCACCGCACTGTATCGCACTGCACCGCACTTCACCTAGCTGCACCGCCCTGCACAGCACTGGACTGTTCCTGATGGCGGCGGAGCTTCGCTTCGACGCTGAAGGTCAGCCCCTAGAGTTCGAGGCGTGGCTTGCCGACCTCCGCCGCCAACTCACTGGCCAGCGGCAGGATGGTGAACCGCTTTCCGCACACCTTGACGGTACGCTCCCCTGCCCAGACCCTCCTGCTATTCTGCCCGCTGACCCCACACCCACTGAGCGTGAGTCTACTGCTGCCACTGCCCGTGCGCGCTCAGTCTGGCTTTCTCGCGATGCTGTCGCCCAGCTTGCCATTAGCAACGCCCGCCCCCCGTCCGAGCGTCCTCGCTTTAGGTCCCTCACTACTGCTCAGGCATACTTAGATGCTGTCATCAAGCGCT